CTGATTTCATCTTTTCTTTATCTTTTCTTCCCCATCTAAACTTACTTATCATTCTTTCAGAGATCTAGCCTCTCTGTTGGTAATAGTTGGTGATTGTGAAAAAACCCATTCAATGTCTCTAGTTTAAAACCACAGATTGTCATTAAATGTGCTTCACATTCCAATTCTCTCCAATATTTATTTGTTTGCATTTAGACTTAAGGATTTCACTTGAAATTATAGACCCAAAGAGGAGTGAGAAGAGATCTTGGGGAATTCTAATTCATAACTTTTTTTTTCCAGCTGGATTGACACTGAAATAATCTGAAACAAATGGAAATCTACTCTATTTCTGAAAACTTGTAAGGAAAAGAGTCTGCGACTGGTACAGTGGAAAGAGTACTTGATTTGTAGTCAGAAAACCTACCAAATCTCATTTCCTCAACCGTAGTGAAGTCACTTAATTTCTTTATGCTTCAGTTTCCTCATGTGTAAAATAGGAAGGTTGAGATGAAAGGTGTCACAACACTGATGAATATGGCCAGAATGAGATTAAAATGTAATTGGGAAATATTTAGCAAAATTTAAAAAAATACAATGCAACATAGATAATATTGGCATGTGGATTTCCAAGTTGTTATGAAGCCTGCAGGGATCCTTATGAATGGTTTAGCGGCTCCTGTTTCTATTTGAGTTTGACACCATTGGACAAAATGACCTCTAAAGTCTCTGCAGTTTGGATCCCATCTGTACCTCCCCATCCCAGAGTTGAACAATGTTCCTGGTCTGGAATCTCATCTCCATTCTTTTCTCTTCCCCTTCCCTCATTTCTCCTCCTTCTGTCTTTTGAATTACAATCCATCTACTGCTGAATGAAAGATTTGCTGGCTTTTTGTGAACACATGGCCATTCCCTGCAGTTAATGAATGAAGAAAATGGGTTTTTCTGAAACCTGCTGAGGCTGTATAAATTCCACCAAACCTATAGGTTAAATAGCTCTAGATGACAAAGTTCAGATATTTAAATTAATCTGTAACTAAGTGAAAGAGTGCTTATCAAAGATCTGCTTCCTGTTTTGTGCTAAGAACAAACATCAGTATTTGTCACCCGTAGTTTCTCCTAAGCAGGATGTCTAGTACACAAATGGTGTTATCATTGTTACTGTAAAGAAGTGCTCTTTTTTCTAACTAGAATTACCAAAGAGGACAGCTGAATGAGGACAGAAAGAATTGTTATTTTTTTAGACTCGGGATATGTCTTTTCTCCAAGGGGACCAGGTGGCCTATAATTATGGCTTTTGATTGGCTAATGCCAATGCACCTGCTCCAGGAAGTGTATGCTGTAGACCTATAGAGGATTACCAAGATAAATTTCCCCTTACAATAGTGAGTTAGTTGTTTGCTAGTGAAATTAAAATTAATCATTGCCAGATTGGATTGTTATCTACTGAAAGAGAAGTTAACCATTGAAAGTTAATATTCATTGTTTCTTCTATTATAATATCTGCATCTATTTAAAAAAAAGATTAAACTTGTAAAAACTTGTAGTCATCCCGATTTTCTAGAAGTTATATGTATAAATGAAATTCAGAGATATCAAAGCAAAATTTTAGTCACATTTTGGCTCCTCCCTTGCCAGACCTTTTACAAAAATTAGCAAACAAGCAACTCTTGGAAACTCTTATGTTTATATCCATATGTAGTATATGCAAAGTACCTTGTAAATCTTGAAGCACATGCATGTAGGGCATTACTACTATTATTATTTTGTTCTTTTCTTCCAGATCTGTGATTTCACTGGCATGGGCAGTGCCTTGTGAGGAAAGCTCCTTCTCTTAGTGCATACCTGCAATCGTTTGCATTTATATTCTTAAAAGAGTTGCCTTGGGCACTGAAAGGTTAAGTGATTTGCTGATGGCCACACAGTGGGTGTCAGAGATAGGATTTTGATGTGGGCCTTCTGGGCTCCCAGAACAGCTCTCTTTCTCAGATGCCTTACCACTCATTGTTGTAATCATTACTATTACTTCCTCTCTATGACCTTGGAACTCTCTTGTGGTTGTATTCATGATTGTTTCGAATTGTACTTTAGACAAGAAAATATGAATAAATTATGCACCATTTAGGAATTGGTCCTTTCTCTCCAATTTCATGTTTTTAGAATATTTGGCTCAGTTTGGAGCTTATAATAAGAACTCACTGTTTCAAATGAATGCATCACTGCGCTGCCTATCATTTTCAGAGGGAATCATGGGATTCCCTCTGAGTACAGAAAGAGCTTGTGAAGAGAAAGTACAAGGTAAGGAAATACATGACACTAGATTGATGATTGACATTGCCATTTTAAGGCCTCTTTGTGCCTAAGTATTGGAGTTTGGGGTTATGTAATAACCTGGACTTCTTTTGAAAACCTAACCACTGTATATAGGGAGGTTTAGCATATATGTAAAGAGAAAATCTTTACATATATCTATATATATATCTATATATATATCTATATCTATATAGATATATATATATATATATGTAAAGAGAAAATCTTTACATATATATATATATCTATAGATATATATATATATATCTATAGATATATATATATCTATCTATATATATATCTATATATATATATATAGATATATATATAGATAGATATATATATGTAGTTAACATGTGCTGTTAGTGTACTTCTAAGCGGGAGGAGACCATAAAGGACCCAGAGGTCACAGCCAAGAGTAAGAGTGAGAGATGTAATGGTTGCTATGGAGCGTCATGCTACATATAGTTAAAAGTATTAAAATATATTTAAATACCTGAGATGACACTCATGAGAGGCACAACAATGGGGCCTGCTTCTGAAATCTTTATACAACTGGAGTTAACTGAGAAGATGACAAAAATGGTACAGAAGGGACCTCCAAGGCCATCGAGTCCAGTCCATGCCTGAACAAGAATCCCTTCACCCACACACTGAGCAAATGGCCATTCAGCATTTTCTTATGAGGCTCATTTGTCAGCCACAGGTCAGAAATGCAAGGTGGAAGTAGCTTTTACTTTTGAAAACTAAGCCAGGTTTTCTGCAATTAGATTTTTGTTTGCTTGTTTTTATTTCCTGGACCTGTGATTTCATCATGTAGGGAGTTCCTAGGGGAGTAATTGTTTCCATTGATTCAGACTGGCACCTGGTCTGCAACTTATAATCTCAACACTGAGAGGCTGATTTGTTCAGGGTCACACAGTCAGCATGCCTCCAAAGTGGAACTTGAACCCAGATCTATCCTTAGTCTGAGGCCAATTTGCTCTCTATTACCACCATGCTGCCTTTCACTGGATAAGGTTTTATAATCATATCCCCGGTGTGCCCCTGTCCATCTAGGCTTTTTGCTTTCACTGTATATTAGGACTTGATCCATCACATAAATAAATGCCACTATGCCAAGGAAAGTAGCATCTTCTGGCATTAGAATACATGCATTCATACAAAGTGATATAACAAGTGTCCTTCATCACCCTCTTCTCTCCCTTGCATAGTAGGTGGTTTCCTATCTCATCTAACTTTAGATCCAGAATAATATTTTGTCAGCTTCATTTCTTTAAGTGAACAATATGCATTGAAAACCATGCAAAGGATTAATTTTGGGGAATATCATTGACTTTGTGAGTTTATGTATAGAAGTGGTTTATTTTATATATTTGGTGCTCATACATTATGTAGAGAACTCACTATGTATGCAATACTGAATTTGTTCCAGGAAAATTTACCAAAAAAAATGCTTGCTGAGTTTGAGGATTTCATAGTGTGAAGGAGAAGAAAATAGATTTTTCTTGAAATATTACAATGACAAAAAGCAACCTCCCAATGCCCCCCCCCAAAAAAACCCCCAAACCTAAAACAATCCACCACCAACAGTAAGATTCAACTATGTTGAACCTTTCCCTAAGGCCTAGGCCAATGTCTCTTAGGCGACATGGTATTTGAGAGGCTCATGAACCAGGAGTAATTAGGCCATTCCAGGAAATCTCCAGTGGTCTGGAGTCTCCTTTGGGTGCTTGGTCTTAACATTTCCACTTCTACCTACATTTCTGAGTACTATATTCAAAGTATAACAGTTTTTCAATGAGAACATTTTTCTTCCCATCAAGAGAGATGAAACTCTGGAAGAAATCAAGATTCTAGGAGAATGAAAATGAAGTAAAAGGCAGTAACAACAGTTTACTTTCATCTTATTGTTATATATTGGTGAGAAATACACAAGTAAATGATGTCCTTTTTGTCAAATGGGTTGGCAGTTTCTTTCCCATCCAAGAATGTGCAATTTAACACAGCAGTCCACAAAGCTAAAATACTTCATTAACAAGATGAGCAGTGTCGAGAAAAAATTTAGTGTGAACTTCCAAAATTGTCTAAGTCACACAGCCAGGTGAATACTGATTCCTCTGTTGCTACCATACTCATTGTTTTATATATGCACGTATGCCTGGCCTCATTCATTCATTTTAAAAATTAGTTTTATTGACACTTTTTTGTATCATGTCATTTCCAGATTTACCACCCTACTTCTTCACTCTTTTCCTCTTCCCCTCACCCCCAAATCAGTAACAAGCCAACACATTATTTATCAAGTGATTACCACTCACGAGCAGCTCACCCATAAGTTAATAACCTGCTGATGGAACCATGGCCTTTTTTGTAATGTCATCTGTAGTCTTTTAAAACCAAAAGCTAAGTTATAATGAGAAGATGGTTAGCTCAATTGTTTATGGAGTGGTGCTGATAATACTAAGATTGTATGGAACACAGGAGAGAAATTCTAAGCTATTTTCAAAAAACTCTATCAGTGAATTGAAGACCCTTGAACTGGTTGCTTGGTATTATAAAGACAAACAGGCTAGTTAAATAACTAAAATGACTTAATTTTTCAAGCCTGTTGCTATGGTAACATAGCCAGACTCTGTTGAGAGGACTAAATATTAAAATAAAGACATAAACCAACAGATTTTCTCTTTTCTGCCTTTTGGGTCAAGGGGGCATGCACAACTTTAGTTGTTTTCTCCCAAGCCTTGTAAACCCACCCACAGCACCCTTTGCATCTTTAATTGGAATTCATATTCTTATAGTTGGATGGAAATAAGCCAATGTCTCTGCAGCAAAATATATTATCCAACAGTAAACTCTCAATTCCTTGGAAGCTGGAGTTACACTGAGGTATGAGAAATGATCACTGTCTATGGCAATATGACAACCTGGACTATGCCTAATTACTGCATCTAATTAGAAATTCTAGACAACATGCTCTGTTTGATGGTATAGCTAAATCCTTTGTTCTAAGAGGCAAATATAATACATAACACATTTCTTATTCCTTCACTGCATTTTCAATTCAATCTCAGTTTAAAAACCTAGGATTCAATTACCCATGATCTTCCCATTTAAACAGGTATAAGTTCCAACAAAATTAAAGGGAAGGAAGAAATTTCTTTCAGACATGTTTAGCCTTCACTAGTATTTTCCATAGTAATCATCTCTCCTGCTTTATCTGTGACTGTCTTGTTTTCAGGATATTATGTCAAAGTTCAGGAGAATGTTTTCCTAAGACCAAATGGTGTTTACATAGAAAAAGTATAGTGTAGGTAATTATTTGAATAATTCAAATCCCCACACTCTGCTATCAAGAAAAAGGACAAGGTTTAGGTAGTCCAATACAACTCAGTTCAATCCATCAAATATTTATTGAGAATCTACTATGTACATGGCACTGTGCTAATTACTGAGACTACAAAGATGAAAACAAAATAGTCTTTGTCCTCAGGGGGATTATATTCTGCAGGAATCATACCAATTAATTTCCATAGGGATTGACTTCATTACTCCACTTCATGTGGCTTGATCATTCGTTTCTTCAATATTTACTGAATACTTATTATGTATAAGTCACTAGAAAGAAAAATAAGATAATGCTTATAGTTTTAGCCTGTGTCCATGTTGACATTTATGCAGAACTCACTTCCCTCTTTAAAATCATATCTGCTTTCTGTAGACACAGAAAGAACAAAGGGATGATTTCTGATATGCTAATCATCATTCTTTTGACCCTTGGCTGCATCCATGCCCCCATATGTGGTTCAGTCTCTGAACTCTCACACTGAGTATATATTCCAAGTAGTTTGGATCATCATAGCTCAGTTGCAGCTATATTCTCCTTCCAGCTGCATCCTCAGAATTCATCCTTATGGAGCTAATAAAGCATGTAGTTAATTAGTTATGACTTAAAGGAGATCATTCAAAATCTCAGATTTAGTTCATTTCAATTTAAAAAATCTAAAAAGAAATTAGCCATTTGGGGTCAAACTGTTGACAAATTTGTATGGGGACCACATTGGAGCCCGTAAAAATCTTATTATGATTTTATGTTTTTGCTCACAGGGTGTTGGTGGGAGGTGGCATGAGAAAGTGTGCTGGATGGGGAGTTGGAAAACTTAGGGTTTAGTCTGGGCTCTGAAACTAATTCTTGTTTGACCCTGGCCAGAACACATTTCATTTCTCTGGGTCTTAGTTTGCTCAGTATAAAATGAAGAATACTAGACAATCTCTATTGATCTTTCCAACTCTGAAACCCTATTATTTCCCTGTTAAAACTTTGTCCCCATTATTACTCTTTGTTGTGCTGGTTTGGTTACTGCCCCCTTAGAATAGTGATTATTAAGAATTTGCATCTTATCTGGGAGGTTAAAAGAGCTTCTTTCTCATCCCTGGTTTCTCAAACCATCCTTAAGCTTGCTGCTTCTTTAGAAGTGGTTTGAAAGAAGAGGTCAGGAGCTTTCTAATGATAAAGAGCATCCTTAGTCATTTACTGCTAATGTAGAGCATGGTATAGTGGAAAGACCCCCCTGTATTTGGCATCAGAATTCAAGTCCTAGGCCAGCCATTTACTATCCTTGTGACCTTGAACTAGACATTTAACCTCTAGGCTACTCAGTTTCCTTATCTCTAAAATGAAGGGGTTGGTTTAAGATGACCTTTAATATCTCTTACTGATGGAAATCTATGATCCCATTTTCATCTGAGGTGTGACTGCATTCCTTTGAATTTTCCCATAGAGTAATTGTTCTTAGTATAACTGAGGCAGTTATAGTGGCACATTGGTTAAGAAGTCTGGATTTGGAGTTCTGGCCTCAGATTTACTAGCTATGTAACCGTAGGTATGTTACTAAGCTTCTGTCTGCCTCAGTTTCCTCATATATAAAATGGAAATAATAAGGGCACCAACCTCTTAGGTTGTTATAAGGATAACATGAGATAATATTTATAAAAAATTTTGCAAACCTCAAAGTGCTATATGAATTATAGCTAATAATAGTAATAATAATAACTCTTTGTGGTTTGTGTATTTCCAGTGAAGAAGAGTTTCAAACGTGGAAATGACACAAACCAAATGTCATTGAGCAAATTTCTGGTGAATTCTGCCTTGTTCCTCAAAATCTAAAAGTGGAGTGAGCCTAGGGGATCTTTTTGAGTTTATAAATAGTAAATTTAGATCTATAAGGGACCTTAGAGACCTTTTAGTTAAAGCCCTTTATCTGCTGATGGGAAAATTGATCCAGAGTGATTTGCTCAAAGACACACAGTCAGGAAGCAGCAATCAGAATCTGGACTTTGGTCCTTCACTGTGGCTATGCTATACATAATATGATTTGACCTTTCTTGGGGGCAGTTCAATCGTGAGGATGATGTAGGCTGGGGTCCATCTCTAGTTGTCCTGATCTATATGTCACCACTGGACCCAGATGGCTCTGGAGGAGAAAGTGAGGCTGGTGACCTTGCACAGCCCTCCCTCACTCAAATCAAAGTCAATTGTAAGACATGTTATCATCTCCCTGATGTCATGGTCCTCTTCAAGAATGAAGGACAAATACAACAATGATATAGGCTAGACTCAAGATGTTCTCAGACTAAACTGTCAAGGGTCTTGAGTAAAAATAATGAAGTAGGCTGTGCAGTGTGATTTAATAAAAAGAGTAATTAAATTAGAGTCATAGGACCTTGGTTTGAATACCAGCTTTTCTACTGATTGCGTGTGTTAACATAGGCGAGTTGCTTAAACTATAGATTCCAGGTTCCTCCTCTGTAAAATGAAGAGTGTGACTTCTGAGGTCCTTTCCAGCTCTAAGTTTTATGAATCATATTGTCTTTTGCACTCTTCCACATGCCTGAAAGATGATGTAATAGAAACAGTACTGGCTTTGGATATAGGATGGAAGGAGGGAGAGAAGGAATAAGCCTTTACATAGCACTTACCGTGTGCCAGGCATTCTCTAAGTGCTTTTTAGAAATATCTCATCTGATATTCACAACATTTGGAACAATGGTATTTGAGTTTCCAGCTTACCTATTGGTTTTTTTTGTTTGTTTTTTAGGCAATTGGGGTTAAGTGACTTGCCCAGGGTCACAGAGCTAGTAAGTGTCAAGTGTTTTGGTCTGAGGCCAGATTTGAACTCAGATATTCCTGACTTCAGGGCCGGTGCTCTATCCACTGCGCCACCTAGCTGCCCCCTCCAGCTTACCTATTAAGGGACATGTATGACTCTTAGCAAAATACTTTACTCCTTTAAGGTTCAGTTTTCTCTCCTTTAAAATGAGAATAATAATTTGTGTTCCCTTACAGGGTTGTTGAGTAAGTAGTATTTTGCAAGCAACAAAGTACTATATCAATTCAGTTCATTAGCATGTCCGTTAAATGCCATTACTAGGCCAAGTACTTGGGAAAATACAAAATTTAGAGAAGATATAGTCTCTGCTTTCATGGAATTTACAGTCCAGTAGGGGAGATAACCAAGCAATAGATAACGATAAATCATAGTAGATAATGAAAGGGCCATGACCACTGATTTCATTGACACAGGGAGTTTCTGGACAAGGAAACTCCTATAGATGCAGGTTAGCAACTTCTCACAATTTAGAGTCTTGGAGAGATGCCTTGAACCTGAGAGGTTAAGCTGAGATCACAGAGCTATTTTTTTTTTGTCAGAGACTGGACTCAAATCGGAGTTTTTCTATCTGTTATACCATACTACCTCTCTGTTATAAGCAGAGTATTTCATTATTGTGGGCAGCTAGATGGTACAGTGGGTAGAGTGTCAGGCCTGAAGTCAGGAAGACTCTTCTTTCCAGCCTCATATATTTACTAGCTATGTGACCCTGGGCAAGTCACTTAATCCTGTTTGCCTCAATTTGCTCATCTTTAAAGTGAGCTAGAGAAGGAAATGGCAAACAACTCCAGTATCTTTGCCAAGAAAACCCTAAAGGGGGTCACAAGGAGTCAGACATGGCTGAAAAAATGACTAAAACAAAATTTCATTATTACTAAATGACATTATTAATACATTGTAGAATACATAGGCACATTAGAATTGTCAAACAAAGTGCCATGTAAGGTCCTATAGAGAAGTGGGGATTAATCTGCTTGAATGAAAGTGTATTTAGTAGGCAAAGAGATGAAAGGAAGTATGAGAAATAACGTGAACAAATACAGGGATCAGGGAGGTGAAGGGCATGTTGGGGGAAAGGATTCAGTAGCCTAGTTTGAAGTATAGAATACAAGGAGGAAAATAATACCATGAGATCGAACTGGAAATGTAGCTGTACCAGATTACAAAAGGTCCTGAATCTTAGGTAAAAGAACCTGAACTTTACTTATGAGATACTAGGGAGACATTGAATAATTTTAAGCAGAAGAATGGCATGACCAGATCTATGCATAAGCAAGATTAGTCTGGCAACAACATGAAAGGTAGATGAGAAGGAGACAGAGAGTGGAAAATGAAGGTAGGAAACTCAGTGAGGAGAAATTGCAATAAGCCAGATAGATAACGATGGTTGCAATCATAGTATGAAGGAGTAGCAAAAGATAATGTGGAAGTGGAATTGACAAGACTTGGAAGCTCTAGGAGAGATGAAGGAGAAGGAAGAAGGAAGAGTTAAAAATAACACAAAGGGTTTAGACATGCGATACTGAGTTGATGATGCTATCACTAACAGAAATGCTAAGTCAGGAAAAGGATTATTTTGGGGAAAAGATAAGAAGTTTGGCACTGGAGGTGGTAAACTTGGTACCTCCAACTTGATATACTATGTTATTTAAACCTCAACTTATCTAAAACAGAACATACTATCTTTCTTGCCTAAACTCACTCCTCTTTGTATTCCTGACAAGGACATCACCATCCTTTCTATCATTGAATCATCCTCCAGTCTTCATTCTCTCTCATCCTCCATATGCAATCATTGCCAAGCTGTGTTTATTCTACTTCTGAAGCATCTAACACATCCTTCCCCTTATCTTTACTCACACAGCCATAAGGCAAACTACCGAAGCAGAGCAAATATTATCTTTCCTCATCAAACTTCCTCCTCAGAAGTCTAGTATGCTTCCTCCTTACCGCCTGGGACCTTCCACTGTGGTTGTTCACAGCTGCCTTCCTTCCCTGGACAGGCTTTTCCTCTTTTCCTACCCCATGATAACAACAGGGATCCGAATACATCTGTACAGTGACAAAATGCTTTGATCTTCATTCTCTCATTTGGTAATAACAATGACTGACATTTATTTAGAACTTCAAAATTTTCAAAGTGCTTTACATGCATATGCTCATGTGTGCTTCGCAATGACACTGTGAGATAGGTGCTACAGATGTCGTGATCTCCATTATACAGAAGAGGAAACTGAGACTCAGAAAAGTTAAGTGATTTACTCATAGTCATGTAATGAGTAAGTATCAAGGCAGGATTTGAACTCAGGTCTTCTGCTGCTCTGTTGCTGAGGATTTTACCTGCATGTATTTTGTTATAGTTTCTCCATGATAGAATATAAGTTCCTTGAGTGCAAGGTCCATCTCATTTTTGTTTTTTACATATGGGTTTTAACAAATACTTATTGAATCAATGAATGAATAAATTGAACATTGGAAATTACGGGGATTGTTAACATATGTACTTGATCCATATATATAATCATCCATGAATATACCAAAACCCCTGAATCAAAGAGATGAAATGATAATAATATCATGCTAACATTTACATAGTGCTTCAAGATCTGCAGGTTTTAGAAATGTCTCTTTTTTCTCACAATAATATTGGGAAATAGGTGCTATTATACCCATTCTACAGATGAAGAAACTAAGGCAGACAGAAGTTAAGTGTTTTGCCCAGGGTCATGTAGCTGTTAGGCGTCCAAGGTTTTGATTTGAATTTGGGTTTTCCTGACTCCAAGTTCAGCACTCTATCCACTGTGCCATCTATGGACCCCTGCTAAATAGTCATATCATTCCAGACAGAAGAGTACATTTCTTTAAAGACGAATCTATATTGATTCAAATCTAGTCCAGGATTGAGAATTCTTACATTGCTGGCCAAAGCATCTATACCATCATTATATAAGGCTTCCTATCTTGGGTCAAATCCAATGACTGCCATTTAAAACAGCCAAGAATCCTCTCAGTCATCTGCTGAGAATGTAGTGTTACTGAAATATCTGAACGGGCACAGGCAAAGTGTTGCAGACTCTTTTGATTGGAATGTCCAGCCCTAGAAGGATGAGCAGGACCACTTACAGTAAAGTTGGAAGTGTATAAGCTTAGAGGTAGCTTAATAGTTTACATTTATATTTTTCTAGTTCTTCTAGTTGTTCCATGAATAACTCCATCACTCAGCTTGGGACACATTATATGGCCATCCTCCGTGTCTCAGATGCTCTCCCTTTTCATCTCTGCTGCCTGGCTTCCTGGGCTTCCTTTAAGTCCCAGCTAAAATCCCACCTTCTACAGGAAACCCTTCCCATCCCCTCTTATTTCTAGTACCTTCCCTCTGTTATTTTCTGTTTATCCTGATCATAGTGTGTCTGTACATATTTGTTTGCTTGTCTCTCCCTTTAGGTTGTGAGCTCCTTGAGGGTAGGCATTGTTGTTTTTTTTTTGCCTGCCTTTGTATCCTCAGTGCTTAGTCCAGTGCAGGGCATAGAGCAGGCACTTAATAAATACTTATTGACTGACTGACAGCAATGTGGGAGGTTCAAGTATTATTACACTCATTTTACAAATGAGGAAACTGAAGGTCAGAGAAGCTGTGATTTGCTGAAGTTTGTACAGATAGCAAATGTTAGAGCCAAGATTGAAACACAAATCTCCTATCTTCAAAATCAATCCTGTTTTCTATACCTTAAGTATAGGAATAACCTTAATGGTCTCATCAATCAGTAAAGCATCTCAGTCCCTGATTGGTAGAATCCCTGATTCTGTTAGGCTATAATCTCAAGACTGCAAGTATGCACCTTTTCTTCTATGTACTTTGTAGAGGTCCTAGCACTGACTTGTTAGCAATTTATCTTTACAATAGCAGGAGAGTCTTATGCTGCTCCTAAACTTCATGATGGTATGGTCCTAAAACTCTGATAGTGGATAGGGAGCTTTGGAATCAGGAGGACCAGGTCTCAAATTCTACATCATATACTCTTTGCATTGCCCTGGCCAAGTAATTTAATCTCACTAGTTTTAGTTTCCTCATCTGCAATATAAGGGGGTTGGACTTAGGGACCTCTAAGATCCCTTCCAACTCTAAATCTATGATCTTATGATTTTATGATCCAAAATGGGAAAGCTTCCATGCCTGGCCTGGTGATAAATTGTAAGTCTCTTATAATGGCCAAGCTGGCCACTTTCAGAAAGGCTTATATTAGAAGACTGACCGCCAAGGTGATTATTTTTTTTTGTACTGTAGTTACTTATGAAGACCATCTGCTAAGGCTCAGAGTAGGATGCAATCTGTATTAGTGGAGGGATTATCTGCACAAATAAAATTATAGATACTTCAAATAATGAAATGTTAGGAAGAAGAATGCTCTGTGGCTACCACAGAGTTGAGCACATAGTGCATATTCGGAAAATATTGATTGAACTTAAATTGATAGAGTAATAGTCATGTAACTGTTCTGCTTCTCTATATATGTGTCTGTGAGTAAATTGCTGCTACCTCTATGCATGACACTCTTCTCTCTATTATTTCACCTAAGAAAATTGTAGCTGATCCCTATGATGTTAGTACTTTTATTATCTGTTCAACTTTTTCACCAAGGGCAGATTATTTGGAGGATCTTATTTACTATCTACGGTCACTATATTAACAGAACAGGCAATTTCTACATCTTATTTAACTTGAACATAATGAGAACCTAACAGTGCTATTTCCATGGTAGAGGGTCAAGACAATCCTCTCCCCGCCAAAAAATAGAAGTTTGTGGTATGTTTATTATTTTTCAACCCTGAATATTTTCCTTCCCTATTCCTTCTTCCTAGTCAACTAGAAGGGGCATAAGAAATTTTGGGAGTGGGAGATTTGGGGTTGTATAAATAAGGACAATTTTAGAGGGGATGACAATTTCATTTTTAATTTGACTTTCTTTTTCTAAGGTGAACATTTGAAATTAAAAAGTTTCTATCTATTCCCTTCCCTCATTACTAAAATTGTGTAAAGCAAAACCTCATTAAACTCCCTGACTGAGGGAATGTCAGACTGAATGAGTTAAATGTTTGAACTATAGAATATTTGCAAAGCTATTCGCTTTGAAGTGCATAAAATCAAACTGGGATAACAACATCCATTCATTTATCTGGACATTACTACTTCTGAGTTAAAAGGTCCTTGGCTGAATTGTTTTCATGATGAGTTAAAATGAGTTAGCAAGTAATATATATGTGTGTGTGTGTGTGTGTGTGTGTATGTATGTGTGTACACATACATACACACACATATATGTGTATGTATGTGTGTATACTTTATATGTGTGTGTATATATGTGTATATATGTAGATAGATAGATAGATAGATAGATAGATAGATAGATAGATAGATAGGCTAGAAAATACTGTTGCTGTTTTACAACACAACCCACATTGAAAATCAGCCTTCAAAAGAGGCTACTCAGTGTAGTGGAAAGATCAGTGCTTTGGAGGCAGAGGATCTGAGTATTTATATAGCAGTCTTTTATAAAACAGTGTGCTTGATTTTCACTGTGACTTATGGAAGCAGTGGCAGTATTTTCTAGCCAATCATACAATATCATCAATATATCTATATTCATATCCATATCTTTATCTCCCTCTACCTTTATATCCATATCTACCTTTATATTTATATTTGTATCTATATCTGAATGAATATATATCGACCTCTGTATCTATATCTCTATATCTGTATCTATCTGCATCTATATCTATATAAATATAGATATCTATATCTGCAACTATATTTCTTTTTAAATTTTTTTTGAGTTATCACTGTTTTATTTTATTATTTTTTAATATAAATTCATTTATTTTTAGTTTTCAACATTCACTTCCGCAAGTTTTTGAGTTCCAAGTTTTCACCCCATCTCACCCCTCCCCCACCCCAAGATGGCATGCATTCTGAACATCCCTTTCCTTAGTCTGTCCTCTCTTCTATCTCTTCCCCCCCTTCTTATCCCCTTCCCCTTCTATTTTCCTGTAGGGCAGGATAGACTTCTGTACCCCGTTTCCTGTATTTCTTACTTCCCAGTAGCATGTGAAAACATTTTTTTAAACATATGTTTTTAAAACTTTAGTTTCAGATTTTCTCTCTTCCTCCCTCCCACCCACCCTCATTGAAAAGGCAAGCAACTCAATATAGGTTGTACATGTGCAGTTATGCAAAACACTTCCATAGTAGACATGTTGTGAAAAACTAACTCTATTTCCCTTAATCCTATCCTGCCCTCCCATTTATTCTATTCTTTCTTTTGACCCTGTCCCTCCTCAGAAGTATTTACTTCTGATTACCCCCTTTCCCAATCTGCCCTCCTTTCTATTATCCCCCTGCTCTCTTGTCCCCTCTATTTTCCTGTAGGGTAAGACAGATTTCCATACCCAATTGAATGTGTATGTTATTCCCTCCTTAAGCCAAATCCTATGAGAATAAGATTCACTCATTCCCTCTTACCTTCCCCCATTTCCCCTCCACTGTAAGAGCCTTTTCTTTTCTGTTTTTTTTTTGTGTGAGATAATTTACCCCATTCTACCTCTCCCTTTCTTCTTCTCTGAATATAATCCTCTCTCATCCCTTAATTTTATTCTCCAGATAAGACCCCTTAATCTTCAACTCACCCTGTGCCCTCTATCTATCTATCTGTCTATCTATCTATCTATCTATCTATCTATCTATCTATCATCCGTACATACAACTTTTTTCCTCCAACTACCCTAATACTGACAAATGTCTCATGAGTTATAAATATCATCTTTCCATGCAGGAATGTAAACAGTTCAATCTTAATAAGTCTCTTATGATTTCTCTTTCCTGTTTACCTCTTCATGTTCCACTTGAGTCCTGTATTTGAAAGTCAAATTTTCTATTCAGCTCTGGTCTTTTCATCAGGAATGCTTGAAAGTCCTCTATTTCACTGAATGACCATTTTTTCCCCTGAAGGATTATACTCAGTTTTGCTGGGTAGGTGATTCTTGGTTGTAATCCTATCTCCTTTGCCCTCTGGAATATTATATTCCATGCCCTGTGGTCCTTTAATGTAGAAGCTGCTAAATCTTGTGTTATCCTGATTGTGTTTCCACAGTACTTGAATTGTTTCTTTCTGGCAGCTTGTAATATTTTCTCCTTGACCTGGGAACTCTGGAATTTGGCTACAATATTCCTAGGAGTTTTCCTTTGGGGATCTCTTTCAGGAGGAGATCTGTGGATTCTTTCAATTTCTATTTTGCCCCCTGGTTCCAATATATCAGGGCAGTTTTCCTTGATAATTTCTTGAAAGATGATGTCTAGGCTCTTTTTTTTATCATGGCTTTCAGATAGTCCAATAATTTTTAAATTCTCTCTCCTGGATCTATTTTCCAGGTCAGTTGTTTTTCCAATGAGATATTTCACATTGTTTTCTAATTTTTCATTCTTTTGGATTTGTTTTACAGTGTCTTGATTTCTCATAAAGTCACTGCTTCCAATTGCTCTATTCTAATTTTTAAGGAAGTATTTTCTTCAGTAATCTTTTGGACTTCCTTTTCCATTTGGCCAATTTTTCTTTTTAGGGCATTTTTCCCTCATTGGCTTTTTGGACCTCTTTTGCCATTTGGGTTAGGCTATTTTTTAAGGTGTTATTTTCTTCAGTATATTTTTGGGTCTCCTTTAGCAAGCTGTTGACTTGTTTTTCATGATTTTCTTGCATCACTCTCATTTCTCTTTCCAGTTTTTCCTCTGCTTCCCTTACTTGCTTCTCAAAATCCCTTTTGAGGTCTTCCAAGGCCTGGGACTGATTCATATTTTTCTTGGAGGCTTTGGATGTAGGAGCTTTGACTTTGTGGTCTTCTTCTGGTTGTATATTTTGATCTTCTTTTTCACCAAAGTAAGATAATATAGTCTGACTCTTTTTGCTCTGCTTGCTCATGATCCTGGACATTTACTTGAGTTTTAAACTCTTTGTTAAGGTGACAGTCTGCTTCCAATGTGGAGAGTGTACTGTCCCAAGCTTCAGGGGTTTATACAGCTGTTTTCAGAGATACTTGTAGGGACCTGTAAATTTTCAGTTCTTGTAAGGTGGTATGATAAGGGGTGAGGTGTTTACTCCTTTCCTGACCTGTGACCATGAGTACTCCTTTCTGTCCTGTAACTGTGAGGAGGGGTTCCTCTCCACAGCCACTCCAAGCTCTACCACACCAGCGCTCCTCCTCACCCCAGCACTGCCACCCAGAACTGTGACCCAGATCCAAGCACAGGCAAAGCAAGAGATTCCTGCCTCAGCACTGGCAAAGAGATCCCTGCAATCCCTCTCTGATCAGCCACTGGATTCCCCCTCAGTCAGTGGGCTAGAAGCTCAGGAATCAGCTGCACCACCACCCCCAGGGCCGCACTCTTGGGGAATGGAGCTGAGACCCCGCCTTCCTCTCTCAGCACTGACAGAAACAGACTTTTCCCACTGACCTTCTAAGTTGTCTTTGGCATTCGTGGATTGAGTAGTCTGGAAACCTCCACAGCTGCAGGTGATTCAGTCCTCTGAGGCCTGCTCCAGGTTTGCTGGGCCTGCGGGTCATGCTGTGCTCCACTCCCAGCCCAGCGCAATACACCTTTCTGATCAATCATCCAGGTTGTCTTGGGCTGGAAATTTGTTTCACTCTGTCTTTTTGTGGGTTCTGTTGCTTCAGAATTTGTTTAGAACCATGTTTTATGAGTATTTGGCGGGGTTTGGGGGAGAGCTCACGCAAGTCACTGCTTTCACTCCTCCATCTTGGCTCTGCCCCTGCAACTATATTTCTAACTGCAACCATGTCTATATCTACCTTTATAGCCACCTCTGTATCTATATCTATCTATATCTGCATCCATATCTATCTCTGTCTCTAGATCTGGATTCATATCTATACTTCTATATTCATATCTGTATCTATATCTATATTCATATCTAAATCTACCACTGTATCTATGTCTATACACACATATGCACATATTGGTTACTCTACTAATTGCCAGTATTTAAACTTAGCATGGAAACAGTTTGGCCAAGGATCTTTTTACATTTTCAAACAAATCTTTTTACTTTTAGGCCTGTTTCTTCTGCAGTAGAATATGGTTACTAGTGACTGCCCTACTCCCTAACTCACTGGGTCATAGGGTTATAGATTTGCAGCAGTAAGGTATTTCAGAGGCCATCTGGTCCAGGCTTCACATTTTACAGATGAGTAAACTGAGTCCAAGGGTTATCCAAGGTTACCGAGGAAGTGATCTTCAGACTCCAAAACCAGTGCTTTTTTTCCATAAGAGAAATTATTTGTATGAAAACATTGTGTGGCATGCAAGGTGTTAAACATACTTCAGAAGTGGTGCTTCAAAAAGGGTTCATCTGAAAACATATCTAAAAACCACTTTCTGTCATAAGTATTTTGAAAACTGACCCCTTCTCTTGGAAATCCTCACACTATTAATTTTCACTTTAAATGAGGAAAGATTTGCTCAGCCTAAGTATTACACTAACATTTATAGAGCTTTTTAGGGCTTGCAAAGTACTTTACTGATATCTCATTTGATCTTCATTAACAACTCTGGGAAATGGGAGCTATTAACCCCATTTACAGTTGAGAAAACAGAGGCAGACAGAGGTTAATTGACTTGTCCAGGGTCACAGGTAAGTGCCTGAGGCAGAATTTGAACTCAGTTTCTTCCTGACTCGCTCTACTGGCTTGTCCACTGCCACTAACCCAGCCCAGCCCCTGGACCCATTATTGCAAATTCAAAATAAATGGAATATGACTTTAAAAAAAACTATACGTACCATTTAGGCTGCATTTTGCAGCATTGGGTTGTTTAGTGAAATGTTTTCAGGGTTTTTTCCATTAAAAAGGAGGGACAGGAAATTACTTAGAAAACATTATTGTCTTGTAGTTTAATTATAAAATTTAGTGAAGGACTTCAATCAACCCACTGACTTGCTATATGACGCTGGAATACTTACTTGCTCTCTTTGGGTCTTTCTTCACAGGACTGGAATGACTGCAGCATCTCCTTGCTAATTTATGATTGTTTTTAAAGAAGAAAAAAAAATAGGATTATTAGCCTGGAAAATAAGGAATTTAAAATTTGAAATATGAAGTAAAATAATGAAAATGCAGGCATTTTTGTAGTTTCCAAAGATTAATTTTTGTTTTTGTTTCAGGATTTTGTTTTATGTAGGTTTTTATCATTTGTCTTCACAGGGCTATGGATTGGGAGGTAGGGATGCTCATGGTGAATTGGACATAAGAAATGATATAGCCTGGATGAAAAAGGTATTACCTTCATTAAAAGTCATATTATGTTTAACCATATAGTTTTGAAACAATATACTTTTTATTGTCCATACAACCATTTAACAAACATTTATTGACTATTTACTTTGAGAAAAGTCATATAGGGTATACAGAAAGAATAAAGCAAACATCTGCCCTCATGAAGCTTGTAGTCTAGTGAGACAGATAAAACATTTAAACATCTAATTGTAATACAATATGAATATCTAATTGTAATACAACATGGAACATGAAAATGTCATAAAAAGAGATACAAAGTACTACAAAAGTTTGGAAAAGGCATCCAATCCAATCTTACAAGTATTTATTAAACACCTATTACATGCAAAGCACAGTGTTAAAGAAGGGAAGGGAAGAGAAAGGGAAAGGGGGAAGGAGTAAGGGGGAAGAGGGAAGGGAGAAGGGACAGACCTTAAAGAGCTTGTTATTTCATTTGTTTCTACTTTGTTAAATGTTAGGGATTTTGTGTAAGATTTTAATCTTTATTTTATTCTTTGTTGATGGTTATATTTATAATTTAATTATTTTAGTTTAAATAAAATAGTTTGACTTGATGCCTGAATATGATGTACAGGAACCTGAAAATGGATCAGAATTTTCTTTACCAAGAGTAAGTATCAGTAATTTCTTTTCCAGAGTAATGGCATAACCCTATAGATAAGGTTCTATTCCCTCCCAAAGAAGCCAGATTGTACTCACCAGTCCCTGTAGCTGGTGCTGGTGTCATCCAGTGAACAATAGCTTGGTATGAACCAAATAGCACTGTATGTTGCTAGGGAGAACCTCACAAGGGATAAAACTGTGTAGATGGATTGTAAAAGACCAAGATGCCAAATCTAAATTCCTTCATGTGATTCCAGTCACATCCTACAATGAACTCATTGAAAGACTGAGAATCTTTTCAGAAAACTGTCCTGCCATCTGTGACAATGAATTCACTGTTTTCTTAATCTTAACTCTCCATGTCAGCAAAGGAAACCTGAGGTACCAGGCAATAGAAAGCTGAGCCATCCACAATCTTTTGACATGAAAGCCTATTTGGCATGATTGGAGTGAATGACTCACTTGGACTGGAAGTTGACCACAAAGTCCTTTAGTTTGGGGCTTTTCCCAATCTATAGTGCTTCAGGGTCCTGAACAGGGGACCTAAGGAGATTTGTTCTATAAATGCTATTGCACAGGAAATGCAAGATATACCTGAAGGGGAAAAGGATACAGTCTCAGGTGTTTAGTCTATAGAGAGTAATCAAGAACTTGTCCTTCTGCTGCTTTATCTTGTCATCATTCAAAGTTGTTTATTAAATTGCTCACTTAATCTTAGCATCCTTGTGGTCATTTGTGTGTGGGGAGAAACAAACTTCTGATAATTCAGTGGCAGTCCTGTATGTTATTCCTGGTATCACAGCATTTAAAGCACCATTACTTGACTCTCTCATTTAGGTCCTTTGGCTTGGCAGAGTTGGATTTATGATGTGAAAATCTCTGTTCAGGATGGTACTAAGATGGCTCATATCTTCCCCAACCTCAGTGGGACTTAGCTGAAAGTACCTGAGGCACAGAGCTTCACCTAATATGAAGTGACTAGGAGGGTAAAGTATCCCATGGGGAAAGGGCCATGATCAGAATATTTTGTATATGCTACCCTGAAACCAGGGGAGATATTCATGAGTGAGTGATTCCATCATTCAATGTGGGAAATTGTTTTGCTGGATTATGCATATTTGTTATGAAGGCCTTCTTTCTTTCTTTCTTCCTTCCTTCCTTCCTTCCTTCCTTCCTTCCTTCCTTCCTTCCTTCCTTCCTTCCTTCCTTCCTTCCTTCCTTCCTTCCTTCCTTCCTTCCTTCCTTCCTTTCTTTCTTTCTTTCTTTCTTTCTTTCTTTCTTTCTTTCTTTCTTTCTTTCTTTCTTTCTCTCTCTCTCTCTTTCTTTCTGTCTCTCTTTCTCTCTCTCTCTCTCTTTCTTTCTTCTTTCTTTCTTTCTTCCTTCCTTCTTTCCTTTCTTTTCTGCTTTTGGTGGGTAGGACAGAGTAAATGCTTATGAAAATAAACAAATACATTTGTAAAAGGAAAAAATAAAGTTGTTGAGGCCTAAAAGTGGGTGAGAAAAGTGCCTGATAACTCAGTGAATAAACCAAAGGAACTAATGTTATGTTGTCACACAAGTTACTGATAAATTGTCAGAATTTGGCTAACTAGTTTAAGGGACATAATCTATTTCTCTGACATTATCATCTAACAAATAGAGCATAGCCAGTCAGTCAATAAACATGTAAGAAGTGCCACCTACAATGTGCCAGGCATTCAGCTGAGTACTAGGGATATAAAGAAAAGCAAAAAAAAATTCTCTGCCCCTAAGGAGCTCACAGTGTAATGGGAGAGACAATGCACAAACAACTATGTATAAACAAGACGTGCACAGGATAAATTAGATATGTAATCTCAGGAAATAATTTCAGGGGAAAGGGACTAGCATTAAGGGGAATTTGGAAAGGCTACTTGCAGAAAATAGGAGTTTAGCTGAGACTTAAAGGAAGTCAGGAGGCAGAGATGAGAAGGGAGAGAATTCCAGACATAGTGGATAGCCCAGGAGTGGGGAACCTGTGCTCTCGAGGACACATGTTGCTTCAAGGTCCTCAAGGGCAGCCCTTTGACTGAATCCAAACTTCACAGAACAAATTTGTTTAGCCAGTTTAGCCAATGAATGTATAAACAGCAATGCAAGGGTTTAAATTGTACTTTGAATTGACTTTGGAACACACACCCAGAACACACACACAAACAAACACAGCTCAATGTCTTGAGTGACTGTTAAATCCTTTATGAGACATACCACCTGCATTCAACTTATTTTTAAAACAACAACAACAACAACAACAACAGAACAAATTTGTTGTGTGAGGTTTGGATTCAGTCAAAGGGCCACACCTGAGGACCTAAAAAGCAACGTGTGGCCTCGAGGCAACAGCTTCCCCACCCCTGGTGAAGATGCACTGAAAAGACAGAGTGCCCTTGTATGACGCATAGCAGAGTTCAGTGGCACTGGATCGTAGAGTACATGGTGACATTGCAGGGAAAAAGGTGTAAGAAGATTGCAAAGGTAGGACGGGGCCAGGTTGTGAAGGGCTTTGAATGCTCAATATAGGGTTTTCTATTTGATTGTGGAGGTGATCGGGAGATACCAGAGTTTACTGAATGGGGGGTGACATGGTCAGAACTGTGCTTTGCACACCCCCTTCTAATACCATATATCTGACTCACTAAATGACATTTTTGAGGAGGAAATTAAAATGAACAAATGAACGAATGTACACATAATAGTACATAAATATGATATGTAATAATATATCATTTTCCTTTCACATAATTTCCTCTCACTTTGGACTTTTAAGCAGCAGAAGTATAGAAATGATGAAAGGCTTGATAAGAGAAGTTGAAGAGGTATTTATTTAAGTCTTCTTTGCTAAAAGAAAATGAAAGAATGAACAGCCAGTGCTTACATGACTTCAGCTGTTTACAGGAATGTAAACAAGTTCTGTTGTTACAGAGAGTCAAAAGTGATAGATTATGCCAAGAGTCATAATGCTACCACTGGAGTAATATCACCACATGCATTACCCTCCCTCTTTTCTCTTCTTCTGTCCTTCTTTGTTAGTAGGTAGGGGGAAAATGGGTAGGGGACACTCTCTCTCTCTATATATGTATATATGTGTGTATATATGTATGCATGTATATATGTGTGTGCATGTATAAATATATTTATATGTACACACCCATATATATATATATATGAATATATGTAACATATAATATAGATTGTTAACCTAAAATGCATTTTCTAAAATATACATTCACATAGAGATAAACTTAAGAATATGTAATTGTAAGTATATTACATATAACAAGTATATTGTCATTGGGTTGTTTTGCAGTTGTGTTCAATTCTTCAAGACCCCACTTGAGGTTTTCTTGGTAGAGATACTGGAGTGGTTTGATATTTCCTTCTCCATCTCATTTTACAGATGAAGAGACTAAGGCAAACAGGATTAAATCACTTGCTCAGGGTCCCACAGCTAAGAAGTATCTGAGGCCAGATTTGAACTCAGGGAGATGAGTCTTCCTCATTCCAGGCCCAGTACTCTATCCACTTCACCACCTAGCTGACCCACTTAACTTTCTGTATATTTTGGGGATGGGGGGAAGTAGGAGATTCCTGGTGTGGAAATATGAGAATTCCTTCTACCAATGCAGCTTGGCAACTCTTCTGTGGTTTATGATCTTAGAGAGTTCCTAGGGCCCTGAGAATTTAATTGAATTGCCTATGTCACACAGTATGTTTCAGAGGCAGGATCTGAACACAAATCTTCCTAACTTCAAGACAAGTCCTTTATCCACTACACCATTCATTCATTCATTCTTTTCCTTCCTTCCCTCCTTCCTTCCTCCTTTCTTCCTTCCTCCCTTCCATTCTTCCTTCCATCCTTCCTTCTATCCTTCTATCCTTTCTTCTTCTCTCCTTTGCCCCCTCACTCTTTCCTATGATTTCATTGACAAAGAGAACTTCTGATGAACGAACATGATATGCTCTACTAAATAAAATCAGCCCCTGATCTGCTACAGTTTAGAGATTGTACAGGGCACTCATTGGGGCTTCTATTACTTAGTTTACAGATGAAGTAACAGGGTGCCAGAGGGGTTAAGTGATTTCCCCAAATCCACATAAACAGTATGTGTCAGATGCAGGACTCAGTATGGTATAAAATCCCATTAATACTGTTGATTGAACTTTCTGTATTTTTTTCCTAAATTTCAGTCTTTCCTTACTTTAGAAAAAAAAGTTTGGTATTAGTTGAGGGAAAGAATTGGTATAATTGGTAGAATCCCTGTGAATAGTATATACATTCTGGGATACTTCTTTCAAACTTTGTTTTTTAACCAGCCAAAGAGCCACCATTTATCAAGTCTGTGAAAGAGAATGGACTTTGGAGTCAGCTATTAAATAGCTTTGGCCCAGAAGTGTTCTTGTCTTCAAATATATGGAATGTGTCAGGTAAACACTCCATCTCCTGTTCTGGGAAATGTTTCTATTCTTTTATGTTCCATAATCCATCAATAAATCAAAAGGATAGGACATTTTGCTATTTGATCAATAAAAAAGAAAAAATTTTGTGATTCAACTGTACGTATGTCAATGAGTGACATTGTTAAATAGACGTTAATGTTGAAACAGGGAAACCATTTACTATCCTACAATGTTCTGAGTTTAGATTTTGATATGTTAATTTTTTTAAAGCTTTAATTTGATTTTTTTCCTATAAATTTATTCCTGGCTTTATAGCCTTTCTGCCTCCCCAATGGGAGCACTCTGCCCGTGCAGGTGATTTTATGTAAATCTTTACTGTGAGATTTAAGCAAGATCTGAAATTGAAGTGTGAAAATTATGAGCTAGCAAGAAGGATGTCGATCAATTGCTCATAGCTAGTGTTAGGGGTAAGATTTGAATTCAAGTCTTCCTGATTCCTAGTAGAGCATTCTATCCTCCATCCAGACATTCTAAGGGCTAAACTTTTTGAGAGTTATTCTGAAATGTTAAAAATTAAGGAAATAAGCAAAAACTCTGATGTTTTGACGTATTTCTATATGGTATTAGCATGCACTTTAAGTTTCTGTTAAGCTGGGCATGATGATACATGCTCCTGCTAGTGGAGAAGGCTGAAGCTGGTGGGTCACTTGAGTTTAGGAGTTCTGAGTATCAGCAAGACCAGAGCAAATCGAATGTATACACTTAGTCCCTACTTATATGGTGAGGCCCCAGGAGGAAAGGGCCATTCAACTACCAAAGGAGGAATGAACCAGCTTAGTTAGAAAAATGGAGCAGGTTAATGCTTCCATGATTGTAGGTCAGGCCTTTGAGTGGACATTGCACTTCTAGCCTGAGAAAGATAAGGAGATCCAGTCTCACAACAACAACAACAACAAAACTTCCACAATGCACTATCCCCTAAACCATCTTAAGATTTAAATGGAATGATTTCTGTTTGCTCCGATTGTGTTGACATACGTGAGAAATAATTGCTCTTTACCATTCATCATGCTTTGAGAAGCTAATTGGTATAACAACAGCCTCTACTAAAGCAACAATAAAGTGGATGTTTACATGTGGTTAAAGAGAAGAATGGGTGTCTCCCAGGATTATTGCTTCTCCAGAATTTCAGGAATCTTTACTGGGCTAGACAAACATGGTAAGTTAACAGAATGCTAATGAACTAGAATAATATTGACAAAGAATAGCATACCTATAAACACATACTATCTTTCTTTACTCTGTAACAAAAAAGAGCTAGATATAGTCTCTGAAAGTGTGTTTATAAAAAGTCTGCTGACTGTCAATCCTGAGTGTTTTCCATTAAGAATTTATTTTTATAATTTAGGGGGAATGGATATTATGAATGATTTAGATACTGGAATATTAAATTACAGATGCTGAAGATTAAACGTAAGTTAGACCAGGAAAAGTCTCAGAGAGTTCAGTGATATTAATATGCAAACTCCTTTGATAGTTTTGGATGAATTTTAATGCATGTTGACAAAACACTGATGTGCCACAGGAAGAAACCTAAACTATTGGGGAAAACACAGGTCTAAATAGAATAGCAATGCATTTAGAGACAGAAGACTAGGATTTAAATCCTAGTTCTGCTACCTAATACCTGAGTGACCTTGGGCAAATTACTTCTCCTCTCTCAGATTTACTTTCCTCACCTATAAAATAAGGAGTTTGGCACTTCTTCTAGCTCCAAATCCTATGAATAGAAGGCAGATCTTTCTGGGATATTCAAACTAGAGTCCTTTCTAACACAAAAGTGGCAACTCTCACTAATTAATTAATTCCCTTATTCTTTTGTCTAGCTTTAGGGCCATCTCCTTCATTCTCTGTGAGTGGTGACTGAGACTAGAAATAGGATTTAAATTTCTAGGGATAGAAAGACTGTTGTTGGTAAATTTTCTTCCTGCCTCTTCATTTGGACCAAACATTTACTTCTAAGCCCATTTCCCCATCTCTTAAATAGGCTGCCCTGAGGAGCTATGAACACTCATTAACTTATGTAGTTTTTGAAAATGCACTCTCAGCCTTAGGGCCTCTGGGATTACTGTTTAAAATGTTACACAATTAAAACTATTTCAAAAGAGCAAAAGATGCTCCATTCCAGCAACACAGGAGGCTGTAGGCTTAGGGAAAGGAACCTGAAAAGGTGACTCATATTACATCCTCAATTCAACAAATTCAGACTTCAATAGATGGTGGGAAAATTCTACACAGAATCAATGACTAGGTATTTATTAAGCACCTACTGTGTGCCATACAGAGGCAGCTAAGTGGCTCAGTGGATAGAGTGCTGGGTCTGGAGTCAGGAAGACCTGAGCTGAGCCTCAGTCACTTGCTAGCTGTGTGACCCTGGGCAAGTCATTTAACCTGTTTCCCTTAATCTACTGGAGAAGGAAATGACAGACCACTCCAGGATTTTTGCCAAACAAACTAACAAAAAACCCATGGACAGTATTGGCATGCTGTAGTCCATGGGGTCATGAACAATTACAATGTACTACACACTGTGCCAGTCAAATGCCAGGTATAAGAGCTTCTCATCTAACACTCTTTTGAATAAAATCTATAGCAGAATCCCAGTTGATTTTCACTGTCACTTTATAAAAGGAAAGATAACTTCCTAAGATGTGCTGCATGGAGCAATGGATTAAGGGTAGACCTTAAAGGTTTTAAGTCCTACTAGTTAGCTGTGTGACCATGGAAAAACAATTTATCCTATCAGTGCCCCAGGGAATTCTCTGCTGCTCTAAATTACAGTAGAATCATTTGTTTGCATTGATGGAAGGAGTTCCCATATGAAAGAAATCACAGGTCACTATAATAACTTGAGTTTATTAACTAAAATTATAATAACTTGAGCTTATTAACTAGATTATTTGGTACTTTGGATTATACAACCTCCCTACTACCTCATTTGGTGATCTCCTCAGCTCCCATGGATTTAATTACATCTCTCTGCTAATGATTCTCAGATCTACCTATCTTTCCCTAACCTCTCTGCTGATCTCCAATCTGGTGTCTCCAGCTGCCTTTCACATATGTCAAACCAGATTTCTAGTAGACATCTTAACCTCAACATGTCCCCAAACCAAACTCATTATCTTTCCCCCTTAACCTTTCCTCCACCTCCTACCTTCCCAATTGCTGTAGAAAGAAACACCACCCTTCCGGGCCCTCTGGTTCACAACCCAGGTGTCATTCTTCATTTCTCACTATCTTTCTCTTCTTTAGATCCAATCAGTTGCTAAGGGCTGTCAATTTCACTTTTGCAACAACTCTCGAATGTACCTGCTTCTGCCTTCTGAAACTGCCACCATGCTGGTGCAAGCTCTTCCTTTGCCTTCCTCATGTCTTTTCCTACTCCAATACATCCTCCATTCAGCCTCTAGAGTAATTTCCCTAAAATCAAGGACTGATCATATCATCTTCCTACTTAATAAACTCCAGTGACTTTTATACCCATCACTCTACCACAATTGTTCTCTCTGAGGTAACCAAAGAATGGAATGTAAAAACATTTATTAGGATACTTATTATGTGCTAGGCACTGTGCTAATTGCTGGGGATTCACTGTAAGCATGCAAGGTAGTCCATTCCCTCAAGAAACTTATATTTTATCAAGAGTGTCCTTAAAGTCTCTGTTTTTTGGTCTTATCTTTTTTACACTCTCTTACTTGGCAATCTCATCTACTTCCATGGCTTCCATTATTCCCCCCCCCCCCCAATTTGGATCATTCCCAAATCTATTTCAGCAGTCCTATTTCTCCTCTGAAGTCCAGTCCCACATTTTCAAGTACTTGCTCAAATTCAATAGGCCTAAAATTGAACTCATTGTTCTACTTCCCCTGTCCCCAAATCTGTCTTTCCTCCTAACTTTCCTGTTTAAGTTAATTCAATGGTATCACTGCTCTCCCAGTTGCCAGGTCTGAAACCTTTGAGTTATCCATGACCTTTTTTTCTCTCTTACTCTCTGCATCTCTTCAGATACAAAGTCCTGTCAATTCTATTTGCAAAATATCTCTGATATCTTTTTCCACTTTTTCTTTCCCACTGCCCTAATTGAGTGTCATTACCTTACGCTTAGATTGTTGTAATAATCTATACTATTTTGTCAGGCTCTTCTAATCCTTTACACTGCTTAATAAACTAGATCTGACTTACTTTCTTGCTCAGCACCCTCAATGATTCCTTTTTGTTTATCAACTAAGACACAAACTCTTAGCCTGGTGTTCAAGAGCCTTCTCATTCCACAATCCACAATCTCTAACCTAGCTTTCTATCCTTATTTTACACTTCAGCTATGCACACAATCTACATGCCATTTCCAATCTTTTCCTGCCCTATCATTACTTAGTTCATACATATATCCAGTCACTCATACTTAGAATGGATAACCCTCACATTCAAACTTTACATAACAAATCTCAAATTTGTTGTGAAGTTTGGATTCAGTCAAAGGGCCACACTTGAGGCCCAAAAGGGCCACATGTGGTCTTGAGGCCACAAGTTCAGCAGCCCTGGTCTGGGTGGGAGGGTAGAATACTACATTATCTAAAACAAACTACTCACAAAAGATAAGGCTACCTCAAATTCTTTACAATTCACTGACCATACTGTTTGATTTTCCCAATACAGAGATAGTCTACGCAAACAGAACATATAGAAATTGTGACCCATCAAGTCTTCAGTCAATGACACAGTGGTGAATTCTGCCAGTAGATACATTTATTGGACCATAACATATTCATTGAAGAGCACCAAACTGAATGGAGAGTTCCCTTACATTACAGGCCCAGCCACGGTTTTCTGGGAAAAGGTGGCTGCTTAATAAGAAAATAACCTCTGTGGGAAACAGAATAAACATATATTTCCTCTGAAGTCCCTGAACAGTGCCTCACTTCATTTGTGATAATGTAATCATTGTTTGCTGTAAAGAGCAACATCCTGTTAAGAACAAATGACCCAACTCTTGAGCCTCAGCCTGATTTCCTATTCCTTGGTCATCTTCTCTTTCTTTTCCAGTTTTGCCCTAGAGAAGGTTTTGCAGGTCACAAATTCTTCAAATTTGCACCTTCCATCACTCATAGATTTCATAATTTGTAAGAGCAATTTTAATCTATTGTTGCAAAATTTGGGATTAGGAGAAGATTTGTGTCATAGAAAGTTGCATAGAGCGCCTTTCTTTTTTCCCCCCCACCTTAGAAAATACTTACTATAGCATAGGGATTACTTAGTCTTTAAATGTTTGATAGGATTCCCTTGTGAATCCATCCAGTCCTCGTGTTTTTTTTTTGTCTGGATCTGGGATTCCATTGGCATAGGAAACTTCCCATGGGGAAACTCCCTCAAGTACCACAGATTAGTAACTTCTCTGCAATTTATAGTCTTAGAGAGTTGCCTAGGGGCATTCAGAAATGAAGTGATTGTCCAAGGTTATACAGTTGGTTTTAGAGGTAGAACTTGAACCCAGGTCTTCCTAATTCCAAGGCCAGCTTATACCTATTATGTCTCTCTTATGTCTTACTACTTATGTCTCTCTCTTAAATTAACTACTCTCTCATTTCACATGACAGTTCATTAATAGCGCTGTTCAATTTCTCTTTCTCATACAGCTTTATTTAGTTATTGATATCTTTTTTTTTCCTTTTGAGTATTTTATATGTTTGTAAATCCTTTTTTTAAAATTTTCAGTTTTGTTGATCTACATAGGAGAGGGATAGAGATCAGGACAGAGCCTAGACCTTGGATTTCTCTATTTTATGGAATTCCTGGGTGAGGAAACCAATGTAAGGTGGCATGTTGTCTGCAATTTAGAGTCTTAGAGACTTGCTTAGAACCCTGAAAGGTTGAGTAACTTGCTCAGTATCACACGTTTTAAGAGGGGACCTGAAACCAAGTCTTCCTGGCTTTGAGGCCACATCTCTATTGAAATATGCTGCCTCTTCTATATCCCATGTGTAGTAGTATCTGATAATTTCTTTATTTCTCTTCCATTCATTGTGATATTCCCCTTCTCATTTTTTACTTTGGTAATTTCTTTTTTTCTTCTCTGCTATTGAATGCATTTGCTAATAGTTAATTTTTACTGGTTTTTTTTAAAAAAAAACAGCTCTTGATTTTATTTATTTCCTCAATTGTTTTCTATTTCTCTCTTAATTCTGATAACTTCATATTATGTTCTTGGTTTTAGAATGTCAGTTTGTTGATTCTCTCTCTCTTTCTCTCCATGAAATAAAAATGAAAACCCAGGTTTGACAACCCTTCCTCCCAAAAAAACCCCACTCAAAATGATTAATGTGAAATATTGATCTATTTTACTTATCTGGAAATTTTTATTCATTCCCCAAAGATGATTAATAAATGAAGTACTGTTCTGTTTTTTAATTAATCATAACATTTTACAAAGAATATATGAGATTTTTTTCTTCAAATAGCTTGGACACAAAATGGTCAAGAATGTATTTTTCTCTTAAATAAATAGTATAAATTGAATAAATTTTAAAAAATAGATTAAATTAAAATAAACTAACTAAAATATTAAATAAATGAATGAATGAATGAATGAATGAATGAATGAATGAATGAATGAATGAATGAATAAGAAAGACACAAAAGCAAGAGGAAAATGATTGCATTGCTGCATTCTGCCCTGGATGCTACATATTTTGTATCCGAATCACCATGTTTTAGAAGGGACATTGACAAGCTAGAGGGATTCTGACTGGAATGATGGGAGATCTGAAGCCCTGCAGATGAAGATTAGTTGAAAGGAACACACTTCCTAGAGAAGAGTTGTCATGTGGACAAGCAATTAGACAAGCTTTTATTTTAACCATTAGGGGGTGGAAATTTTTATAAAATTTGTTGCATATTTTCCAGCTTTCTTAAGTAGAGTGTTCTAAATATAATTTAGCCTTTTTTTGAATGGTGCACTTTTTATTACAAACATGAACTGAATTGTGCTCTAACATGGAGATGGAGATTATCGTAAGGTTGTTGGTTCTTATATTTAATAGCTCCAGCCAACTATGTTGAAGAACCGGGAAGTCAGAACATTCCATGACCTTCACCAAAGGTCACCATTTGTGATCAGTTAGGATCAGAGGATCTTAGATTTAGAGAGCATATATCCAACCCCTTCATTATATAGATGAAGAAGCTGAGACCCACAGAGAAGAAATGACCTCTCCCAAGGTCCTACAGAGAATAAATGGTAGAGGTGAGATTTACACCCCTAATCTTGGATTCCAAATTCAGCACTCTTTCCACTAGACTATGCTCCTTCATGCAGACTTTTTCGGGGGGTTTTTTTGTTTGTTTTTTTTATATGAGGCAATTGGGGTTAAATGACTTGCCCAGGGTCACATAGCTAGTGAGTGTTATGTGTCTGAGGCCGGATATGAACTGAGGTCCTCCTAACTCCAGGGCCTGTGTTCTATCCACTGTGCCACATAGCTGCCCCCATGCAGATGTTTTAATGCACACATGCCCACTATATACAGATGCACACACATATGAATAGCCACATTCAAATGCATACCACACAATAGCATGTGACCATATGTACTAGAAAAGCATTTGTTCAGAAATAGGTGGATACTGTGTGTTCATGCATACTGGGAGAATCACATTCATAGAGATGCTCATTGAATCATACATTTAGAACTGGAAGGAACCTTTAAGGCAATATAGCCTAACTTCCTCATTTTTTTATGAGGAAAGAAGTCCAAAGACTTGTCTAAAGTCACACAGGTAGTAAATGGCAGAGGCCATATTTGAACCCAGACCTTCTGATTTTCCTGCATACCATACTGCCTCATATTCACATACATGTAACATTCAGATATATTCATATGAGCACCTCATTGAAGATGCAATGCTGAATCTTAATTCCTCCCTTACTTTACTATATTAAGAGTAGGACATCTAAGCTCTACAAATTTCTTGGTTGTGAAATTAGCATTTTGTGGCAGCTACTAGTTCTCAACTACAGTCATCCTTTCCACATTGCAATTTTCCCCATCATAGTTTTAATATATTCCTGGTTGGCATAAGAAATTAAATGGGAATTTTGGGGAGCTTTGCAGAAGCTGCAGATGACACATGAAGGTCAGCAGATGATACAGAGCCCATTACCAAATACTTAACCCCAATTTTACAATAAGGTACTGTAAACACACCATAAAAGAAAAAGAAAAAATTCAGACTTCTTCTCTGGTATGAAGGGCCAAAATTTTTTTTAAAAATTTTATTAATTTATTTTGATTTATCAACAATCACTTCCATATGCTTTTGAGGTGAAAATTTTTCTCCCCCACCCTCCCCAAGATGGCGCACAATCTGATACGGGCTTTACATTTACATTCCCATTAAACATATTTTCACATTAGTGAAGTTGTAAGTAAAAATTAAAACCAATAGGAGGAACCATCAGAAGGTAAAAATTAGTGGTAGCGATTCGACTTCCATAGTTCGTTCTTTGCATGTGGATAGCATCCTTTGGAGGCCTTTGGAGATGTCTTAGATCCTCGTAATGCTGAGAAGGTTCAGTTCAACAATCTTAGTCATCACCTAACATGGCTGTTATTGTGTACAAAGTCCTCTTGGTTCTGCTCACTTCACTCAGCATCAGATCATATAAGTCTTTCCAGGTTTTTCTGAAGTCAGCCTGTTTATCATTTCTTATAGCACAATAGTATTCCATTACATTCATGTACCACAACTTACTCAGCCATTCCCCAACTGATGGGCATCCTCTCACTTTCCAATTCTTTGCCACCACAAAAAGAGCTGCTATGAATATTTTTGTATATGTGGGTCCTTTTCCCATTTGTTTGATCTCTTTGGGATATAGCCCTAGAAGTGCTATTGCTGGATCAAAGGGTATGCACATTTTTGTAGCCCTTTGGGCATAGTTCCAAATTGTTCTCCAAAATGGTTGGATCATTTCACAACTCCACCAACAATGTATTAGTGTTCCAATTTTCCCACATCCTCTCCAACATTTATCATTTTCCTGTTTTGTCATGTTGGCCAATCTGATAGGTATGATGTGGTACCTCAGAGTTGTTTTGATTTGCATTTCTCTAATCAATAACGATTTAGAGCATTTTTTCATATGACTATAGATGGCTTTAATTTCTTCATCTGAGAACTGTCTGTTCATATCCTTTGACCATTTATCAATTGGGGAATGGCTTGTGTTCTTATAAATTTGTCTTAATTCTCTATATATTTTAGAAATGAGGCTTTTATCAGAGAGACTGGTTGTAAAAATTCTTTCCCAATTTTCTTCCTTCCTTCTAATCTTAGTTGCATTGGCTTTGTTTGTGCAAAAACTTTTCAATTTAATGTAATCAAAATGATCCATTTTGCTTTCATAATGTTCTCTATTCCTGTTTGGTCATGAATTCTTCTGTTCTCCATAGATCTGATAAGTAAACTATTCCTTGTTCTCCCAGTTTACTTATGGTATCAGCCTTTATATCTAAGTCATGAACCCATTTTGACTTAATTTTGGTGTATGGTGTGGGATTTGGGTCTATGCTTAGTTTCTGCCGTACTCTTTTCCAGTTTTCCCAGAAGTTTTTTTCAAAGAGTGGGTTCTTAACCCAGAAGCTGGGGTCTTTGGGTTTATCAAATAATAGATTATAGTCATTGACTACTGTGTCTTGCATATTTAACCTATTCACTGATCCACCTCCTATTTCTTAGCCAGTACCAAGCAGTTTTGATGATTGCTGCTTTATAATACAATTTAAGATCTGGAATTGCTAGGCCACCTTCCCCTGCATTTCCTTTCATTAGTTCCTTTGATATTCTGGACCTTTTGTTTTTGCAAATGAATCTTGTTATTATTTTTTCTAACTCTATAAAATAATTTCTTGGTGGTTTGATTGGTATGGCACTGAATAAGTAAATTAGCTTAGGTAGGATTGTCATTTTTATTATATTAGCTCGGCCTACCCATGAGCAACTGATGTTTTTCCAATTATTTAGATTTTATCTGTGTGAAAAGTGTTTCATAATTGTGTTCATAGAGTTCCTGGGTTTGTTTCAGAAGGTAGACTCCTAAATATTTTATAATGTCTACAGTAAGTTTAAATGGGATTTCTCTTTCTATCTCTTGCTGCTAGGCTCTGTTGGTAATATATAGAAATGCTGATGATTTATGTGGGTTTATTTCATAGCCTGCAACTTTGCTAAAGTTGTTTATTATTTCAAGTAGTTTTTTACTTGATTCTCTAGGATTCTCTAAGTATATCATCATGTCATCTGCAAAGAGTGATGGCTTTGTTTCTTCTTTGCTTGTTCCAATGCCTTCAATTTCTTTTTCTTCTCTTATTGCTAAAGTTAAGGTTTCCAGTATAATATTGAATAACAGTGGTGATAGTGGACATCCTTGTTTCACCCCCAATCTTATTGGAAATGCTTCTAGTCTGTCCCCATTACATATAATGTTTGCTGGAAGGGCCAAAAATTTTTATGCAGATTTTCCAGATTGGGTGGGGTGCAACTCCCACCATATGGAAGGGATAGCTGTATAGTGAAATCACTTGAGATAGATGTTCCTGAACTTTTGAATGACAAAATTCATTTTCTCTTCATATATCCTCCTCACATAAAGAGAATCACTCACTCCGTCTTTGAATTGTGGAAGTCTGTTCTTCCACTCATTTGCATGAAATTTGAACTACAGATTAAGCCTCAGGTTGCTTACTCTTTCTTGGTTTTCCTTTCTTTGCAAAATGTTACAAATAGTCTTTGAACAAATATTTATACTTTGGGAATGAAAAGTGATACATTAATCACTTAATCACTGAAAGATTGTTATGCTTCTCATATTCAAGGGAACCAGAAAGTACTTTTGAAAAGATTCCTGGTTCTTTGACTTAAAATGTGCTGCTTTGTTGAAGGGAGGGCTTAATTGAACAATTCTATGTTTTACTCAGATAACAAAAATGTGCTTGTACATGAGTGACTGCATACAACCTTATTTTTTCATTACCCTAATGAAATAATATGGCACATTAGATTTGTAAAATAGATTTTGAAATATCACTCCAAAGAGTGGTATTACTATTCCCGCAGGATGCCAACTATTCTGTTAGGGAAAAGAACATTTCAATCTAGTTGACTAGAGACCATTAACATAAAAGAGTCTTTCATATGTCTGAAAATACAAAGATTCCAAGGATATTGTGGCTAGTTTTTTTGGCATCTCATGGCAAAATTTTGCGGAAATTCTTAGAGGGAAATGAGTAGGAAGAAAATTATTTTAAATCTTTGCTGACTTTTTTTCCCCAAGCCATTTCATGTTGAAAATGAACTTCCTTTCTAGTTTTTTGTATGTATGGACTGCACTGTATATGAGATTATCCTTTGGAAACCACCATTTTGAGTATTATTACATTAGCATTCTCATTTCTCATTAGGATTTAAGTGCAACAGTCAGAATTAGATACATGTATGCTCCATATTATCTGCAGAATTAAATTCAAGCCAGAAACCTAGATTTTAAGGTCTTTCAAAATCCAGTCCCCCCCCCATCTTTCCATCTTTATTTCACAGGACTCCCTTTCATTCATTCTATGTTGTAGCTGAATTGGAAAACTATTTCTTAATAAACAAACAAACAAACAAACAAACAAACAAATAAATAAATAAACAGATAAACAAATAAATAAATAAAAGTTTTTTTAAAACAAACCAAAAAAAGATTTCTTTGCCCTTGACATGTTCATCTCCCACCTCTATCCATTCACATAAGCTATCTGCCATACCTGAAATTCACTCATTCTTCCTGAATCCTACCTTTTGGAATCCTCGTTTTCCTTTAATGGTAGGCCAGGGCCTTTAAGTAACCTTCCATAAACCCTTTTCTCAGCCATTAGAATCCTGTACTACCTTCTCAAATATACATAGAGCATTGTGTTTGATCTCTCCTTTGTCAACTTCACTTCTTACCTTATGTAGTACTTACCTATGTTTATGTCCTCTCCCTCCAAGAAAATGTAATCTTTTAGACATTTTTAATCTTTATATCCCTAGCAACTAACACAATATCTTGTAAGTAGTAGGTGCTTAAAAAATGATTGTTGGATTTTTTTTGTTTTCTATTTAGTTTACTTTCTTCACTTTGAACCTCAGTGATGGCCTTCTTTATTAGGTAGTAGAAGACGATCAGTGCTTGTACCTATAAAAGGCTCTTCAATTATTACCTCTGTGCAGGTGAATCTCAAATCTGTGGATTAACCTACAATTTTTTTCTGCTAAACTATAATATTTCCTGTCTAATTGTTCTCCTGGCTTCTAGTACTTTGCTTCTCTAATTCATTCTTCATGCTATTCCTGAAATAATCTTCCTAATGAACAGTTTTGATATTACCCAACACATGGTAAACATTTAATGAATAATTATTGAGTATTTAAGTTATTGATATCCCTACTACTTAAAAAATAAAACAACCCAACAACCTTTCCATTGTTCTCCACTAGCTAATCCATAAAATGTCAACCTAACCTGTGATTTAAGGGACACCACAATATTTCTCCAACATCTCTTTCTAGCACTGTCATACTGTACGGTCCCTCATGAACTCTATGTTCCTGTCAAATTGGACTACTTACGATTCTCTTTGATCTTGTCCTGACCTACTGTATCTCTATCCACTCATATGTGCCAGCTCCTATATGTGGAACACACTCTCTTGATTACTTTACCCATTGGAATCTGTCTCTTCCTTTAAGGCTCAGGTCAAGTGTTTTCTCTTTGGAAAAACTTCTCTGATCACCATTGTCCCCTTGCCAATGAGTTGACAGTGAGCTTTCTCTCCTCATATTCATTATAGTACTTTGTCTAAATACTTCCTTTGCCTTTTTTGAATTCTACTTTGCATTGTTATTTGTATACATGTCATATGCCTTTATTTGATTTTAAACTCACTCAGGGTCCAGCTTACATAATTTTTCATTTTGACAACCCTTTGTTGTTCACTTGTGTCCAGCTCTTTTTGACCCTACTTGGGGTTTTCTTGGCAAAGGTACTGTTCTGCTCTGCCATTTCCTTGTCTAACTCATTTTACAAATTAGAAAACTGAGATGAACAAAGTTAAGTAACTTGCCCAGGGTCACATAGCTAGAAAGTGTCGGAGACTGGATTTGAACTCAGATCTTCCTGACTCCAGGCCCAGTGGGGTATCCACAGCACTTCCTGCCTGCAATCTTACTTGCTGTTAAATCCAGGGTTTTCCTATAAAGCATCAACCTCCTTGATCTCTTTGCAGCATTTGATGTTGTTAACAATCTCTTCAAACCCCTTCTTCCTTTGCTTCTGTTTTATTATCTCCTAGTTAAGTGTCAGGAAATGAATGAATACTGAATTGAATTAAAAGATCAAAATATAGGCTTCAAGTAATAGAAAGTCAGATATAATTCCAAGGTGCTAGTTTCTCAATTTTTTTGGGTGGGAGAGGAGGAGGAGGAAGAAAGGAAAACTAGAATTATGGGATAGGGAGCTCCTGTAGAGAAAACTCCCTTTTCTGAGACAGATTGGCATGGATTCTGTAGCTTAGAGTCCTGGAGAATTGCCCGAAAGTGCTGAGAGGCTGAGTGTCACGTAGCAGGCAGTTGTTAAAGGCAAAACTTGAATTCTGGAACTCTACTATAAATTCTGGCTTTCCATCCACCACTATATCATGATTTCTTTCCTCTAAGTCAACATACTACAAATGATTCAAATAAAAAATTGGTGCTGAATGTTAACACTTTTTTTTTAATCTTCCAGAGGGAAGAAAATACAGTGTAGTCAAAATATTTCAAAACCTTAAGGAGCTGTAGTTTTCTTGGTGTAGGTACTCCCTCTGCTGACAAGAATCACAATCTTTTTTTTCTTTTCTTTTTTTTTTTTTGAGACTTGCTGCGGCTAAAACATTCCTTTCCTCATTTCTTCTCTAGTGAAGAACCTCTTTGTTTTTAAATAGATTTTTATTGATCATTTCTTTTTATATCCCCTATATTTCCTGCTGTATCCTTTTCCCTCCTCCCTCCTAAAGCATTATCCTTTATAATAAAGAAGGAAAAAAAAGGGAGGAAAAAAGTTCAGTAAAACTGATCAACATATAAAAAAATCTGATGTTATATGCAATGTTCCACACCTATGTACCCCCACTACTACAAAGGAAGGAGGAAGAGATGTCTTTTCATGTCTTTTTTCAGGAGCTAAGCTTACTCATTATAATGTCAAAATGATTTTGTTGTTCTTTCCATTTGCATTGTAGACACTACATTTCTTTTGATTGTCTTGTTCTGCTTGCTTCATTTTGCATCAGTTCATATAAGGCTTTCCATCTTCATCATACGTTATGATATTGTAATATTTCAGTTCATTCATATATCACAATTTATTTATCCATTGCTCAATCAATAAGCACTTACTTTGTTTCTAGCTCTCTGCTTAAAAAATATACTCCTATAATATATCAGTGTATATGGAGCCTTACTCTATGTCGTTGACCTGCTTGGGGTATATGCCTAGTAGTGAGATATCTTAATTAAAGGATACAAATATTTTAGTTACTTTCTTTGCAGAAGTTCAAATTGCTTTCCAGAATGATGGTACCCATTCATGGCAATGAATTTCTTTGTATTTAGAGAGGAGGGTCTGTGAATAATTGACACATAGTTATACATTGGGCCTGTTCCTGAAGGCTTTCCAGTTTGGCTGGATTTTCTAGAGATTGTACTCTGTGGGTATAGCCTTCAAGAATATTAAAATGAGGTATCAGACTAGGAAGGCAGGAGAGTGCCCAGCCTAGAGTCAGGAAAACCACTGTAGTATCCCTGCCAAAGAAAACCCCAAATGGGGTCACAAAGAGACATAATTGAAACCACTGAACAACAGAAAAATCAGAGTAGGACCCTAGTGGAGGGATTCTTTCTATTGTGCTGGTATTTATTTAGAAAGTTTCAGTCATTTGTGAAATGAATTTAGTAACATGGCACTATTTTTTGTTTTTGTTCCCCCGGAGCATTTATGTAGCTCTTCATAATTTATAAAACCAGTTTACAAAACACTTTCACATATATTCTGTTATTGGCTCTCCCCAATAGCCCCATGAAGAAGGCATATAGAAGCCAAGCAATTTGTCCAAAGTCACACAGCTAATTAGTGGAAGGGCCAGGACTATTAATCAGTTGACGTGAATTATTGGGTGTATCATGGTCATTGTGCTAGGTTAGGGATAGAAAAACAAAAAGGAACAGACCTGGCCCTCAAGGAGGTACTATTATTGTTGGGGATGAGGTGGGTGGAGGGGTGGTGGCAGTGGAGAAACATCAATTACATATATTTGTTTGTTGTTGTTGAATCATTCAGTTGCGTCTTACTCTTCATGACCCCATTTGGGGATTTTCTTGGCAAAGATACTGAAATGGTTTTCCATTTCTTCTCTCACTCATTTTATAGATAAGGAACTGAGGCAAACAGGGTTAAGTGACTTGCACAGGATCACATAGCTAGTAAGTGTCTGAGGCCAGATTTGAACTCATGAAGATAAGTCTTCCTGACTCCAGGTCTGGCACTCTATTCACTGTGCCACCTAGCTGTTCCATGTATACATGTACTTGCAGAGTAAATGCAAGGTAGTTTGGAGAGGATGGAAGGGCAGCTGCCAACAAGGAAGGTATTTTAACTAACACTTGCAGGGATTCTAGTTGTGAGAATATAGGGAAATCAATTTCTCCATGATTCAGTTTCCTCATCTGTGAAAGATGGCATCTAAGGTTTCTACAAGTTTGAAATCTGATCTTATAAAGGGCACAAAGGCATACACGACATAGAATAATCCTTTCTAAAGTTGCTGGGGTAGTTTAGCGGATGGGATAGTCTATCCAATAAAGATAAAAACCCAGTCTGTGACTTAGTTGTAAGGTCTTAGGGAGTTGCCTGAGGCACACTGAGAGTAAATGACTTTCCCAGGTCATACAGCTAGTTTAGTGTCAAAGGCAAAATTTGAACTTGGTTTTCCTGAGTCCTAAAAGGGCCTGATGTATGCTGGTCCATGGGGTCACAAAGAGCCAGACGCAACCGAATGGCTGAACACCAACAAACTAAACGCTTTTCTCAATATGCAATATTGCTTCCCCAAAATGCCCCAATGAGGTAAAATCAATTACCATAATATAAGCACTGAAATACTCTTTTTCAGCAGACTAGAATTCTATGTGGTTCACTGTGGTCTGAATTAAACTTCAAGGCATGATGGGAAATCTGTGAAAGGTGTTTCAAACTGTACAAATGATTGCACGAGTTGATGATGTCCTTGGTTTTTCACCAAGGGAAGGAGGATGAACTAGATATAGGCTGTGAATAGAAATATGTATTTTTTTTCCGGGATAAAATATCCTGATGGCAGTTGAGAGGTGTCAGTGAAACTGTCTCTGGGATTAGTGAGGGATTCAGCCAGGGTCAGCTCACAGTGATAAGGAATGCTTCTAGTTTTAGGAAGAAGAAGGAGGTCACAGGTAAAGATAGCTGTTATCATCCACAGTTAAGGACAGACTATTTGGCTTGTCTGACATTAGAGGAATAAGGAATTTAAAGAAGGGAACTGAGTGCTCTTGAATTTGCTATTCTATATGTTAAATGATCCCATCTTCCCCCAAACTTTTTATCTAAAGGAAAAGGAAAAATAAATATAAAATACACATAATAAAATATAATAAATGTATATATATTTACATATAAACAAATATATGGTTAATATTATATATTGATTGATATAATATAAATGTATTAAATAAATATGATACATAAATACACATACATATACATGTAATGTTTTAAATACTTTGCTATTTTATGGCTCTTGTGCTCATCATCTTTTACCTAGACTTCTGTAATCACTAGTCAGAAACATGGTGCTTGCTCTCAAGAAGTTCACTTCTAATGCAAAAGCTCATATTCTCAAATTATCTTTCAGTTTCAACAGCTAAACTATCCCAACAGTATATGTCTCCCTTTCTCAAGTCCCACTTCAGCCCATTTTCCACTCAGCTGCCAAAGGAATTTTCCTGAAGTACAAACAAGTCTGACTATGCAATCCCAGCTACTCAATCAACTCCAGTGGCCTCCTATTACTTCTAGGTTCAAATAGAAATGTCTTTGTTTGGTATTTAAAGATCTTCATAGCCTTGTTATTTCCTATAAATCCTACCTTCTTATATTGTACTTTCCTCCAGCTATATTGGACTAGTTGCCATTCCTTACATGCTCTATCTCAGATCTCTGTACCTTTTCATTGGGTAGCCCCAATGCCTGGAATTCCCTCCCTCCTCATCCCACTTCTTAAAATCCCTGGCTTCCTTCAAGCCTGAGTGCAGGAGGCCTTTCCCAGTCCTTCTACTGCTTTCGTCTCTGTTATCTTGCATCTATTTTCTATGCATCTTATATATAGATATCTATGTTGTCTATATGTTGCCTGTGCATTTGAATGTAAACTCTTTGAGCACAAGGACAGTTTTTTGCTTTTTCTTTGTATCCCAGAACTTATCACAGCACCTGGTACCTAGTAAGTGCTTAATAAATGCCTTCTTGTTGTTATAGTGGCTAGAATGCTGGGCCTAGAGTCAGGAAGACCTGAGTTCAAGGTGACTTCAGACATTTACTAGCTATGTGACCCAAGGCAAGTCATGTAACCTCTGTTTGCCTCAGTTTCCTCATCTGTAAAATGGAGATAATAATTGTACCTACCTCTCAGGATTGTTGTGAGGATCAAATAAGATAAGAATTGTAAAGTGCTTAGTACAGTGCCTTTACCTAGTAAGTGCTGTATAAATGTTAGCCACTCCCCTCCTCCTCCTCCTCCTCCTTCCTCTTCTTCCTCTTCTTCTTCTCTTCTTCCTCTTCTTCCTCTTCTTCCTCTTCTTCTTCTTCCTCTTCTTCTTCTTCCTCCTCCTCCTCCTCTTCTACTTCTTTTTCTTCTTCCTTCCCTCCTTTCCTTCCTTCCTTCCCTCCTTCCCTCCTTCCTTCCTTCCTTCCTTCCTTCCTTCCTTCCTTCCTTCCTTCCTTCCTTCCTTCCTTCCTTCCTTCCTTCCTTCCTTCCATGATTTCATCTATTTAGGTCTTTTCATTGATGCAGATCATAACTACTCCATGCCTTCTAATTCTGTGTCATTCTTTTCTATACTTTCCCTATAAATCCTCTTGATGTATTGGAAGCTTTTCTTTGGTTCTTTTAGTATTATCCCTATTTGTCCATCTGTTTGCTGTCCTTTTCTCTTATTTCTTGCTTATATCTCTTATAATGATTCTCATGAGCAAGTCATGAATATGTTGCAGCCTTCTTGTGCCCATCTTGTATCTTTCCATTGCCCTTTGGGTTACTTATAATTGGATTTGTTTTTCAATTTTTAATTGAATTTTAAATTAAAAAGAAAATCCTAATGTGCATAATTCTCCCAAAGCCTGAATTAATGGGTGGGAAATGATTTTTATGTGTACTTAGCCTAAGAATATAGCTATATTCAGGTATATTATAACAGGATTCTCAGCGATTGAGCAACTCTTCAATAGAGAAACTGTATCTGATTTGTTAAAGAATCTTTTGGACTGCCAAGGTCTTTAGCCCTTGAACATCTGTTTTTTTGTTGAGTTTTGTTTGGAACTCAGGTTTAACCATTGTTGGCAAGAGAACAATTTGAAGCACTGACATTCTGGAGCCACTGGGGACTTCCAGTGGAAAGGGGACTCTCCAGCTGGAAACAAGGGAAGATTCAGAACTAACTGCAGACTAGCAGTCATGTACTGGCGCTAACTTGGCTCTGGAATGGAATTCCCTGTCCTGTGAGTGGACTCACTGTTTTGGGCATCCTGAACAAAACAGCAGCCAAAGCTGAAATGAATACATTCATGGATTGTAGGCAGTAGCAACCCTGTGGGGTGAGCCAAAAAAGCCAAGCTTCTCTGGCCAAGTGAGTGGGTCCTTGCTAAGCTTCCCTTTATTAGGAATTTGGTTTTGCATATCTCACAAGGTCATTGCAAGGTTTGAGTGCTGATCAGAAACAAGAAAATATGACATTAGAAAAGTGGAAGAATGTCTAAAAGGCAAAGCTTAGGCTAGATTTAAAATTAGGGAGATGCAATATAACATATGCCATTTTACCAGATAAAAAGCTACTGGCACTGAAACTAAACAAAATATCTGAAATCCTAAAGAGAGTTTTTATTCTACTCATTTATTAGGCCACTGAGAGTCATATCTGACTTTGTGACACTGTGGGTACCTCTCATTTTCTCAAACAGGGTATTGTAAAAAAAATCAAAAAAGAAATTTAGTTCGCTTTAATTAAAAGAAGAGGGGGAAACCTCTGTGCAATTATACCATATTGGTCTGAATATACATTATATTTCCCTTCCCACTGTTCTATAATTGGTTTTATTTTTTAATGTGTAATTATAAATATTTTTTCCTTTCAAAGAGAACTAGTTTTAGGGCAATGACCTTTATTTGTACTAATAGGATACTTTCAATAGAATCGGAAGGATTTAAGCCACACACTGGCATGGTAATAAATTAGATCTCTATATGTCCTAGAATTTTACCAGCTTCATTTACTAGTTCCATTCAAATGGAATTTGGAAATTCTATTCTCTGGGTAGTACTTCCTATCCCTCCATATCTCCTAGTCTTTACTTGCATTACTGATTCCTGTCCTCCTATTATCTACTTTGTTGCTATTATAATGAACTTGGGTCTATTTACCCTTCCTTATTCTCTCAATCCATCTCATTTGTTGTATTTTTCACTTGCCTCTCTTTTATGTCTCCATAGACATGTTTCCCCATCTTAATATTTTGCTTTAGCAGGTCTTACCCTCTGAACTATCTGTTGTGCCTCACTTAGATCCTCATTCCTTAATATTCCTACCATCTGATTTCTTCCCTTTTGTTTTGGCTTTGACTGGGGAAAATAATCATGAAATTAAGGTGGCTTCACCTTCTGCAAATTTATAATATTAAACCTTAGCTGTGTTCTTGCAAATGCGTGATAATCCTACTCTACACTCACAGAGGACAATATTTTTTCTATATTACCTTGTATGTATAGGGAATGAATATAGGATTATCATCCATACAAAGCTGGAAGGGAATGTAAAGGCCTTGTAGTTCAACCTGCTCATTTTTCAGATGAGGAAACTGAGGCCCACAGAGTTCAAATGACTTTTTCAAGGTCACACAAGTAGTAAAAATCAGGATTTGAACTCAAGTCCAATGACTCCAAAGGTAGTACTGTTTATATTGTACCATAAATACTACCTGATGTAGCATCCTACTTCACTTAGGAGATTAAGGCTATCAATCTCCTTTTTTGGATGTTCCCTTCCCCCTTAATTCTTTAAAACTTCTTGACATCATTGTCTACTCTGAGCATAGAAAGCTTTCTTAAGAAGTTCAGAAGTGTACAGAATACTATATTAAACAATGTGAGGGCACACAAAGGAAAAAGAATATATGGTCCCTGTTGTCATGGGAAACAGAGAAAACAGACCACTGTTTCAAAGCAATGTGTCAGCAAACGAAGAAAAGTTCATTTGATTCCTGGTTCCATTACTAATTGGTAGTGAAGCCTTTAATTAGGCAAGTGCCTGGACTCCTGTGAGCTTCAGTTTCCTCATCATTTGTAAAATTACAGGCTTCAAATATATGCTTTCTAAGGTATTAAGTGTAAAGGTCCATAAAAGTATACATTTCTTAATAGGCAAATAACACAAAAGAAATACCATTGATTATTTTAGAGTCACAAGGTTGATTCCTTTTAATATTGTCATGTAAAACATATTCACTTCTTGGAGAAAAATTGTTAAATTATGTTTTCCATTACATATTTGCATATCATTCTGTGACAGAACTTTAATGGGGATAAAATAAAACAGAATGACTCCTCAAAATATACTATGGTGTGTATATTTGTGTATAATGGTAGCCTTTTCTTGGGCAAGGTGGGGAGGAAGGGAGAAAAAAATAAGTACACAGCAGAGAACAAAAGAAAACTTAGAAGTGAGCACAGAAAACAGGGTAGCTTTGAAAACCATGTATATTATTTATTACATAGTTTTTCAAAAAAAAGTATACAGTATGAAATGGAAATTCATGGTTTTATATTGAATCCTCTTATATTGTGCTGTGTACATGGGAATGTTCTATTTTTGGTCTTTTCATATTTGAGTTCAAAATGAATAAAAATTTTTAAAAATAAAAAAGTTATAGTATTTAATAGAATTACAATAATAATAATAATAATAATAATAATAATAATAGCTAGCATATAAATAGCACTTTAAGGTTCAAAAAGTACTATATACATGTTATTACATTTGATCCTCACCACAATGCAGTGAGGTAGGAACTATTATCTCCATTTTATAGATAAGGAAAATGAGACTGACAAAGGTTAAGCAAATTGTCCAGGATTGCATAACTAGTAAGTGTCTGAGGCAGGATTTGAATTCTAGTCTTCCTTTCTCTACATCCAGTACTCTCACCCACTGCCCAATTCCTTTTGAATACATCTACACCACAGTGAGAAACTTACATCCCAAATGTTCAAAAATCACTGAATGCCAGAATGAGAAGGAACCCTCAGAAGTTATCTAGAAGGGTAGCTAGGTGGCGTAGTGGACAGAGCACTGGCCCTAGAGTTAGGAGAATCTGAGTTCATATGTGGCCTCAGGCCCTTGACACTTACTAACTGTGGGACCTTGGGCAAGTCACTTTACCTCAATTGCTCCCCCCCACAAAAAAGAAGTCATCTGAGCAATCCATAGCTAATCAAGAAACCCATCCCGGCATATCACTCAAATGGTTATCCAGTCTTTGCTTCAAGACTTTCCAATGTGGGGCAACCTGGTTACTACAAATTATTTTCTCTGTCAATTGTCACCTGCATGCAGAAAGAGGTTTGTGATTTAACAGTGTTGGTGATACTATCATCATAAAATTTGCAGCATTGATTTCCTCAAAAACTATTCCAGAATTATTGAAGTATTAGAGCAATCGACTCTTCTGGATGAATGATTTTAGACTTATCACAGCTCAGGAAATAGGAAAGTGATCCAGTATCTCTATTTCTGATCCAGCAAATTTAATAAATTCACAATTGTCAGGAAGTCCTTCAAACCTCATCCAGATAAAGTATCTTGTCCCCTTCCTTGACCCTTCTCCTGTCCCTCAATACTTAGTGAACCTTCAGGCAGGTCTTTTTTCTTGATAATTAAATCCTGCCAAAAAAAAGGACTTTGATAATTTTCTTGTTTAGACTTCCATTTGTAATAACATTGAAAGAAGGGGGGAAAAGGTGGTTGTGGTAATGGGAAGCAAAGACTAATTGTATTACTAATCTTCAACAATTCCTTCTTGTTTTTTGTTCAGTTGTCGGACTTTTTGTGATCCTATTTGGTGTTTTCTTGGCAGATACTGGAGTGATTTGTCATTTACTTCTCCAGCTCATTTTACAGATGAACTGAGGCAAACAAGGTTAAGTGACTTGCTCAGTGTCACACAGCTAGCTAAGTGTCTGAAGCCAGGTTTGAATTGAAAAAGATGAGTCTTCCTAACTTTAGGCTTGGCACTCTATCCACTGCACCACATAGCTGCCCAACAGTTTCTTCTAGAGTCCAATATTTCCTGTAAAGACTAGGAATCTGTACTCATTTTTTCTTCTTATGTCTTTGTTCAAAATCACAAGGAAATTTTTCCTTTATGCCTAAGGTGATCCCCAGTTTTGTGCAAGAATCTTCATTTTGGATTGAAGGGAATGCTTCAAGTTTTTGAATCCAGTGGAACGCATACTCTGCTGTAGATCTGAGCATCATTTTCTCCTATGTTCTATTTGTCATTGATTCTAAAACATTAATTGACTTTGTTATTGTTGCATCTATGTTAAAAACTGTGGTCTATGAAGTTTGCATAGATTCAGAGGATGATAAATTCAGAGCCAGAAGGGATCTAAGACCTAGATCTAAGCTAGACCAAATCCCTCATTTCACATATGAATAAACTTAGCCCCAGGGAGCTTAAATGTTTGCTGAAGTGATATAGCTAATAAATAGCAAAGCCAAGATTTAAACCTAATTCCTCTCTTAAAAATCCAATGTTTTTTCAACTTATCATCCTGTTAGGCAGTGCAGTAAATAGAGTTCCAGGCCTAAAGTTAGGAAGGCTTATTTTTCTGATTCAAATCTGGACTCAGACACTTACTAGCTATGTGATCCTGGACAAGTCATTTAACTCTGCCTCAGTTTCCTCATCTGTGAAATGAGCTGGAGAAGTAAATGGCAAACCACTCTGATATCTTTGCCAAGAAAACCCCAAAGGGGTAACAAAGAGTCAGCAATTTCTTTAAAAATGAGCAAACAACAATAAAGTTATACTGCATTAGATCTTGTGTAGTTTGTCCTTTGTTCTCAAAGAGGACCACGAAAATAGGGAGATGATGATATGACTTGAAACTGAATTGAATTTGAGTGAGGGAGGACTGTGCAAAGTCACCAGCCTTACTTTTTTCTCCAGAGCCATCTGGTTCCAGTGTCCATATATCGATCAGGATGACTGGAGATGCTCCAACTTACAGTGTAGGACCTTGGCCTTTTAAAGCTAAGATCTTTTCAAGTTCTCACTTTGACTGATGCAATGCCCATTCAGGGAATAGGCCTCTGTAAGAAGTGAGTCAAGGGATGGCCCATTTAATAAAAAAAAAAATCAAACTAGGAAGGGAAGACTCTCAGGATGCATTAGATCTATTCACAGATCTATTCAATGCCAACCATGCACTCTCCTAGCCATGTCCAAATCTACTGTTTTACCTCTATAACACTAGGAAACCAAACAGAAGTATTTCCATCCAGGCAAACATACTACCTCCAATCCATTCACCTAAAAATATGTTTATTTCTACTGTCTAGGTGTTTTGTGCTTTGCCTTCGAGAAGATGGCATGCACTAATTTACACTGCTAAATCAGGTCCAATACTAGTCATGAAACAAGTTATCAAACACTGGTTCTCTGAGAAACATGCAAACACATGCTAGTTCTATCTCTTTGTGTGAGCTGAGATGGGGGGGGAGCAGAGGGGGAGCAGGTTATGTGACTTTATTTTTCTGACCAAAAAAAAGTTTTGTGCTTGCATTTTAAGCTTCCTCTAGTGAGTAATGCCAACAGCATCATTTGCCTTCCTTTGCTGTGGGAAGCCCTATTTAATCTTTCCGTGACAAGCTTATTGGGGAAAGGGACCCAAATCATATCTATCTTTTCCAGCACCTGAATCAGGTATTGGGGCTAAAAAAAAATCTCATTTCTTCTTCTTCTTTTTTTTTGGTGAAGCAATTGGAGTTAAATAACTTGCCCAGGGTCACACAGCTAGTAAGTGACAAGTGTCTGAGGCCAGATGTGAACTTAAGTCTTCCTGACTCCAAGGCTGGAGCTCTATCCACTGCACCACCTCACTGGCCCTCATTTCTTCTTTTTAACTGATATATTAAAACCTAGAACAATGATTTGAACATAATTCTTGTCTAGTAGACGTTTGTTGAATTAACTGATAGGGAATGGGGATGCAGGAAAATACTTAATACACACTTGAACAAGCACATTATGAAAAATATCTTCAAGACCCTGACACTGATAAGAATTTAAAATAAGATAAGTGCATCTAAAAACCATATTATCTGAACTGAAAATTGAAACTTATGGTCTAAAAAATTATATTCCTTTTGCAAAGGCTTAATCAAAGTACATTTTTTCCCTTGAAGTTAGTACTTTTGGAAGTGGGTAGTTGCTAGAAATATTGTGTTGCATCCAGCATGGATTTCTTCTGCGTATTTCGTCCAGTCTTGGTTTTATCTTTTTTAGTGCCATTTTAATTTCCTCATATAACACATTGGCTACAGGATATTAGAGTACAATAATGTTTTCCTTTTCATCAATAATAATTTAAATAGCTCACTATGAAAATGTCAAATTTGTTCCATAATTTTATTATTCCTCTTCTACTTTCACCTATAAATGTAATTGGGATAATTTGACTTAGTTGCATCCTATCATGAGCTTTCTGAAAACTTGTTTCTTCTTCTATTACATTTTTATTGTTTTGTTTTGTTTTGTTTTGTTTTGGTTTGGTTTGGTTTGGAATGATACTGCTACCTTCTACCATCCTCCCCTGCAACATTTTACATTTGAGATTATGTTCTAAATCATTCCTGCCATTGGCTTGCATATCTCACTCTTTGGCAAGGAAATCAAGGGTTTTCGGACTGAGGTGGTTTGGGGGCTTTTTTTTTCATTAGTAGGGATTGATTTATATTAAATATGATCCTGTAGGGAATGGTGATAATCAGAGTCAGTATCTTTTCCTTAATCCAGGTAAAGGACCTCCACCTATTTCTCTTTATCTACAGCATAAAGTTCTACCCTGATGCCTCATTGTGATGTGAAGGTAACCTCGAATTCTTGCAAGCTATGGCAGTAGAACTCAAGCTGGCATGATTCTAATTCATGGCCTGCACTATGAGTAGTGAAAGTCGACATATATTTTCTGTTCTGTCTGTGCCTCTCTATTACAGTTCCATCAATACCTGAAATTCCAGGTACTGCAAAGCAACAAATGTGAGAATAAGACTATTGTGGAATTCAAGTGGAATAACCTAGCAAGACAAGAGTAGCTATGGAAATTTTCTATCACATGTTCAACCCAAGTGACACACACAAAAAAGTGTTTACAGACTGGATTATTGTGAATGTAACTCATCAAGTCATATCATTTCAACTAGAGGGAGTGGGTGCTGGGCATATTGTTCAGTTTCAGGTATGAGAACTGAAGAATGTGGCAAGGTTGTCTTGCAAATTATTATCATTGAATAAATAGATATTGAATGGAATGGAATAAAAGGGAAGGGGCTACATTGATGCTAATTTGACTATACTTAGACTTTAGTGCTTCAAGGATCTGTGATTTCATTGGAATGAGTATTCCCTCCACTTTTCTATGAGAATTGCTGCTAAAAAAAATTCATTGTACTGTAGCCATCCTGATGTTGGATCTCTCCAAATTTAGGTGGCAGTTTTTTAGATGAGAGGCATAAAGTCTTCATCTTAGAGACTTGGTAGTGGCAGTGGCCAGCCAGGGAATACAACAGTGCGAGAAGCATTTGATATCATTTTAAGCTTTTTAGGCAGTGACTCCACATATTACACAAGGATCTGAGTTTTCTGATTCTTCAGATCAAGACTAAAGAGATGGCAATGGTCTAGTAGGACCAGGGGTATGCTAGTAGTGTTTAACAACTAGCTGGGGGGGGGAGGGTTGTGGGGGGAAGACTCTGAACCCAAATCGTGCTTTTAAGTTTAATCTACATTATTACCATTTCCTCCACCACTTTTGGAAGCAGGAACAAAACAATAAAACAAGCCCTGATTTGTAATGTTTGCCAAATACTGAGGTGTAAATGCTCACATATAAAATTTAACAATTAATTCAATTGGTAAGCTGACTTTAGCACATCACAGATTAGGATGAATATTTTCTTTTTTTTTTGGTTAAAAGTACTACTATACAAGATGTATTTTCATAATAGCAATTGTTGTTTTACTGTCCCTTTTGCAAATTAACTTTTAATTGTTTCAAGCATATTAAGCATGTGGCTTAAACACAAATGTTATTAAATTATAAATGTAGCATACTCCGGTTTATGCACAATGCTTGGGGAATGGAGTGTTCTGATTAACTGAATATCGTGGCCAAAAAACAGCATATGTGTGTGTATGTACACGTATATGTATGTATATTTATATAATGTACTGATATCCAGCAAGAATTAAAAAAAAGTCTTGAGAAATAAAATAACTTGAAAATAATTTAATCTCTATGTGATGATTCAGAAGACACTTAGAATCTTAGAGTGCCTCAGGGTTTTTGTTCTAGGAATCAATTATCTTTGTATAGGACAATAGGAGTAGAACCAGTAGGAGAAAGGAACATATCCTGGAAATTGCTTTTTTGAACAAATAGCTGATATTGTTTATTCATTATATTTCTTATATAAAAGTAGAATGCAGAAAATAATTTTTATTTGTATTTTTCTCAAGTAAATAGGAGTTTATGGTAATCTGTATAATTTTGCTTCTAGGGAAGGTACTATATAGCTGAATTTGGGAAAAACAACTCTTGTATAGAATTTTTGGAAATGCAACTAGGTCTTATGTGACTAGATTCAGGCATTCAGGGGACCTTGGTTGGGGAAGAAAAGTGATCACTCTCTTCTGACCATTTGCTCCACCTATTAGCAGCAAATGCTTTCTAAATGGGTGATTTTCATGGTAGATCAGCAACCCTCATGAAAAAGATGAAAGCCCACTCACAAAACTGACCTGACTAAATTTATTGGAATTAAGTTTGGCAATGCAGTCAACTGCTTCTTGATCCCCTGGCAAAGTACAGGAACATGGCTGCTGATTAGACCCTCAGGCACTCCAACTGGGTGTGTGTTCTGCCAGGCTTTGGGGCCACTGCTAATCTGAGGATGTCTTAACAATGGGGAGAAAGTTCGACAAAAGACAGCACATAGCTGGAAGATCCTAGCACTCTGTTATATTCAGTAAAAGCCTCGGCTTCCCTTGGGGACTAAGGCAGTTCAAACAATTTACCCCACTTCTCCATCTTGTTATGATGATTGTAATATTTTATTTGGTGAAGGGACAAGATGATGTGTGGTTATCTGCTTTGGGATCTTTGAGCATTACACTGTTGAGAAAATGAAGGAGAAAAGAAAAGTAGGCAAGAAGGTAGGGAAGGGTGTGGATCACTATGTGGCTATCTTCACATGTTTATCACATGCCACAATAGAAATGGGAGTGTACAACTTGAAGGGAGATTCTTTATAGATAGTAAAATTCCTTGTTGTTCCTGTTTGGGGACAACATCATACAGTTTATACATTACTTCCGGGCCTTCTAATAGGACTCTAAAAAGATTTGCCTAACAATATGCACAGGGAACAATCAAATGGATAAAAAAAAATACCTACTTTCTAGATGATAGGCAGCCCATTGAGTTAACTCATCAGTACATTTAATTTCAACAGATAATGGTTATGGACAGAGAGCTTATTCCAGAACTGAAGAAGAGGTAAACAATGGACTTGATCACTTTCAGAAAATTATGTAGTGCTTTCAATAATGCCAAACTTTCCCTGACACAAAGCCTGTCTTAGAATAATAATAACTCAGAATGACAACTCCTGTTCACATAGCTTTCATAGTTCACAAGGGACTTACCTTATAGTAATCCAATACTTAAATCAGGAAACTGAGGCTCAGAGACATTAAGTGATTTACTCACAGTGACAGGGCAGAGGACCAATAAAAATGTAAGCAAGTCCTCATAAACAAATTTATCACTCTTTTCCCTGCTCCACACAAAAGACGTAGCTTCTCCTCATTTTTATATTTCTGTCAATAGTTCTAGAACTACCATTCTCTGAGGACTTGTCCCTCTCTCATTTTCCTTTGGGTCTTCAGCCATCTCATCTGTCTCAAAGTCTTATTAGCCCTTCCTTCTTCTGACTACCTCTCTTCCTTTGCGTTATTAATGCCAACACTTTATGTCTGGATTTTTGGTAACTGGCGTATCCACTTCTAATCTTCTCTTCCAATCTATTACATATGGACCAAATTAGTCTTCCCTAATAGCTGCTTTTTTTACAACATTTTCCAGCTAAAACTTGTTCATGTCTCTCCATTGATTGAAGGATAAAGTTCAAATTCCTTGACTAGGAATTCAAATAAACTTGCTCCACCCTCTAATTAGACATCTAATCCCCCACTGTTTCCAAAGCATGCCATTCATACTCTTCACTCCAAGTCTTTGCTCATACTATTCTCCCTATTTGGAATACCCTCCCCCTTGCCTCTGCCTAAAGAAAATCTAGCTACCCTTCAGTTCCCAGCTTAAGTCCTTTCTTTGCCGTGAACACTTTGCTGAATTCACCAGCTCATAAAGAAATACAGGGAGGCAATATGTTCTGCAACGTGGTGGTGTGGTGGAGTGGAAACAACCCTGGATAGATTCAGAAGACCTGGATTCTAGTCCCCATTTGGCTGCTGACTTGCTATGTGACCTTGGGTAAGCCAATTAATCTTTCTGCACCTTAGCTTTCCCATCTGTGAAATGAGATTGAACTAGATGATCCCTCCAGATTCTCTTCAATTCTAAAATTCTGTAATATATTATTAAAGCTTATGCATATGCCTTATTTCCCAAACTAGGGAGAACATCTCAAGGGCAGAAGACATGGCTTTTATCAATCAATATAACAAGCATTTATTATGCGCTTACTTAAAGGGATTCTTAATCTTTTTGTGTTTGCCATGTACCCATTTGACAGACTCTTTCTCAGCATAATGTTTTTAAATGCATGAAATATATAGGATTACAAAATATATAGGATACAAAATTGCAAAAAAATTACATAGGATTACAATTATATCAAAATAAAGATATTATTTTCTCCCATCCAAGTTCATGGACCCCCTGAAACCTGCATCAGGTTAAGAACCCTTGATTTACTATGCGCCAGTCACTGGGCAAGGTGCTGGTTATGCACAGACAAAAATAAAACTGTCCCTTACCTGAAGGAGCTTCCATTTTATCCTTTTTTGTCTACCTCAGCGTGCCTAGTATGGTATAGGACATGTTGTCAATATTCAAACCATACTTTTTGATTATTTTTCTCTGCTATGAACATTTGCTCTTGTTAAGCTTTCCCTCTCCCCCATAAATGATACCTGACATTTGATTTTCCAGCCAAAGGCATGAAATTTATTTTCTTAGCAAATACCTTTGACAGGAGCATGACAGGAGTATGTACTTCCAACTGGCAAATACACAGCACAAATTTATGGACCCATGAGCAAAAATCCTACTTCCTTTGGGATATGTAGGAAAACTGGGAAGTACTCTCCAAATACCTTATTCAATATGCTTTATTGTTAGAATATTTTCTCAAACCTTGCTGTGAAACATCAACAAATATTAAGAGAGTTTCACAGAAATTTTAGAAATAAGACTCTTACAGCCACTGTTGAACTTTTGACTTCCTTTCACCTGTTATGGTCTAAAATTCAGTTGATGGTGGATTGTAAGAACCAAAACTATAGCAAAAAAGGAAAGCCTCCAATAATTAGCACTTGTAGCTCTTCATATGGACATGTAGGCCAAAGGGAAAGGGTCACATTCAAAACTATGCCCTTGTGCATATATTGCTTTGGTTTGCTGGGTGCCAATGAGATACTATTTACCCTAAATTTGTTTTCCTATAGGATGATGGAAAGGATAAAACCTGTGAAGCTTAATTGATAAGTGATATTGCCTCTTTCATGTCAAATCTGCTATTCTTTTCACTGTTCATTGTTATTCTTTAAACATTTAATAAAATGTGCATCTGTATATCAGCATTTAGCCATGAGAAAAGCAGTCCCAGCTTAGGATTTTTCCTTTCTAAATGTTCATTTAAGGGTTTTGTTTTGGTATAATTTCTTCATTTCATCAAGATGCAGACAGAGAGGAACAGAAGCAAAATTGTGCTAACAAAAGCTGTATAAAAGGGGGGATATGTCCACACAAATCTCTAGAGATGCTGGACAAACCAAGAAAACTGAAGGAGACACAGAGGCAATAACTGATGAGTTGTACTGGACATTTTATAGGGCAAAAGTAACTTGTTCAAATGGTTGTCATGCACACTTAATTGGTCTTGGTGTTTAAAGTTTAGTTCGTCATAAATCAGCTATTAAGTTGGGAGAGCAGTAAAGTTCAGGAGAGGTACAGTGAATAAATGATGCTGCTAACCATAGAAAATACCTATCTCTGATCCAGAAAGGGAACGCCAATGATCTTTTAGCTATGTTCTTCCTCTTGTTAAGATTCTCAGAGATGCACTGGTCTTTGGTAGCATCATTACAGTTGACTAGATTTCAAGAAAATCCTACTTTGTGTGTAAATAAGAAAGAACTGGAATGCAAATATTTTATATCAATCTCAAATGTAAAGCCAAGTACCCCAGAGGGTTGAACTATGTGTTCAACAGTACTCTTTTTTTTTTCTGCATGTCCTCTTACAGTATGTGAATCATGTCATATTTGCTTATGTTCCAAAAGAGCAGTGTTTCTTCTGACTCACAAATGTTTAGTGCATTGAATTTGTCTCCACATCAGTTAAGAAAGATATTACAGTGTGGTATGCTGAGAAGGGTCCTGGATTTGGAATCAGAGACCTGGATTCAAATCCCAACTCTGCCTCTTGTTACCTATGGGACCTGGAGTAATTCACTCAAATTCTCTGACCCTCAGTTTTTTCATCTATGAAATGAGAGGTTTGGACTAGATGACCTCTGAGGTCTAGATCTGTGATCTAAAGATCCTGTTTGTGAAAAGAAATACTTGGGGCTATTGGCTCAAGGTATGTATTTGCAGTATTCCATTATATTGAGCTATCTGCCAAAGTTTGAGCCCCTAAGGACAAATGTGTATAATTAATTTGGACAAACTATTAGTTTTTTTTTCTTCCAAACCTACTCACATGAAATAGCTAGGCTATTATGCCAATGAATTGTTCAATTGAATTTGAGTTGGAAGGGGCAACCTGGCTAATGAAGGCTACTTATCAATTGGCCTCCTGTAGATATGTAGGAAGAATGATGATAACCTACCTTGCCTAGGAAGTTCCTGGTGCTTCCTACCCATACCATAAGACTAAATTTTAAAGTACACGGCACATTCCTTGCATGTATTAAACAAGTATATTTGTCCAACTAAATTGAAGTAAAGCAGCCATTCAGGAAGTGAGGAACAACATTAGGAAGAATATGAAATAGACATAATTCTTTTTCTGTGTAATCTACAAATTTAAACTCATTAACATTAAATCAAATCAATAAACATTTATTAAATGCCAAGGCTATAAAATGAACTATGTTAGGTTTGGGGAGCTTGAGGGTTGTTTATGCAAAATTTAGATAAATGATGATCTCTGATCTCAAGAAGCTTATGCTCCAGTAAGGGGATAAGTCACACACTCAGAGGAGGACTGCTTGGTTTTGATTAGTCAATCAACAAGATTGTTGTCAGGCATTGTAATAAGTGCTAAGGATATAAAAAAAGGCAAATATGTGGTTTGTTCCCACAAGGAGTTCATGCTCTAAGGGGGAAGACAACATGCAGAGGCATGATCAACCATGCACAGACTGACATACATACAGCGTAAATGGGAGATAAATCTCAGAGGGAAGACAATAGTAGTGGGAAGGTGGGAGTGCAAGGGGCAGGGGTGGGAAAAACCTCTTGCAAAAAGTTGGATTAGTATTAAGTATTGAAAGAAGCCAAGGAAGCCAGAGGTAGGAGGAGAGATAGCATTCTAGGCTTGGTGGATAGCCAATGAAAAGGCAAGGAGGTAGAGTGTCATTTAGGAGAACAGCAAGATGGTCAGTGTTACTGACCACTAGCATAAAGTGTAAGGTCGGATTAAAAGTTCCAAGTGTTTGTGATATTAAAAACCATTCAGAAGCCATCTTGCAGAGTGATTGAGATCTTTAATATTCAGAACTTTAGTTGAAAATACTTTCCTAGGGCATTCCTGTAATATAATCTTACAGTGACTAGTCAGTGCAGTGAATAGAGCACTGGGCCTGGAGTCAGGAGGACCCGAGTTCAAATCGAGCCTTTGACACTAGCTATGTGCAAATTGTTTAACCTTGTTTGCTTCAGTTCCTCTTCCATAAAATGAGTTGGAGAAGGAAATGACAAACCACTCTAGTATCTTTGCCAAGAAAACTCCAGATGGAGTCACAGAGAGTTGGACATGACTGAAACAACAGCAACCAACAATCAACAACAACATTTTTAGAAGAGGAGACAATTTGTCCCAAATCTGCATTACTAGTTCGGAGCTGTTTAATATTTACCCTATTTGGCAAAGTTATATTTGAAGTGATGCATTTTTACCTCCAAATAACATTTAATCTGGAATAATCTTTAACAAAGTTTTTTGGGGGGTGGTCACCTGTATTGGATAGAAGCCTCTACAATGGGCTGCCAAATTTTCTAGTACAATATTATAAACAACAGCCTACACCATATTCTGCGGAACAGAAACATCTCCCATCAGAGTGAGGAAAACAAGTGCTCTCACTGAGGGACTGAACCTGAGTTATGTGGCGCTGTGACTATTGACACCTCCGACCCAAAGAAGCCACAGATATGCTTTCTGAGAAAGAATGAGATCTGGGCCATGGATCTGGAAGGATGTGAATGCTTCCAAGTTATCCTGGGGCTTAATCTGCATGGTACTAACTCACAATTATGTGATGCTTTAAGGTTTACAAGCCATTTTGTTCAAAACAACCTGGGAGGTAGATCGCTCAAGTATGATTTAACCCATTTTACAGAGAGAAAGGACTGAGAAGTGAAATTACTTACCTAAAGTATGTAGCTAATAAGTATCAGAGCCAGTATTTGTCCCTAGGCAGTGGGGAGCTGGACACAGCTGAACAATTTTCAGTGTGAGTATATATTTAGAACTTGAAACAAGTAAACACTACAGATCAGGGCTTGGTTTATTGTTTTTGTTGATTTCTCTAGGCAAAGTGATGGAGAAAATGTTAATAATGCAGATTAGACTTAATGTGTATCATACATACATATTCATTTATTTTTTTGAGAGCTAGTTGTTAAGCATTTACCAGTATAACACTGTACCTAGGTCTCCTTATTCAAAGTATGGTAAAATAAGATTCTTAATCGAGAGGTGATCTAGGGTAGTAGATAGAGGACCTTGTCTTAGAGTCAGGAACATATGGGTTCAAGTTCTGCCTTTGACACAAACTGTCTGTGTGACCCTTGGCAAATCACTTAACCTCTCACTGCCTCGAGTAACTCTCAAAGACTAACTTGCAGTAGAGTTCCTGACATCAGTGGAGGGAATTTTCACACAGGGATTACCCCACCTACATGAAATTATAGATCCCATTGTCTGTCCTTTACAAAAATATACAATGCAGAATTCTTTAGGTGTTTGTTATAATACCAAGTATTCAGTTCCTCATCTTGGTGAAAATACCAAGCAAATTGTATGAAATCATACAGCTCTATTGAGAAATAGCATGCCTAGAGAATTGGTCTTGAAGCCAGGAAGACCCAGGGTTCAAGACTTGTTCCGATTATATCTTGGCTATTTGACTTTGTACAAGTCATTTAACCTCTTAGGGTTCTAGGTAAGATTCTAAGTGCCAGAGAAGTTTCCACTTTACATTAGCAGAGGTAAATTCCTCTTCTGAGGATTCCTTATACCAATGAAATCACAGATCCAGCCTCTATTCCTACCCTGCATAATTCTGCAGAGCTTATTCAAATTATGTCTGTTCTTTAGAAAGATTCCACTATCCACATCTACAGGGCTGAGTTAGTACATTTTGGAAAACACTGTTTGGCAGCAAGGACTCATGAAGGAAAATTTTTGGAAAACTAAGGATTAAAAATGATTTTTCCATTTTTAGAACTAATCATAACATTGAATTTCTAAACACAGATTATTCTATGCTGGGAAAAAGTGTGAAGCAGGTTTTATAATACAAAGTTTAATAATCCCATGTGTAGCTTTATGTGAATGTAATCATAGGCATAAATTTGAAGTTATATAATTTAGAACCCCTCCAAAATAATTCAACTTTGGGGAAAAACAATTCAGTTTGCTTAGTCATGGAAATGTAAGCCATAAACTCTTCCTGTTAGGAAAATAACTTGATGGTGAAGTTGGCACGTTGTGATTATTTTATGAATGAATTATAAACATTTCAATATTGAATGTTAATAGCACTAAGGCTTTCATTAATATCAGCAATATTAATATTTTATATGTTTATATTTTATTTGCAAACATTGAATTTCTTGCATTGGTTAATAGTTCATATACTTATATTTGAAAATAATCATACTCTGAAATAATGATGAAATTATATCAATTTGAAATTCAACATTTGCAGATATAGCAAGGTAATTTTCTACATAGTTTTAGAGGAAAAAACTTGAGAAATATGCTTTGGTCTTTACCATATCATTAAACATTTTATCAACAGAAACAGCTGTTGGCAGCTTAACTGTTGATAGACAAGTTGTATATATTGGACTATCATGACAGAAGCCAGCCCTGTGATTTACCAAGCTGAGAAAGGAAGTGGTGCCATAGTCTAAGACGTGCTTGCTTGAAGGCATATAATTTAGTCATAAAGACTCTTCCACATAATGGTCTTCTATATTATCAGAGTAGTAAAACTAGTTGACTCAGAAATAACATCATGTGTTTTCCATAATTCTCTCTTCCCAGGTATTCACCTTGTGTATGTGTGTGTGTGTGTGTGTGTGTGTGTGTGTGTGTGTGTGATTTCTCCTTGGTTCCCACATTGCACTGCTTGCTGGTGGGAAGTATGATTGATGTTTGTACTGGACATTGAGTAACCTCTCATTAATTCTGTTTATAAATGTGGTCTTACTGTTACTTTCATTTAATGGTAACCATGACAGTTAATGATGGCACTCTATTATTTCTCCTTCTTTGTCCCTTTCTACTTCCTTGTCTTCTCTTTCATTTTTCTTCTCCCTTTCTTCCTTATCTCCTTCCCATGCCAGTCCTTTCTGCATATTTCATGAATTGCTTTTAGCTTTAAGGGTGTTTACCCTGGTAAATGCCTTGTGTGCCCTGCATTTTCTGCTCTGTATGCACAATGAGCAGTTGTTTTCCATATAGCCCATTTTGCTGCTAGTTCAGTGCTCTTTCCGTTTCAAGACCTATTAAGGATTTTTCTGTCTTCATGTCCACTACAGTATAATGTAACCTACAGTACAGAAGAAAAAAAAGTAGGAAAGGATGAGGAAAAAAGCTCTCCTTTTCTAAACAGAATGACACACATACAAGAAAAATAAATGAGAGAACTGATAATGGGTCAGTTAGGGTCCTCTATTTAGCACAACAAATAAAATAAGGATTTTTTAGAAATCAGGTAATTACAGCTTTAAAAATATTATGTTAACATGTGTGGGCTTTCAGCAAGTTTAACATTCCCAGATCTCAGTTTCCTCATCTATAAAATGAGGGAATTATATACTAATTGACCTCTGAAATCCATTTCTGCTCTACATCTATGATCCAATGTCTTTGTGAGGCAAGTACATGTTTCTATGTATGTATGTATATATGTATGTATGTATATGCATATTTATTATTCTTAGTATGGAGTCATTAAATATCTTGTGAAATGTTTCTGGCTAGAAATGAATTTGAAAATATAATGCTTCTCTGGCATCTAGATGTTTCTCTGGAATGATGTGTCTTAGGCAGTGGCTCAGTGAATAGAGCACTGGGCCTGAAAAATCAGGAAGACCTGGTTTCAAATCTAGCCTCAGATACTTTCTGGCTGTGTGAACCTGAGAAAGTCACTTAATCTCTGCTTGCCTTTTTTCACTGGAGAAAGAAATGGCAAACCACTCCAATATCTTTGCCAAGAAAACTCCATTGATAGTACTGGCTATGGTCCATCGGATTACAAAGAGACAGATACGACAACAATAACGTATGCATATTCATATTTATTATTCTTAATTTGGAGTAATTAAGAATCTTGTGAAATTTTTATAGCTAGAAATGAATTTGAAAATATAGCATTACTCTGGCCATCCTTCCTTTTAAACCTGTTGAACAGGAAACTTTAAATACAGAAATACATAAATTCTGAGGTTACATGAGCTCCCTCTGCTGGCTAATTTGAATACTTAGACTCAAGGACAATATTTCCCTTTGAAGTTTTTATCCCTCCAGTTGTTAAAGAACTCTTTGTCTAATTATCTCAACCAACGTTTTTGACATCTCCATTTTATCTTTTGAAATTAAAATGTTAGTTATTTCGGCCTGAGAAAAGTCAGAGTAGGGAAAATGTGGAAAAAAGTACCATTTAACTTTTAGACTGATTATTGTTATAGTAAAGTTTGTTTGCTATAAAAAATACACAACTTATGTCCAACATCATGTTGGATAAATTAATGTGTATAACCTCTCTAAAAAGTGTGTTAATTATTAGTGTCTTCTCTATCTTCACTATCAGGGCAGAAGCAAGAGAAGCCAAAAGAAGAGGATTGAGGCTCATTTTTGTAATTTTCTTTGTCTGATGTGCTATCATGGCAAAAGAATTCATCACTAAGGGACCAGCTTCAGTGATGAGCTTTTCCATACTTTGCTAGGCTGGGCCTCAGAATGAAAACATAAGTTGTTGCCAGAATTGTCCTTGGAGTATTTTCAGTGTGGCAGAAGCCAACAGAGGTACTGTTCCATTGGAACTAAATCTAGCAAGGATGAATACTCACTTGAGAGTGACAAATAGCTGATAGAGAGATAGCCTGTGAGTTTCCCTCATAATCTACACAACTTCAGGAGATAAGAATGTCACCAGATGGTTCAGGGGACTCCTTGTAGTGGAAATATTTTGTTTTTCAGTTGTTTCAGTTGTGTCCAACTCTTCATGACCCCATTTGGGATTTTCTTGGCAAGGATACTAGAGTAGTTTGCCATTTCCTTTTCCAGCTCATTTTACAGATGAGGAAACTGACGCAAACGGGGTTGAGTGACTTGTGAAGGGTCACACAGCTAGTAAGTTTCTGAGGCTGGATTTGAACTCAGAACTCCCTCACTACAGACCCAGTGTGCCACTTAGCTGCGCACAGTGGAAGTATAGGAGGACACAAGACAGACAGATAGGAATACCACATTGATGAGCACACAGAGTATTGAAGTAAATATGATAGCTGTCATTTCAATAGCACTTTAAGGGGTTCAAAATGCTTCATTTGTGTTCTCTCATTTGTTTCTTTCAATGACATCCTAAATTAGGTCCTATTCATATTTCCATTTCCTGGGTAAGGAACCTGAGGCTCAGAGAGGTTGATTTGCCCAGAAGGGGGAAGTATTTGAAGTGGGATTCAAACCAGGGGAAGTTTTTGACGTGGTATTCAAACCCAACTATTCCTGAATCCAAGTCGTAAGTTCTATATGTTGTCTCACACTATTGGAGTATTGAACTAGACGTCTTCTAAATTCCCTTCCAATGCTAAAATTCTGTGGTTCTGCCAGTTCCTTAGAATGTCAGAGAGGTTACCTAGGATTCATGCAGGTTGACCATGTTTCCTGTAACTTACACATGTCATTCTACATCCCCTCCCCCTTATGTATACTAGTCTGTGTTATGGAAAACACAATTTGGATTCTGAAATCAGACTTGTATTGAATTTCCAAATCTGTAATTGACTAAGTAAATAACAAGTCTCCTAGAGACTCCCCACCCCCATTTCTTTACTTGCTAAAGGGATATCTTATGTAAAATGTTTTGGTAATCTATTTAAAGGTAATTATGTTAAATTTTCTATATGAATTTATTTCAATCATGTCTTATCTTTGAATAATCATGTTGTATTTTTGGCATTGTTCTTTATATCAGTACGAAGCATAACCTGTGTAGTTACAAAGTCTATTCATACACATTATCCTATCTAATTCTGTCATAAATATCCTATAAGGTGGAAGAGCAAATGTTGTCCTCAGAATTAACTGAAGCTCAGGGAGGTTAAATCGTATGTCTTGTGTAGGCTCATGCAGCTACTAATTGGTCTATCTCAGGACTGGAACCCAGGTCTTTTTAGCTTTACCGTATCACATAATTATTTTGTATATTTGTCACAGATGTTTTCAGAACATGCTACTACCAACAGTTTCTGTGTATTTAATGAATTGAATTTTAAGTCTTGAGCTCATCCGTACTGTTGAATTCCTCAAAAGCTTCTATCTTCTAAGTGTTTGTTTTTGTATTTTTGAAAGCTCCATGATATAGTGTAAGAACGCTGAATTTGGAGTCAGAGGTTGTATCAAAATTCTAGCCCTGATAATTGCTTCTTTCCTGACCTTATGTAAGTCACTTAAATTCCTTGGCCTGTTTTCTCATCTGTCAAAAATGCAGGGGGTTGGTCTTTAAGATCTCCAAGACCTTGGGTAAGTCATTTATTTCCCTCCCTAATCCTCAATTTCATTATCTGTCAAGTGAAGAGGTTTGATTAAATCACCCCTAAGATCCCTTCCAGCTATAGATCTAGGAGCCCATAATGCCTATGAGCCTTTAAGTCCATGAGCCAATAATGACCCTATAATTACTTTGTTTTATCCTTTATTTCAGACAAGACTTTCCTGACTCTTCCTTCCACCACTGGGGCATCAACTATACTCAGTGCTACCAATACCAGCTTTGCTACCAACTTACCACTTGCCAAAACAAACCTTACATTCTGTGGTTATAATACGATCTACTTCAACATATCTGATGTATTACAAGAAAATTAATAATAGGACCTACAACTTGGACATGGAGTCAGTTAATGATAAGAATAGAATTATAAAATACTCTGTCTTCAACCCTTTCTAGGGTTACTATATGACCCTAGATTTCCTAAGTAACTTCTAGGCAGATACCTCAAGAAGTTCAGGTACAAAAAAAATGTGCTGTATACAACAGAATGTTATAGCAGCACATTTTGTAGTACCAAAGAACTGAAAACAAAGTAGATATCTATCAATTCAGAAAATATTACTGATGCATAGGAAATGATTAATATGAAGACTATAGTGAGACCATGGGAAGACTTATATGAACTGATGCAAAATGAAATATACATAACCAGGAAAACAATATAGACAGTAAATGCAAAAATGTAAATGAAAGGAACTAAGGCACCTAGATGGTGTAGTGAATAAAGCACCAGCCCTGGAGTCAGGAGGACATGAGTTCAAATCCAGCCTCAGACACATAACACTCACTGGCTGTGTGACTCTAGGCAAATTACTTAACCCCAATTGTCTCACAAAAAGAACAAAAACAAAATTCTGTGTGAATGCTGTGTAATTATAATAACAGGCTGATTTGTAGTTTTTCCTTCATTCTTGAAGAGGACTATGACATCAGAAAGATGATGACATGACTCGTAATCAAATTGGATTTAAGTGAGGAGGAGCTGTGCAAAGTCACCAGCCTCACTTTCTCCTCCACAGCCGTTTCTGTCTAGTGGCCAGATATAGGTCAGGATGACTAGAGATGGCCCAAGATGCAGTGGGAGTCTTTTGCCTTTTTAAGCTAAGGTCTTTCCGAGTTCTCACTTTGAGTGAGGCAATGCTCGATCAGTGAAAGAAGAGATAGAAGGCATGTACCTTTGCAGAGGAGGGGAGGTGGGATTCGACATATGCTGTGGGACTTGACAGACATGTCGGCTGGTCTTGCTGAAATGCTTTTATCTCTCTTTTTTATTCACTGTTATTAGAAACATATTGGGCTGTGAGAACAGAGGGATATATTGGGAAATGAATGTTATATGGAAAAAAAAATCAATACATTTTTAGAAGAAATTTTTTGCTTTATTTTACTTAGTGTTTACTCGTCTGTGTACCCTTTGTATCATCCCTCTCTCCCCAGTAGAATATGAGACAACAAAGAACAAGGGAAAAGTGCTAGTTTTGGAGTAATAAGACTTAGGTCCTTAACAAATGATAATGTTAATGAATGTTAACTTGCATTGGATTTATACATATATTATCATAGATAAACCTCATAGAAATTCTTTGAGGTACATTAGATAGACATTATTATCCCAATTTAACAGGTGAGAAAACTGAGAATCAGGAAGATTATGACCAAGTACGTTGTTGTGGTTGTTCAGTTGTCTCAGTTGTATCCAACTCTTCATGACCTCATTTGTGGTTTTCTTGGCAAATTAGTGGGGTGGTTTGCAATTCTTTCTCCAGCTCATTTTAAAGGTGAGGAAACGGAAGCAAACAGGGTTAAATGACTTGCCCAGGGTCACACAGCTGGTATCTGCAGCCAGATTTGAACTCAGAAATTTGAATCTTCCTGACTCCAGGCTTGGCACTCTATCCACTGTGCCACCTCACTGCCAGCCAAGTAAATAGGATCATTTTCATTGTCAGTAATTCAATTCAATCATGTTCTCGTTCTCTCTCTCTCTCTCTCTCTCTCTCTCTCTCTCTCTCTCTCTCTCTCTCACACACACACACACACACACACACACACACACTCATATAAAATTTGATCCTCACAACAGTCTTGTGAGGCAAGTGACATTATTATCCACATATTACAGATGCAGAAACTGAAGAACATAAGCGATTTGTCCACTGTCAACAACAAGTAGGGGAGACAGGATTTGAACCCAAGACTTCCTGATTTCAAGCACAGTACCTTAACCACTATGCTCTGCTATATTTCCAGATGCCTGAAGTAACCTCAATATTCCCTTTTGTTATTGATATCTTCTTGATTTTATCAGATGAGAATTTGGTGACCTATTCTATTTTGTAATGTTTCATCAATGACCAGCTGAGGAAACAAATTCCAGGGCTTTAGGTGCCCTGGGATTAACTATGCAACCTTATTTGTCAAAATCAGAAAGTTCTCCCAGCTATTTGCTGTTTCCTACTCTTAAGCTGAGAGAGCAGTTGTTTTCAGTATAGCATCTAATCTGTTATTTTCTTACATGATAAATGAATTTCTCTTATATGACTGGCTTCCCTCCAATCATTTTCACTTTTAAAACAACACATTGCAATTCTGACCCAGATACCAATTTTCCCCCAAAAAAAATAATTATAGGAATTTTAAGATAATATAGTTCTTACTGGAAGTTTACATCCATGTTCACATTACATGATACGGATAACCATAAGATCCTATTACTCAGATTCTCTGGAACAATTGCTTCTGGGCTGGGAGCAGCTAGGTAGCGAGGTTCATGGAGCACTGGGCCTGGAGTCAGGAGGACCTGAGTTCAAATTCGGCCTCAGACCAGACACTTGACACTTACTAGCTGTGTGACCCTGGGCAAGTCACTTAACTCCAATTGCCTCACAAAAACAAAAACAAAAAACAGTTGCTTCTGGAGAAAGAAGTCTTAGGAACTCTTTTCTTTGGAAATGTGGCAGTGCGTGTTCAATTACTGGCATGACTTTCACTTTCTACTGTAGACTTCTATTTTCATCCTTTAGTCTCTCACACATTGAAATATCTGGTTGATGCTTATTTTAGCTGATTATTGATTGTTGTGTGAAGCCTTAGCTTAACATGAACTTTTTCATTTTGCTGGTCAGAAGTATGATGTTTATACTGGGCAGCAAATAAATGATCATTAACTGTTCATAAACGTGATCTTACTGCCCACTTGGATAGCTTTTTCCACAAAGCTGGAGTTCTAGGCAAACCAGAAATTTCCAAATTACTGGCGGGGAATAAAAATTTGGTATAGTGGGAAAAAGCCAACTATAATGGAAGCAGTCTGACTACTATATCTGTGACATCAGGTGAAGACCACTCTACTTTTGGTGTGGACTGACCCTAACCTTAATTCTTAGGTACTGTCATGTATCTATATTATGCCTCCAGAACAGTGCCCTGTCCAGAGGACATACTTTAGAAATGTGAAATTGAGTTGGGTTCATTCAAGACTCTATTCCACCATTTCATTCTAAACCATCTGAGAGCGACAAATGATTTTGTTCCATGTAAATGAAGGAAAAGTGCGAATGTGTGTGTGTGTATGTGTGTTTTGAAGGGTCAGAGTGCAAGATTTGAAAACCAATACTGCATGCTCAGAAACACATTCCTTGTTTCACCACACGGTGTCACCCGCCTCCCATATAGTCAGCTCTTGCTGTTATACGAGGGAGGAAGCCTCAGGAAAACCAGCCTAAACCCCTCCCTAATTCTTTGCCCCTCAAAGAATTTTTCTAACACCCTATAAGGTAAAGTGATAGAGTGAAAGTCATTGTTTTAAGGAAACTGGATCCAGAACCTAAAGAAGCATGGTCTAATAGGTGATGATTATTGCAAGATGATGACCTTTCTGGTGGACGATCGTGGTGACATTTTAGTATTATCTTACATTGGCTGTACCGCTGGAACTGTGCCATTCATCATCGGATATCTCATTGAGTTGGAATTAAGGGATGACTTTTTCCATCATATAGAATGCCCAGAATGATAACGATGTAAAATTGATCCTAGTGGAGAGGCTTCTAGGCAGCTTGTTCACTTAACTGTTTTCAAAGATGATAGACTAGGCTGCTTCTAATTTGAAAATGAGTTATTTTAACTTCCATTGAAAGTACAACAGAGAACACATTAATTTCTCCCCCCCTCCATGACTTTGGTACTGTTATGAAACCCAAGATGATTTTTCTTTTGATCTTTCTTTTACTACCAGAAGCAGTTGACTTCATTAACAAAACAGTGCTCTCAAATACCAAGTCCCAAGTGTCCTGAAAAGATCCTAACAAGCTAAATGGACCTGCAGAATCAGTTTGCAATCACCCATCCGGCTCCAATTCTTAAATCGCCTTTAAATCAAAGTAAGCATCCAAATGGAAGACTTTCTTTACCCATCTTTATTGTGGAAAAAAATATATGTTCAAAGTACAGTGAACCTCTTCAATAAACATAAAATCCATGTCTAAGGTCAGCCTCCAAGCTCAAGACACTGAAACGGCTGAGAAAATTCACTTTTCAGTTCTTACCTGTCACCCTGAAGAGATAGCCAGAATCACTTTGAGGGTGTTGAAACATTTGACATTCTAAGGAAACCTTACATCATGATTCCAGGAAATGCTATTTTGCAATTAGATGAGAGGCCTCTGGCTAATGCTGACCTCATCAACTTTTGGTTATAAGTCCAGAAGGTGAAGATTATCAGTTGTGACCTTTTAAGCATATGTTTATTTTTTAGCTTAGAAGATGCTGGGAGCACTTTTTTACTTCTAAGATAATTATCTCAAATGTATTAACTCTGACTTTTAATTATATAAATACAAAACAACTTTTGGTAGGAGTTAAGACCCTATTATTGCCTCTGGCTTGCCATTTAAATACCTGCGGATATAAACTGGGCAGGTAGGCGACACAGGAGAGAGTGCCAGGTTTGGAGTCAGGAAGACTCTTCAGGTGTTCAGGTTTGGCCTTAGACACTTACTAAGCTGTGTGACCCTGGGCAAGTCACTTAACCCTATTTGCCTCAGTTTACTCATCTGTAAAATGAGCTGGAGAAGAACATGGCAAACTGTTCCAAGAAAATATCAAATGGGGTCATGAAGAGTTAGACAAGACTGAAAAATGGTCTGAACAACAACGAGGTATGAATTGTCACCTCAGTTTTGATTATATACTCTAAGGATTTCTGAAGAGCATTTTCCACATCTGCAGATCGGATATGGCCAAGTTATTCCACAATGTTTCTTTGGCCGCAGTACTCTTGGCACAGTTTATGGATTTGAGATTCATAACTTGTAAAATTTGAGAAAAGAATCTGTTATGTTAAAAACCTATATTAATACAATCTTTTACTAAGAACTTTCCTCACAGCAACTGGATGAGGTAGTTAGTTCAAGTATTATCTCTGCTTTACAAGTGAAGATACTGTGTCTCAGAAAGGTAAGATTACTTGCTCACAGTCACATGACTGAGCCCATCCAAGTCTTCCAATTTTCAATCAAATGTTCTTTCTTTCCACTGCATCTCATGGTGAATAGTGTGCTCTCAACCATTTTAATAAGTATTATATGGAGTCTTAGGAAGAAACTACAATGTCTGACCTATTCATTCTAAACATGAATGATGCATGTTGGTTTAACTCTTATGGAGAATGGCCATTTTTTAAAAATGGGCTTAATTGTCATGTAAATATCCACAGAAATTCAATAAGGATTAGACTAGAAGATTTCTAAATTCCATTCCAAAGCCAAGATTTTGTCAAGCAATTTCATTGAATCATCACTTAATGGAGAGTCAACAATGGCTTCAAACATGTCATTCTTAGAAGGAGGTCCTACATTGATGATAATAGTTAATATTTATATAGTACTTTAAGGTTTGTAAAGCACTTGGTATATAGTTCTTCACAACAATCTCGTAAGATATGTGCTATTAATATCTCCACTTAACAGACATAAGCAGTGAAGCTGAGGTAGGTTAAATGACTTGCCTAGGGTCACACAGCTAATAAATATTTTAAGCAGAGTGTTAACCCATGTCTTTCCAACTCCAGGCCCAGCGTTCTATCAGTTATTCCATACTGCTTGTACAACAATGTCTATGCTGCTCTCCCATTATTGTTGCTATACATGTTGTTATTGTTGTTGTGTTGTGTTTGACTCTTCAAGACCTTATGGACCACAGCATGCCAGTACTGGCTACAGAGTTGAAAGACGCTAGAGTGGTTTATCATCTCCTTCTCCAGTGGATTAAGGCACAGAGAGGTCAAATGACTTGCCCAGAATCACACAACTAGTGAGTATCTGAGGTCAGATTTGAACTCAGCTCTTCCTGACTCCAGGCCCAGCTGTCTATCCACTGAGTCACCTAGCCGCCTCAGACATACATATACCCATACATATACATAAATACATGGAAATGAGTTATTACTTGGCTTCTTTTAGTAATTTTTAGTGCAATTATTATATATAAATAAATAATATATAAATATATAAAAATATAAAAAATAAAAATTATATATAAATATACAAATAAACATACATATATATATATTTATATATACACACACACATAAAAAAATTAGTATTGACTGACTTTGCAGTCTCTTTTAAAGTAAAGGTTTTTCCCCCCAAGGTGTTTAAGACTTGCCTCTGACATATAGTAATTGTGTGACCACGGGAAAGCCACTAAATCACTCAGGATGCCAGGCAACTCTTTAAGACTGGAAGTTACTGAAGAGTTTCCAATATGCATCAGCTGAGGGAGTTTTATGGTGAGAGTTTTCTATGCTGATAAAATCACAGGTCTAGAATAAACAAAAATAGAAAGTAGCTTCTTTTAAAAATGGATAAATACTAGATTAGATTGGTGAAGAAAGTTATGATATGGCCTTTTCTGGAGATCCTTAAAAATTCACATATTTTCATCCATCAGAGACATAGTGTGCTTTGCTCTGAAACTCTTTTACTAAATTTTTCCTTTCATGTCTCATTGTAGCATGGGTGTGACATGGATGCTTCCCTAAGGCTATGCCAGCAGAATAAAGCTTTGGAAGTCTGACAGGATAATAGATTTTGAGGTCATGTAATCCAATCCTGAGGACAAGGCAGCGGATAGAGTGCCCAGCCTGGAGTCAAGAAAATTCATCTTTCTGAGTTCAAATCTGGCCTCAGACGCTAGCTGTGTGACTCTGGGCAAGTCACTTAACCCCTTTTGCCTCAGTTTCCTCATCTGTAAAAGTGAGCTGGAGAAGGAAATGGCAAACCACTTCAGTATCTCTGCTAAGAAACCCCCAAGTGGGATCACGAATGGTCAGAAATGGACTGAATAATGACCGAGCAGCAATGACAGTCCAACAACATATAATTGAGGAAACCAAGAGAAGTCAGGTGACTTCAGAGGTCATAGAATCATTGATCTAGAGCCAAAAGGGACCTTAGAGGTCATCCAGTCCAAGAATCTCATTTTAAAGCTGAGGAAACTGAGGCCCAAAGAGATTAAGTCAGTGACTTGCAAAAGGTTACACAGCTAATATATAGTAGAACCAAGACTTCAACCTAGTTTCTCTCCAAATCCATTTATTTCCTTCCGTACCATACTGCCTCCCAACTGTACCACACTAAAAAAAAAATCTTTTGAATGTGGTCTTAGCAATAGACTGTATCTGCCTTTCTGAGACAAGCCTAGTTCAAAGAAGCTTATGACTAATAAGCTTGGCTGCTAGATGATGGCTTTCTAGCCACTTACCAAACCATCTACTAACTGAATGCAGTGGCAATGTTCTGCATGAGAGCAGGAAGTAGCTATAATGATGAAGTGCTAAATCTGAACACCTAATATTATTTGATGGTGACAGTAAAATACTGCTAGGTTTCTAAAAGGACCGGCAAATGATGGCTAGCCAGAAAGTTCTGCATTCTTTGAGCAACTTGAACCTACCACATAATGAATGGGCTTCTAGGAACTGATCCCATAGCACCATACATTCACACCTTTTGAGTTCAGGTGCTGAAAGATAAGCAGAGTGGAAGCGTGACTGTGTGTCATTGTATTGAAGTGTCTTCTTGGAGGTAGAAAGGATGGGAGGTGGTTCAGTAATTGTGCCTTCTGCTCCTCTTCATTCATCTTTAAAATGAGGGGCTTGCTCTGGATTTTTCTAAAATTTGATGAATGGATAAACAGAATCACACTTGAAATTTTATAGGTTAAGATTAGAAAAAAAAAACCAAGAAATTTTGCTCTGGACATTTTCTACAAGGAAGCAAATATGAATTTGATTTTTCCCTAGTTATTCATGATTTGCCCCAAAGATGCCAAAGTTTCTGATTTTCTAACTCTGTGATAACTCTAACTCTCTGAACAAAGTAGTTTGAAAATATTTTTTGGGTACAAATGTTAGTCTCATTCATAGGCCCCTGACTCCCTTGTGATTTACTGGGATAGCCCATGGCATTCTTCCAGCTGGTGGTCTGCCCAGAACATTCATTGCTGTAGTTAGTCTAATGCATTACAATTTTCCAGCCACTGCTAATGCCCTTTTCTCTCAAACGCTTCTGTAAAAAAATCTCCCTGACATTTCATGGAGCACTAATGGTTTCTGGTTGATGTATTAAGTTAAGTTATACTTTTGCACCCCTCAGACCTAAGAGAATTTCATACATTGGGCCACCAAGAAATAAGCAGGAAGTTCCAAAACTCTGGAACAATATGTTAGTTTTTTGAATAATAGATAAAATTTATGTAGTACTTAGAAATTTGCAAAGCATTTTACAAATATCTTGTTTTATCCTCACAACAGCCCTGGGAAGTAGGCAATATTATTATCCCCATTTTATAGATGAAATTGAGATAGGCAAAGATTAAGTGACTTCCTCAGGGCTGCACTGCTAGTAAGCGTCTGAGGCTGGATTTGAACTCATCTTTCTGATTCCAGATTCAGCATATTATCCATTTCCCCTTCTAGCTACTTTTTGTGGGAGACCCTATATAGCATAGGGGAAAAGTGCACACCAATGAAGTGTAAATGTTTGCCTTAATGGAAAAGATAAAGTTATGAGATTGAAACTAGTCCATATGCCTAAAATCTCTTTGTGACTTTATTTTTGTTTTTCATTTCCTCTCTATAAAGTGGAGACACTCTACCTTCCAGTGGTGCTGGGTAGAATTGTCCCTTACCAAACAGATAAATGCTTCAAAGTGACAACAAGACAAAATGATAGGCCTTGAATCCTAAATGAAAAAAAAGAATCATTTTATGTATGGAAACTGGTCTTCCTGAGACAGTTTACTGGGAAAAATGTAGGCCTAGAATGTCTGTCAAAAAAACTGAAGCCTTTGTCTTTTGCTATTTTCAAATCAAATGAAAAATATCACCCACCATCATCAGAGTGGTACATATTAAGTGCCCCAATTCACAGATATTTATAACCATGCCGACAGGGCAAATTTTTCTGGACAGCTGTCATCAGAGGCCCCATAGTCTAGAGTGACTATCACAGTGGATTGAAAGTCAGACATCCCACACTGAATTCCTGGCTTTACTTTTGATTAGGTAAGTGATGTTAACCAAGCCACTTACTCTTTTAATGACCCAGCTTTCCTATCTTAAAAAAAAAAAGGATACTTGCTGCTTGAACCAAAGAGTTGCTGTGGAAATGAATTAGAGATTTATAAAATATTTGGAAATCCTTTGAAAAATTACAAGTTAAAATACGATTTTTTAAAAGTCATCATATAATAGGGTAATTGGGAACAACAGTTTCTCCAGTTTGGTCATTCAGCATGTTTCAGCTGTGACTTTTCACCCCCAACTTGACAGTAAGTGTTTAACATGGTGGATGGCAAGAAATCATAGCTGTGGAGCTTGATGAGTAATTTAGATTCCAAAGTGCACAACCTGTCTTGGAAATACTGTACTTCCTCCCCACATCTCTGACATAAAAAATTAAAACAGGCTTCAAGGAAGTGACTAGGGGGCACTGGGGATCCTGATTGCTATAAAGAGGTTCTAATTTTTTAAATGGGAAAGAAACTTGTCTTCATATTCATTCATTTTTAGATTTGTGAACCAATTGGGACAACACATTCTGAAAAGGAGGAATGTTGGTTGAGGTTCAGTTTTTATTTCTAGTGGAAAGATGATGCTTTTTATTTAGTGAAAGCTGTCTGCACATAAGGTCCACTCTATACTCGCATCTTCATAGACCTGCATCCACACACAGTCTATGATGTCTAAGCTGTAGTGGTTTATGTAACAGGAGCAACAAGACAGCCAATAAGCACTCAGCTGTTTGGTGCTAGGACTTTCATGTTGTTGGCACCTTTCCATAAGCTGCACCCTACATCCTTTAACATAATCGTATACAATAAACTTCTGATGCCTTCAGCATGGTACAGAGGACAGAACTCTGGATTTAGGGTCAGAGAAACTGAGTTTAATGATGATGATGATGATAGCTAGCATTTATATAGCACTTTAAGGTTTGCAAAGTACCTTATATATGTCAGGTCATTTGATTTTCACAACTCTGTGTGGTAGGTGCTGTTCATATTCCCATTTTGCAGATGATAAGACAGAGGCTGAGAAACATTGTGCCTCTCCATAGGTCACACAGTTGGCAAAGTGTCTGAGGTAGGATTGAACTCAGGTCCTTATCATTCTAAGTCAAACACTTGTATCTGCTGCACCACCTCACTAGCTATCTGGCTCTACCCTATGTCAAGTCAAGTCAACAAGCATTTATTAAGCACCTAATATGTGCCAGGCACTGTGATAAGCATGGAGGACACAAAGGAATGGCCCCTATTCTCAAGGAATTTACTATTGGGGTGGAGGAGACAACTTGTAAATAGCTATGTACAAACAAGATAAATACAGAATAGGTTGGAGATAATCAAACAGAGGGAAACTAAACTAGCAAAACCAAACTAAACTAGCAATAAAGGTGATTGGGAAAGATTTCTTGCAGAAGGTTGGATTTTAGCTTACTTAGAGCTCTGGGTGATTCAGTGACTTTCCCAGGGTCCCACAGTCAATATGAATAAAAGCCTGGACTCAAACTCCTGATTTCATGGCTTTGAGGCTAACGTTCTAACCACTAGGCTATGCTGTTCTGCCTCTCAGTAATATACACAGTAGGGGGTAGTAAGCATTTATTAGTACTTATGATATGTTAGGCACTATGCTAAGCTCTTTACAAATATTATCTCATTGTATTTCATGCTCATAATAATGCTACAAAATAGGTGCTATTATTGTCCTAATTTTACACATGAGGAAACTGAGGCAAATAGAGGTTAAATGATTTACTTAGGGTCACACAATTATTAAATGTCTGAGGCAGGACTTGAATTCAGGTCTTTCTGACTCCAGGCCCAGTATTCTCTCACTGTACCATGTAGCTGCTTCAGTATGAGATTAATATCTGAAAAATGCTTTAAACACTCTACATCAGAATTAAATATCAACAACTCCAGTTATGAAATTTCTTTTTGCCTTCAAGTCATTAGACATTTTGCTAAACTCCAAGGATATGCCAATCTTGAGGGTTACAGTAAAATTTAATTTTCAGCCATTAATTCTTCATAGTAAAGTCATTTTAAATATTCTTCATGTATGTCCTTTCAAATATAGCTATAAGCTACAAGACACTATTACTATTGCAAGAAAGAAAAAAAAACCACATTAACCAGAGAGACAGAAAACGCTGATTATCTAATATTTTTATTTGTCAGTGACTAAAGAAACATTTTCTTTCTCCCCACAGCTGGAATTCCAAGTAAGCCAAGAATTTCCAAATTACTGGAAGTGGATAAAAATTAAGTGGAAAAAGCCAAAGATAATGGAAATAATCTGACATGCCACATCCTTGAGTTGGAGTAAAGACTACTCCTGCTTGTAGCATCTTTGTTTATGAATGGATAGGTATATTTTTTCTGTCTCTGATAAAGGTTTCTCTTTCCTCCAGTAGTAAAACAGTACCTTACAGGTTAAATCTATATTTGAAAAGTCATATATGAAGAATATTTAAAATGCCTATTACTGTGAAGAATGAGTGGCTGAAATTATATGAACAATTGGTTGTATTGTATTTTGTAGCGGTTAATTCATCTGATTATGTTACATAAGAACTAATTATAGTGAGGAGGTCTCAGTTTAGCAACTTAGCATGCATACTGATACTCTGGTGCCCAATTTCAGTTCATCTTTTTCATCACATTTAATAAAATCAGATTCCTTCATTCCCTTTCTCACCTACTCTTCTATAATTGCTCCCAATGTTTGTTTTAGAAAATTTTAACTTAAACATGAAATTTATTAACTAATTAATTTCTTCAACATTTATAGAAAACCTGTTGCTGTTTTTTATCCTTTGTTTTCAAAGAGGACCAATGACATCACAGGTGATATCTTGACCCGTACATGAATTGGATTTAAATGAGGCAGAGTTGCACAAAGTTGTCAACCTCACTCTCTCTTTCAGAGTCATTGAAGTCTAGTGGCAAGACAAAAGTCAAGACAACTGGGTGCAGTAGATGACTTTGGTGTCTTTGATGTCTAAACTGCCTCTGTGGCCATTGGAATAAACTGTTCTCTTCTGCCCATTCCCCAGGGGAAGTCTTCATGTGCTTGGGGTACATACCCAGCCTCACTCACAGTTGAGTTTGAGGTCTGTTTGATACCCTCAACCTTGTTTAGCCTGTTCAGCAAGATGTGTTTTTTTCCCCCCGAGGTGTGGCCACTGCACATGCTACAGAGTACCTATTAATTGTGCTATGGAGAATTTAAAAAATGGTAAGACTTGGTCTCTATACTCGAGGAATTTATCTTCTTTTCTTTTTGAACCTTAGCTCATCCTGTGCACTCAAATATCTACCAGTTTCTATTTCACGTATCAGTGAGTCAAATGTTTTTTAACACTTGACCATGTATCAAATACCATGCTAAGTGCTTAGGATACAAAAAAGGTAAAAATAAGAACAGTCTCTATCCTGAATAAGCTCATATTCTAGCGTGGGAGAGAATATATGTGACTAGGAATATACAAGATATATACAAGGGGAAGATATATTTCAGAGGGCACTAGCAGCTGGGGGAACTGGGAAAATCCTTCTATAGAAGGTGGGATTTGAGTGAGACTTGATGGAAGTAAGTGAAATTAAGAGGTAGAGATGAGGATGAAGAACATTCCAGGGGGGACAGCCAGTGCAAAGGCATGGAAATGGAAAGATGGAGTGTTGTGTGCATGGAACAGCAAGGAGGCTAGACCATAGTGTATGTAGAGGGGAGTAACATGGAAAACTTGTAAGAGTCCCTCTTTCTTCTTCTGACACCATTTCTTTCTTCGAAACATGTAAACCTGTCTTCCATGAACTGATTCATGCTCTAGATATTTCTCACCCAGATAATGGAGCACATATTATTCTTCTAATCATCATTTGCCACAGTAGATGAAAAATAATATTTATTGAACATCAACAAAGGTGCAGATAGAAATAGCACAGAATGTAAATTAGACCTCGATCTGAAAAAGGCCATTGCACGTATGATTTTATGTGTGTGGAAGAGACTAGAACTTGTACTGCATTTCCTACAAGTTTAAGCCATGTCCTAAATGGAAAGCATGCAATTAATGAACACATGCAGCCTCAGATCCTGCCAGTATGGAGAGCTCAGCAAACCACATTGGCTCAGTTGGTTAGTTTTCTTGCCAACTTGAAGAGAGAATTCCAAATACCGACGACACTCCCCTCACGGGACTGTGTAGCCATCTTTCAAAAAGCTCCAAGGACAAAAGTTGCTTCCATATTTACCCCTCTGGCAATTTGTTCTTATGGAACCCCTTCTCAGAATAATGTTTTGGTCTATTTTTTGCTTCATCTTTCTTTGGAATTCCCAACACCTTTAATAACTTCCCTTGCTCTCATTTGAAAATGTCCTTGTCTACACTCTTCATTTCAAACCTTTAGTCATCTTCAGCTATCTTCTTTTGTAAGGAGCCAAGAGAACTTAGAACTATAGGGCCCCTGCCTATAAGTGGTCACTGGTCACTCTTTCTGTTTGTGTCACCCACCAAAATCACAGCATAGTTCTGGCAAGTACCCATCTTTCTGTCATCCTTTCCCATAGAGTAGCATCTTAAAGAATTAAACATGTATTCCATTCTCAGTACCCCAAATCTCAACCTCCAAGACTTGTGTGTCACTTTACTAAACAGATGAATGAAGCATAGTCTTCTAAATAGCTCAACAAACTTCTTCGGTCAAGATATTTTAATTAAGATCTGCTATGGTTTCTGTAGTGATCTGTGATACCACTCATATTCCAGATTTCTGGAGGTAAATGACTGAAATGTTCTTACAAATTGGTACAAGGTTCTTTCTTTTGATGGATTTCAATTAAACAAATGTGCATTGAGTGCTTCATATGTTCAAGACCTTGTGGAGAATGCAAAGAAGAATAAGAATTGGGAGCCCTCAAAAAACTTTGTCCAGTAGTGGGACAAGATGTTTACAAATGCTATGATATAGAATGTGAAAGTATAGTAAGAGAGGGATAAAGTTATTTCAGAGGAGAAAGAAATCATTACTGACTGAATAAAGCAGAGTGTGTTTCTTGGAGATGGCTTATCTTAATTGCAACATTTTAAGCCTGTAACAAAATGGGCTTTTTTCACTATATTTCAATTCAAGAAACATTTATTAAATGACATTATATTCAAAGCACTGTGTTAGATGCTAGGGAGATCAGGAGAGATGAAACAGATGCTGCTTTCAAGGGGCTTATACTGAATACTCCTTATACTGCACACCTATCCTGGAGTGGTACAGAGATCTAAAAAGATTGTTTTACATGTTAACTCAGGGAATGAATTTCGATGGGCTGAAAGGTTCTCAGCTGCAGTGGAAACAACTCTGGATTTGTAGGTCAAAGGACCTGAGTTCTAATCTTGGCTTTTTTCTATTTACTACCTATATATGGCCTTGGGCAAATCACTTCATATAGGAGTGCTTAACTTTTTTTTGGACCCCTCCAGTAGTCTCATGAAACTTATGGAACCCCTTCTCAGAATGATATTTTAAATACCTAAGATAAAATACATAGGATTACAAATGAAACCAGTTTTATTGAAATAGTCATCAAAATATTTTTTTAAAAAGTTCACAGACCCAAGTTAAGAATCCCTGACTTAACATATCTGGTTGTTTCATAGTTGATTTAGTTGATTCATATGTGAAATGATAAATTTGGCCCTTTCAACCTCTAAGGTCCCTTCTAATACTAAATCTAAGATTGACTAATCTTTGTTAACATTACAGCTTGACTTTTCTATGATTCAGGTCACAGAACTTTGAGTTTGAGAATAATAGTAAAAACTTAGATTCATATAGGGCTTATAAAGTGCTTTTGTCCTAATACCAGCCCTGTGTGCTAAATAGTGCAAGCATTATTAACCCATATTATGAAAGAGGAGATTGAGGCTGTAAGCAGTAAACTGATTTGCCCAAGGTCACATAGTTAAAAAGTGACATAACTGAAGCTCAAAATCCAGGTCCTCTGAATTCAGATCTTGTGCTCTGTCATACCCAGTATAGAGAATGTTCTGAACCAATTCTTGTCCCTTTTTCATAGATGTATAGACAAAACTAAATTCCTTTAAAAACAGAATTGGGATAAAAATAAAAAGGAAGCAGTGGATTCTGGAATTAGCAGAATGATGCTAGTTAGATTACATCTTCCCTACCAATTAGCCAGAAATGGTAACTCTGAGCCAACGATGGTGTCACTGAGGAAGAGACAGGTCAAAGTCTACTAGTTTAGATGGAATATGTGACCCTATTGCTTTAAATTCTTAAGCAAAGTTATGCCTTCTAACAGTAGGAAAAAAGTATCCTCTCTTGATCATCAATTACACTTAATTTTCCTGGCTAGGCTATGTTGCATGACCGTGTGCATTGCTGGAGTGACTTTTTAAGACTCTGCTGTGTTCTACAGCCAAACCATGTAAGTGGAATGAGGCCCAGTGTCAAGTGTGCAACAAGAGAGTCTTTGGACTTATGTCACTGAAATGATGTATGAGTGTCTAGAAATAACACACACGTTGCCGTGTATGCTTTCTATATTTGTTGTTTTTTGTTGTTCCCCTTTTAGGAAAGGGAGTTGGAACAATTCACAGGAATGGGGCTTAGCGTGGAAGATGGCATTTAATGGGTCCTGTGGGAGTATTTGCATGTGGAAGTCAAAGGTCCTAGAAGAAATATTTAGTTCTGAGCAGTAGCAACAAACAGCCTGGGGTTTGGTGAATACAGTGATATCAGAGATAAGATTTCATTGGTTCAAGGTACTTTGAATGTGTGTGTGTGTGTGTGTGTGTGTGCGTGCACATGTGTGCATATTAAGTAATTTTACACAAAAGTAAAGTAACAAGTACATGCTTGTACCTGCTCTGCTCATTCTGATTTCATTTCCAGGGTATCCTGAGTACCTGTGCTTTGTAAATCTCCCTAAAATCCAATTTTCATCACGATACTCCCTTGCTCAAAAGTGTATAATGGATCCCTACAGGGCTTTTTTTAGGTGCCTACCATGTGAAAGGCACAGTGCTAAGTGCTAGAGAAGCCAAGCTGAAAAACGATGTGATCCCTGCCTTATGATCTAATAGGGAAAGATAAGGCACATATACAAATGAATATGAAAGGAGAAAGAATGTGAGAAGAGTAAGGGAGAAATCCAAAGTCCTATATGGATTTTAATAAGGTAGAGATCACTTCCATGGTGGGGGGCAGTCAGGGAAGACATCTTGGAGAGGGGAAGAATCCTTCTCTTCCATTAAGGTCCATATCAGGTGAAAACAGAGGAAGATGAGGAGGGAGAGTGTTTTAGATATGATGGGATGGTTTGCCTGGAGGTATGACAATATAGATGAGATGGAAAAACGGTTAATAGTCCAATGTGACTGCAACACAATATATATGAAGGGGCGTCAAGTGAAATAAGACTTATTAGACCATGGAAAGCCTCAAATGACAAATTAGGGAATCCAAACTCATCCCGTTGACTTTTGAGGCCTCCCATAACTTTCAGTCCTTATCCAACCTGATTTCCAACTCATCCAATCTGGTTTCTCATTACTATTCCCCAATATGTACCTTACACTTAGGCAAAGCAAATCTCTTTCTCTTCAATATCTCAGAACAATAATAATACTCTTCTATATTTATGTAATGCATTAACAGCCTAACAAGCTGTTTTTTCTTATAACCACCCTATGTGAGTATGAATATTAGCCTTGTCAGAGAGGTTAAGAGACTTGCCCAAAGTCTTCTACCTAGTGAAACACAGAGCCATGACTTGACTACAAGCCTTCTAACACCAAATCCATGCTAGATCACATTATCTCTAGGTCATTTCTAGCTATATATTTCCCCCATGCTTTGAACGACCTTCATTCTCCTCTCATATTATACTCAACCTTCAAGACCTAGCTAGTCTCACCTCTTCCATGAAGTCTTCCCCAAGTATTCCTGTTTACACTTATCTCTTCAGTGAATTCCTACAGTACTTTAGTCAATAAAAGTTAAGTTTAACAAGTTGTCTCATTGTACTATATACATTAGTTCTGTTTTGTTAGATATGATAGTAGACAGCGTGGCCTCTGCTATTTTTGTGTGTTCATAAGTACCTATGAGTACAGTTCTAGGAAGATATAAGGTGTTTGGTAGATAATTGGGGGGGTTGATTGGTTGACTTTATATTTGTATACTACGAGAACAATTTGAGAACATTTTTGATCTTCAAAGATATCAATTTGAGACAATCTCAGTGCTAAATTCATTTGTATAAAATAATATGGGAGAAACATAATGCCAATTATACATAAATATGAATTTGTATATATTTACATATCTATAGGCAGATATACATATGTAAAAAGATTATATCTTCTTTATTCTAAGTTCATTGAAATAAATTCTCCTCATTATGACTCCTGCCTATTTTCCAGACTTAATTTGTATCGTTTCCCCTTTATATACTCCACAGTGTAGCCAAACTGGCTCACTTTCTATTGTACAAACTTGGTACTCCATCTCTTACCTCCATGCCTTTTAAAAGATTCTTCCTCCGTATCTGGAATGCACTTGCACTTCACAGAATCCTTAGTTACCTTCAAGGGCCATTTCATGAGCATCTTCCTATAGAAATCTTTTTTAATATCCATGGTTGTTACTAACATCTGTTTCCCGAAATGATAGTGCATATATTTATCTGTGTGAATGATTTTATCTCTCCAGGAGAATGTGTATCCCTTGAGGGCAAAAGCTACTTTGGGGTTTTTGTTTCTATTCCCAGTGCCTAGCACAGGGAACCCAGCAGGCACTTAGCAAATGCTTACTAAATGAATTGAATGCATGAATGAATTTCACTTGTCTCTTTCAAGAAGGTTGGGTACATAGAAAATTGCATTGTTGCTTTTCAGACCAATGCAGTAAAAGTGGGAATACCTAGACTTACATTCTGAAATTACTCTTTTCTTTGTTTTGTTTAATTAGATCCTTTCTGGGTTCCAGAGACTAGTATTATAGTTGCCATTCTTGCTGAAGCACTCCTTGTTTTTACCTTTTGGCCTTTCGCAAGTACAGTAGATAGAGTTAAAATGGGGCACTTTGTGCCTTGATCACCAAGGGTGATTTTGTTTTTGTTCTTTTGATCCCATATATAGGCATATAACTTAAACAAACAGAAATACACATATTCTTTCGACAACACCAAATTTTGCTTCCTGTATCCATTAGAAGGAGAATTCTTCACAATTTGCCCATTACCATTTACATTTCACCTTCTTAAGTGAGACCTATCAGGAAGGGAAACAACTTTTGAAAAGGCCAGAGCTAATTACTACTAAGACCTAATTACAAATTTGGTCTTAGATTTTATATTTATTAGCTATGTGACTGTGGGCAAGTTACTTAACTTCTCTTTGCTTCACTTTCCCCAATTGTAAAATGAGGATAATGGTATCACCTACATCACAGGGTTGTCTTAACAATCAAATGAGATAAAGTGCTTAGTACAGTGCCTGACATAGTGGGCACTATATAAATGGTTATTCCGTCTCCCCCTTTTATTATGTATATTTTTAAAAGTTTCTTTCTTCTTTTTTTGGTTAGGCAATGGGGTTAAGTGACTTGCCCAGGGTTACACAGCTAGTTAAGTGTTATGTGTCTGAGGCCATTTGAACTCAGGTCCTCCTGAATCCAGGGCTGGTGCTCTACCCACTGAGCCACCTAGCTGCCCTAAAAAAAAAGTTTCTGATTTCCTATACTATACAGCAAATGTTTTAATGCTTACAATTTGAGATAAAAGAAAAAAAGATGCAACTCTCATATTCCCCACCCAGGTTATTCCAATTTGTACTCATACTTGAAGGCCGAGTTCCCAAACGGACTGCCACCTCTGTTCTAGAAGCAACCCTGTGACTCCAAACTCCTAATACTATAGCTCAGTAGTTTCAGCAGGTATGCTGCCCATTAACGATCAGCCAATACACATGCTTAGCTCTCAGTGAACAATACTTAAGAAACTTTCTCTCCAGATTTATAATCTGAGATGCACATTATCACAAGTACACATACCACATCCATGCAAAGAGTGGGTTCAAACTCAGAGTACAATGGTAGTGAGGAACTCATGTAAGGTACAGGTGTGGCAAAGGCAACTCATAATTTTTGGTACTGTGGGTCCCCTTGGGTACAGCATCTCTGTCGGGGAGCTGGCATGCTCGGCTGGCGTGCTCAGGAGTCCCATTGCTTCCTCTTGCTTTTTCCCTTGAGCAACTGCCTCTATGTTCATTATCTGTCTGGAGAATGTGTCTCTGCTCCCTCCTATGCATCCATTGTCTCCTATTCGTTGAACAGCAGTGCTTCAAAGCAACCTGGCCAATATGGATGCAGATGGGAGAAGGAAAGAGAAACTCATATTCCCAACAAGAGTGACTCCCTCTCAAGGGCCAGGTTTTTCTTCTAGCTTTTTATAGCTTTCAGGATTTTCTGGAACTCCTTAAGCCTTAGCTAGTTAAAGCCCCCAGGGATCTGGCTAGTTTATTTGCTCATTCAATCCCATTTTTCCCTCCCTAACTGGTCATAAAAAGCTATTCACACCTCACAAAAGGATCATTCTACAGTCTACAGTCAAGCATTTATTAAGCCATGAACTGTACTAAGATGCTTCTTGACAGTTAGTTTATGGGCTCATTAACACCTTGTGGTTATATTCTAGGTTTGAGGAGGGATTGGTAAAAGATTAACTCCTCTATATTAAAAAAAATTAAAAGATTAAGTGGAAGACAAGTTAGAAACCCTTAGGACAAATCTAATCTTGCTGAATGCAGCCCAGACTGTGAAATTATTTTGGACACAACTACTTTATAGAGAACCTGCTTACTCCCCATGTGTTACCTATCCTTATTCTTTCAGCTTTTGACATGTTCCTTTTAGCCCTTGCTGAGTTATAATTTGTCAGGAATTTTGTGAAGTCAAAATCTCTTTAACCATTAGTTTTGAATCAGTGTGATGATTCCGAAGGCTTTATATTTTATTTTTGAAGGTGCATAGTTTATATCAGCTGGAAGTCCAGGAGCATGTTAGGAGAGGAAAGACTAGTGGGGTGATCCAGTGTGGTCATTTATCTGACCTCAATATCCTGCAGTGTAAAATAAGGGAATAATCTCTCTCTAAGGTCCTTCCCAACTCTGGAATTCTATAATTTATAACCAGTTGAAGGTGATTATCAAGTTTCAGAACTACTCTTGATTCAAAGCATCCCTTTGAGAGGACACCATATTTTGCACAAAGGTAGCTTAACTTACTAGAAAGTCTCTCTCCATTGCAGGTTTTAGAGGAGATGACCTATTTTGTTTATAAATACATGTCACTTTTAGAGAATGGCTAAAATAGTAAGCTGATAACTGTGGGGGTAAGGCAGACTCTCTGAGAGGTCAGAGATATTTCACCCTGGTCTCTTGTTCTATGCTCTTCTTCCAAAGCCCAATGGAATCTTTAGCAAGCCTTCAGGGCAGACAGAATCTTGAGTTGAGATATTTAATCTGAAAGATTCCATCTGATAAATCGTATGGCACTCCATTCAGCTAACTGAGAGCTTCAGCTGACTTTGGCAGGCTTTTAGCCTGTGGTTCCAGTGAGTCTAAGTATTGCACAGCTGATGCTTATACCACTAAGCCGGTCTCTCCAGAATTATGCTTATGACTGCACTGTATTTGGCATTTGGCTTATAGAGACTTGACTGCTTATGTGCTTTCCTATTGGGGAAGGAACATTACCTAGGAGAATCCTTCATCTGCCCTTTGCTTGACTATTCCCTCAACTTCACTCATCCAATCCACAGGAGTATGGAAATAACAGGAGAAAATTCCAGACACTTCTCTCTACTTCCAAGTTGTCATATGGCATATCTGACTTTCTTTGTACTGAAAAGCCAACTCTCTTTACTCATTATCAAAGGGGTGTGTGTGTGTGTGTGTGTGTGTGTGTGTGTGTGGTGGTGTGTGTGTGTGTGTGTGTTTAACAAACCTGCCTTTCTTGATATTATTTACCATGGGGGTAGAGAACTAAGAGTTGTAGTATATTTTTTCCCAATTACATGTAAAGAAAGTTTTTAACATTCACTTTTGTAAGATTTTGAGTTCCAAAGTTTTTTTCCTTCCCTCCTTCCCTTTCCTCTCCCCAAGACAGCAAGCAATCTGATACAGACTATACATGTACAATCCTATTAAACATATTTCCACATTATTCATGTTGTGAAAGAAGAATCAGAAAAAAAAATAGAAACACCAAGAGAAAGAAAAAACAAACAAACAAAAAAGTGAGAATAGTATGCTTCCATCTGCTATGCATCTCTGGATATGGATAGTATTTTCCATCATGAGTCTTTTGGATCATTAGATCATTGTATTGCTGAGAAAAGCCAAGTCTATCAAAGGTGATTATTGCACAATGTGGCTGTTACTATGTAAAATACTCTCCGGGTTCTGCTCATTTGACTCAGCATCAGTTCATATAAGTCTTTCCAGGTTTTTCTGAGCTCTGTCTGCTTGTTATTTATTAAGGAACAATAGTATTTCATTACATTCATATACTACAACTTATCCAGACATTCCCCAATTGATGGGCATTCCCTCAATTTCCAATTCTTTTCCACCACTAAAAGAGCTGCTATTAATATTTTTGTGCAGGTAGGTCCTTTTCCCTTTTATATGATCACTTTGGGATATAGACCTAGTAGTGGTATTGCTGGGTCAAAGGGTATGCACAGTTTTATAGCCCTTTGGGCATAGTTCCAAACTGGAGAGCTAAAGGTTGCAATGTAAGTGTTTTATTGGGAGAGATGGGCACACATGAGGCAGGGTTAGGTAAATGAAACAATGAATATCAGGATTATTTTGAAATTTGCCTTGTTTGTTAAGATTGTCTTTTTCAGACATCCATATTTGATTTTATTGGTACAGGGAACACCTATTAAAGAAATTCCCTCTAGAAAGGCTATACCTGTTCTGAAACTTAAAGTCATAGAGTTGCCTGGGGCATTGAGAGATTAAGTGAGTTGCCCAGGGTCACACAGCCAGGATGTATCAAAAGTTTAAGAATAGGTCTTCTATGGGGACAGCTGGGTGGTGCAGTGGATACAGCACTGGTCCTGGAGTCAGGAGGACCTGAGTTCAAACATGGCCTTGGACACATAACACTTACTAGCCGTGTGACCCTGAGCAAGTCACTTAACCCCATTGCCTAGCAAAAAAAAAAAAAAGGAAAAGAATAGGTCTTCCAAAGCCAGTTTTCTAACCACTACACCATGCTGTCCCAAATTGTCTCTTAGCAGCAATATTTGTACATATACAATTGCAATCCATTTAGAAATTAAGTGGTGATGCCCTATCTTATACTAGGGGAGTGCATCTAATGCCCATGATAGCTTTTCTCAGATGCTATGATCAGTATACTAGCTTTACATTATATCTCATAGCATGTGAACTCCTTGATAACCAACTGACATCATTCAGCAAATATTTATTGGGTACTTACCATGTACTGCTAGTACTAGACACTGAAAGGGATACAAAAAATTATAGCATACTACCTTTACTTTCTAGCTGGAGAGATAAAGTTACGATAACATGGAAAATTAAATAAGATTATAATGCAGCAATACAATATATATTACTAAGACTCAACAAGCTCATGGTCGGTAGCTTAAAATAACTAATGAATGGTAGAAGCAACATGTGCATACAGGAAGAAGAAAGAAGGCAGGAATGGCTTCACTGAGGAGTTGAGGCTTATATTAGGCCTTGAAGAACAGGTAGAATTTGGGCGGAAGAGCATTCAAAGGTGTAGGTGATGGTGCAGATGATAGGAGTTTTATAACTTTCCTTATCTTACCATTCATTGCGTGATGTTCCATGAGGTGGAAGATAATGTACATGCAGTATCAATGATGAATCAGTGCAATGTTGTAAAGACAATATTAGATCTGGAGGCAGGAGTGCTTAGGTTGAAATCCTGCTTATAACTCTAACCTTAACCATCCTGGAGCAATTGTTGTTTTGTCCTAGCAAACACACATGAGTTGGGGGTAAACCCTCTTTGGAGGAGGGGAACAAGCTTCCCCCACTAAATTCAGCAAAGGGAGGCCTACCATGTAAAATAAGTGTGCCCCCTTGAATGTCAGTGCCCTCAGGGGAGCATGAACCTTTCCCTGTTCTTCAGGGTCCATCATGCCTCTATCTCAAAGCTATCTTGTCCTGCCACTGTGCTTGTATCCTAATTGGCCTGGGCAACTGTGCCAAGCAAGGAGGCTGGGATCAGTAGCAGTGGCTTCAGGGTGTCCTGGAGTCTCTGTCTCATACCATCTCCACCCTCCACTCCGCATTGAATTTGCTCCAGGTGCTGGAATTCCTGGTTGGATCTTTTCCTCTGACATTTACTAGCATGATCACGGGCAAATGATGTAACCTCCCTGAAAGCCTCAGGTGTCTGTCTAAGACTATCTACTGAGTCATAGATGACTTTCCTCAATGGACAGTGTTCTTACAGGGATGAAATTACAGATTTTTGATGTGTTGACGCAAATGCTGATCATGTAATCTGAGTGGAATAGCGCCAAAAGAAGACATACCCCATCCCATCAAACTTATGGACTTAGAATGATCATAAAATCATAGATTTAGAGCTGAAAGGGACCTAACAGGCCAGCTAATCCAATCCCCCTTCCTTTTATAGATTAGGAAGCCCAAGGAGGTTGTAATTTACTTAAAGTCACAAAGATAGTAGGTATGTTAAAAGTAGGATATCAACCCAGGTGCTCTGAGTCCAGAGTCAAAGCTGTACCATACAGCCTCCCAACTCTCCTTCCTCTGGTTGCAGATGATCTGCTAGGAGTGTGACTAACTTTGAGCTTATTTCTTGGCAGTTTGAGAAATATATCTGGTAGTTTAAAGAAATAACTCCTAACATCATGTTCATCTAACTTGGAGATCAAAAAAATTCAGGTATCATACATTTTATTTATCAAGTACATTCAACTTCACCCTGAGAGTTGAGAATCAATGTCTTCATTAAACCTCAATAGGAAAAACTGCAAATCACATCTCTCTGTCTGTATATCTGTCTCTGTACTTAGACTGGATTGGATTTTCTATTCAGGGTAAAGTTTTCAACCAGGTTCTCTTATTTTATTCAGTACTTCTGGTTCCCAAGAGTCAATATGTTATAATAAATAGAGAAAAGGCCATGGGGAAAGGAAGATCTGGGTGCAAGTTCTACCATTGATATACATAGGCTGTGTGTCCATGGGCAATCATTTAACCTCTGAATCTCAAAACAACTCTCTAAGACTGAAAAAAAAAAGCTACAAATGAGTTATCTATCTTCATTGGTGGAGGGAGTTTTCACATAAAAGGTTACCCATAACTAACAAAATCATAGATCTAGAGCCCTCCCCCTGAAAAAAAATTCATGTATATCAACCTTTAGTATTAAGTATTTTTCTCATAATTTATGTTGATATTTAGTATTAAATATATATATACATATATATATATGCATTCTCATATTTGGTATTTGGAATTAAATATATTCTCATAATTTCTGTTGATATTTAGTATTAAATATATATTTTAATTTTGTTGATATTATAAACTTGGTTTTCTAAAGGAAGACTTGCCTCATTTTAATTTTGATTTAAGCATGAAATTGTTAATTTTTTTTCTTTTGCAATTAGGTATAGAAGATTAAAGAATAAAAAAAACTACTCTCCAGGAAGGAGTGACGCATTTTGTTAACGAAATCAAAGAGGTGGCAGAACTGGGGGGACTGGCCAGAGTAGTACTGGCTAATGTATACTATGCCATTCACTATGTAGCAATGATGTTATTGTTACACAGCACTTTGGGGACAGTGGTTGAGATCTTAGGAGAGTGTATTATTCAACAAACATTGTTCAAAAGCTTGCCTCCTTTCCTCCTGTCTGTTCAAATTGCAATTTGAACAGCAATATATTCTTCCTAGGATATACTGCTTTATATCCTAAGCTGGACAGATGAGCACCAAAAGGGGAAGGGGAAAGAAGAGGTGGCAGTCTCAGTAGAATTTGAGAGCATTTGAATAGAATGGAATTCCTACTGTCTGGTCTCATTATGACATTAAAATCATCATTTGCCTTTTTGAGAATGCCTATAGTGATCTTCACAAAGAGAAGTCTTTTTTTTTTGAGGCAATTGGGGTTAAGTGACTTGCCTAGAGTCACACAGCTAGTAAGTATTATATTATGTGTCTGAGGTCAGATTTGAACTCAGGTCTTCCTGACTCCAGGGCCAGTGCTCTATCCACTGCACCACCTAGCTGCTCTGAGGTGAGTCTTTAGGGCAAAGTACTATCTTCACTAAAGAAATTTTGAAAAATGTCCATTTTGCAAGGTACAATGCTAAATATCCTATAAGAAGAATGACATGCAAAGACCTTGACTTACAGGGTGTTTGAAAATAAAAAGGTTTGAAGGCACATAGGTGATCTAACTAGGTTATATAAAAGTGACTTTTCACTGAGAAAATAAATATCATGATGTCTTAGGTCCTAGAACACCTTCCTTATAGAGAACTTTATAAACATTTTCCCATGGGTTAGTGAATGAATAAATTCATCCTATCTGTAAACCTGTGAAATAGGTATTCAGCTCATCAGCCTGAGCTGTCTTCAGTTGTCAGAGGGGAACTTGCTATGGCTGGAGAACTAGGTACTATGAAAACCACTGGGATTTTCCTTTCTTTAAAATATATATATATATATATTATATATATATATATATATTATATATATATATATATTTTTAGTTTTAGTTTTCAGTATTCATTTTTATAAGATTTTGAGTTCTAAATTTTCCCCTTCCCTTTCTTCTCCCCCTCCCCAAGACATCCTTCAATCTGATGTAGGGTATACACATACAGTTATATTACACATGTTTCCACATTAGTTATATTGTGAAAGAAGAATCAGAACAAAAGGGAAAAATCACAAGAAAGAAAAAAACAAAGAAAAAGAGAGAGAAAATAGTATGCTTGGATCTTCATTCAGACTCCATGGTTCTTTCTCTGGCTGTGGATAGCATCATCCATCATGAGTCTTTTGGAATTGTCTTAGATCATTATATTGCTGAGAAGAGCTAAGTCTATCAAAGTTGGTCATTGCACAATGTTGCTGTTACTGTGTACAATGTTCTCCTGGTTCTGCTCATTTCACTCAGCATCAGTTCATATCAGTCTTTCCAGGTTTTTTCTGCAACATGCCTGCTCATCATTTCTTGTATAACATTAGTATTCCGTTACATTTATATACCACAACTTGTTCAGCCATTCCCCAATTGATGGGCAACCCCTCAATTTCCAATTCTTTGCCACCACAAAAAGAGCTGCTATAAATATGTTTGTACACGAACCAGTAGGATTTTTGACAATCATTTCAATTCTTCTGACTCTAGGATTTTCACTGGCTAATCCAGCTCCATTTATTGCTGAGAGATTGCAGAGGCATGCACAATTGCTTTTGACAAAAAAGATATCAACCTAAAAACTGGAAAATCTTAATATCAATCAACTTCTACATATTATTTAGCAAAATGACCCACAGTAACAACAGCAGCAGGCAAATCATTGTGAATATTCCTTTGTTGTTGTGGTTTCAAAAACAAAAGTGCCCAAAAGCAATTTTTTTCTTTAAAAAAAAGCATTTTTTTCTAAGTAATAAAAGGCAGAGTAGAGACGAGAATGTCCAGTTCCTGAATCCCCATTCTATTTCATAGACTGCAGTACTAAACATAAAGTCAGGAGGCCAGGGTATTTCAAATGATAGATTCTTTTTCTAACTGAAGGCAATACCTAGAGTATTAGTCATGAAGTCAGAAAGAGCTGGGTTCAAATCCTGCCACAAATACTTGCTAGCTCTGTGACTTTGGGCAAGTCACTTCCCCTCATTTTCCTCACATGTAAGGGTGAGACTTGGTGTCCTTTTAGGCTCTTTCCAGTTCTAAATCTAAGATTCCGTGATATATGCAATAATTCACGCACATATCCATGAACATACATATCAGGCCTATTTGAGAGTACATCAATATTACTGTTTCACAGGACTCTTCTGACCCAATAAGAGATGAATATCTTCTTTCCTTTCCTTGGTAAAAGCTGACTCTGCATCTTTTGATGAGAAATGGGGCCGTTGGAAAGGCATTTGAAGGGACAGCAAAAGATATCATAGGTTTTAGAAGCAAAGACATCAAAATAGCAGTGAAGGTAAAGCTTTGGGGAGCTAGGTGGCCCAGTAGGTAAGGGTGTAGACTCATCTTCCTGAGTTCAAATCTGGCCTCAGGCACATAGTAGTTATGTGACCCTGGGCAAGTCACTTAACCTTGTTTGCCTCAATTTCCTTATCTGTAAAATGAACTGGAAAAGGAAATGACAAACCACTCCAATATCTTTGCCAAGAAAACTTCAAATGGGGGTCACCAAGAGTTAGACATGTCTGAAAAACAATTGAACAACAATAAACTTATAGTGTACTAAAGGAATTATTGGGGGCAGGAGAGAGGCTAGCTCCAGGTAAGTTCACATGAAGTTGCATTCTTCAAAAAGCAAAAAGTTCTATAAAAATGAAAATGTAAGTGTAGCTAATCCTATACAGAGCTGAAAAGTCATGACACCTTTGAGGGGGTGCCTAAGGGGCCACCTGTTGAGGTATATCATCATCTTATACCATGGTTTCTAAAATTCCTTCTCTGTGGGATCCTTCTGGAGACATATGCCTTTTTGTGGGTTCAACTGCTTTTATTTGGGAGATAGAGTTGTATAGTGGTAAGAACACTGGATTTAGAGTCAGAAATTTTAGAGTTAATCCCTAAGTCTTCTGCTTATTACCTATATAAATTTGGGCAGGCAACCTTCCAGGTTGGTTTTCACATTTATAAAATGAAGAGGTTAAAATAGATAATCTCTAAGAGTCCTTCCAGATTTAAATACTATGATCTTATGACTGTCAATCAGCAGACATGTGAATACAAATTATTTTTATGATCAATCAATTAACACCAGTGTCACCCAACAAGGGCTAAGCTGCAAACTGGTAAGTTTTAATGAGAGTGGGAATGGAAAAAAAGTTCTAGCAAATGGATTAAATAGGGAAAGTTCAATACCGAGCTATCTAGAACATAGCACAAAAGCATTGGATTATGGTATCAGGGGATTCACTCATTCAACCAACATTTATTAAGCATCTCTAGCTCCAGCTAGGGGCAGGTAGGTGAAACAGTGGAAAGAGTGCCAGGCCTAGAGTCAGGAAGGCTCATCTTCCTGAGTTCAAATCTGGCCTCAGATATTCATTAGCTGTGTGACCCTGGGCAAATCACTTGACCCCTTTTTCCTCAGTTCCTCATCTGCAAAAGTAAGCTAGAGAAGGAAATAGCAAACCACTCCAGCATCTTTTCCATGAAAACCCCAAATGGGGTCATGAAGAGTCAGACACGACTGAAATAATTGAACAACAACAAAACAGTGCCAAGCTAGATGTGGGGCTGGGGAAAAAATATACCAAAGTTTATATTCAGTACGAGGAGAGTAGGAGAGTCTTGGAAAGAGGAATAAGAGCTGCTCAACCCAAACTTTGTCTATTCTGTAATTTTGCTGAGGGCCAGACCTAATATAAGGTATTTTTTTTTCATTTCTGTACCACTGTATTATCAAAGATCAACTAAGATACCACCTCTTCCACAAAACCTTTCTGATATGCCCGGTTATTAGAACTCTTGCCCCTCAAACTGGCTTCTATTTCCATATCTGTTTATAGATGTATCTCTTCAGTAGACCTTAAGCTTCTCGGTAACAATGTCTGTTTTGTTTTTGTCTGTACCTCTAGTGCTAAGCACGGTCAGTGCCTCAAATATAGTAGAACTTAATAAACATTTATTGTTTGAATTTAACTGATTTTAGAATACTTCTATATCAAGGATCTATGATTTTGCCAGTGCAAGAATATATTCCACTGAATAGATTGAGATATGTCTGTGACATAATGTTACAGAGTTACATGATGCTTAGAAAATTGAAATGACTTGTCCATGGTCACACAGCTAGTAAGTGGATTAGAGGCAGAAGGAATCTCAGTTTTACAAAACTAATCAAAAATGGAATTTCAATACCTAGGGCAACATAGCAGGTAAAGTATATAGCCATCTAGTACCTTTATTTTACAGAGGAGGAAACAGAGGCCCATGGAGGTTAAATAACTTACCCAAGTTAATATGCAGAGACAGTATTTGAACCCAGGTTTTCCTGATGTCATGTTTAACATGGATCCACTATTCCACACTGTCATAATAGTTACCCTGTAATGTAAATAATTTATTTTAAAGAACTGAAATTTAAAAAAAAAAATCTTGCTTTTCTCATAACATTCTATCCTCTCTTTACCCCATACCAACCAAAAGCCTTCCATTTTGGGGAAAACTGGCTAGTTTGGGTTGCTAGTGCCTAGCTTAGTTCCTTGAACACAATAGGCACTAAATAATGTTTGCTGACTCAAAGTTAATTGACTTTAGAACAGCTCTTCATCAAGGAGCTGTGTATTGTAAAAGGATAGTGAAAGTTTTTTTTTAATTAAGAAATTACCAGTTAACAACCAAGCCTGGTATCTTTACAATTAGTTTCTTTTGGCACCCTTAATACAAAATATTAGACATTTTATCTGAAACTTCTTTTTTTTTTTCCTAGCCCAATATGCTTTCTTAAGCAAACTTTCCTTTTGCTTTAAGCATGGGTATTACAAAGACGGATTGACGTTAATCCATTATACTTCCATCAGGGTAAGTTACTGATAGGGATCGCGTTACACTAACTAGTCATTTGATCTTATACTGAGCAGACTCTAAAGAAAGGCTCAATGGACCAGGAGAAGGTTGACTTCCTGAAGGAGGCACACCTGATAAGGTAACAGTTCTGAAACTAGTTTCCTTTGACACATTCAGGAAGCCTGTTGAATTATCTGTGTATTGGATCATTTTTCATATCTTAAGTAAATTGAGGCACTAGAGCACACCAATAATAAACACGGCAAGAGACCAGGGAGTGTTCTGTGCCTGGAAATAACTCAGTAGGTCTAAAAGAATTGAAATCCCATCAATTTTGTCCTTCCTTCTCTTGTCTTCTCATTTATTTGAAGGAGAATTTGTGTATATGTTGAACTTCCGAAGTTAGTGAACCGTTAGCACTGTCTTGTGTTTCCTTAAACAGATGAAAATGAGAAAAATAGGAAAAGATAGTTAAGAGTGTCCTAGTGAGCATAGATGGTGCTGGTAAAAATTGAAGAGTAATGGTCATCTGCAAGGTAGAGTTGTAACTAGGAATTTTTTCACCTAGAACAAAAATTATTGAAACTGAAGGAGGAAGGAGTAGTGGTCTGAAAAAGTGGTAGTGGCCCAGAAAATATTCTTACTACAGGTACAGTTTCACAATAAGAGTAAGAAGTCTGCCAGAGATGGGCACCAGATTGAAGGGATTCCAGGGATGATGGCCCTGGTATAGTTGAGCTAAGTGGTAGATAGGACTGTGAGAAGGTCTTGAGGAAAAAGAATGCCTACCTCTCACCCTAGGATAGAACTATTCCTCTTCCTACCCCTGAGGGATCAGTGCCTGGAAGCAAAACCTCATTTGTCTCATGCTAGTTAAGACTTTGTTGCAAGATTTCTATGAACGGTAATATTTTTGGCAGTAAAACACACACACACACACACACACACACACACACACACACACACACAGACACCACCCCCCTTCCTTAGAAATGAATTTGAAGCAATGGAAACTACCTATAGGCATCATGCTACTTGACCAATCAGAGAAATTATGAAGTAATGGCTAAAGGAAATTAAGAATGACAAGTTCTAATCCTATTTAGAAACATGAATGAAAGACTATTACTGCTATTATACTTGCTTTCATATTTTGGGAAAGTGTCCTAGCCCTTCTATATAATGATGACAATATAGGATATACTTCATATTTTGAAGAACTAAAGAGCTTTGCTCTTCAAGATCCTGGGATGAAAGGTATTGGGGAAACTCAAAGAATGCATTTTTCTCTTCACAAGGTTGAAATCTTTGGGCAGTTTTGGTTCTTCTAAGGAATCACCATATTTTATAAACACCAGTGACCACTAGGCGGTGCCATATACCCCCTTAAGGATACAGAACAAGACCACATATTGCGTATAAGGCTTTCATTTATAAGAGAAAACAAATGAGGGGTTGGAGATACTGAAATACTCTTCAGAGAAAATTAAGTTGTTTTAAATAGCTTCTAGAGGCTTGGAATTTTAGTGCTTTTTTTTTTTTAATGAGAATGACCTATGCCTCAGCGAGCCTGATCACTCCAATATTTTGAAACAACCCATAGTTTGTTCAGTGAACCCCAATATATCATCATGTAACTGACAGAAGGAGGAACACTTCTCATGTACTTATGCAAAGCGTATACAACAATGGTAGGAAATATGGTTCATGGTGTTGGTCTTGAATTGGAGATAATTCATATTTACTCATTGACTTTGATTCCTGCCCTGTAAAAATCCCAAGCTGGTATTTTTAAAAGTCTGAAAGCTGGTTGATTTTTGAACTCGTACATTACATGGTAACACTGATCAGGGAGGGATTTTATAGATCATCCAGTCAACTCTCTCACTTTATAAATGAGGAAACTGAAGCCCAGAGAGGTTAAATGTCTTATCTGGGTCTCCAGGATGAGTGACAGCCTTGTATTCTTTCCACTATGCTATGCTGTCTTCTACAGACTGTTCTGTAATGTACTTCTACCTTGCTTTCAGGTGCTCACTAGATTAGGCCCATTAGAAAACTGACCTCACATTTCTGACATTTTGAAGAAATGTGAGCCTACTATTTATTTTCTTAAGAGCAGCAGAGTGTGCTGACATTTAAAGTGCTGATTTCTCCAACTCTGTAAGAGATCAGTCCAAATTTGCCACTTGTACTTGGAGACAGCACTTAATCCCTTCCTAGGATACTTTACTCATTTGTAAAACGTAGGTGATTGCTTGTTTTATATTTCAGACATGAAAATAAATGAGAAAAAGCAAGAGAAGTAGAGCCATAACTAGAAATGTTTTCACTTGGGTCAAAAACAGTTGGAATTTAGGATTTGGGGAATTGATGGTGGTCCAGAGTAGAGTTTAATCATAAGTGCACTCATGCTGGGAGAGTGATGGTTTAGCTCTTGCCCCTTTGGGAGTTGAAAGAGAGGTAGGTTCAAGGAGGGACAGGACAGTGACAGGACCCTGAGGATGACGGTTACACTGCAGTGACTTGGGCCAGCAGAAGACTGAGACAAGACATGGTGGTCACCAACGGGAGCAAAACACCTTCCTAGGAAGGAAGTACACTCCCAAAATATAGGCAGTCAAGGCATTCTCCTTGTGCTAGTTACTCCTTTGAAGAGAAATAGCCCAAATACCATGACAGACTAATGTCATATAGCTTGGAAAAAAGTAGGATCTGCTTATTTTTACATCAGAAATATAAGATAAGAAACTGTGCATATTCTCTACATCATCTCTCTTATGGATTGTTACTAACAATACAATCAAGTACTAAAGTACAGAAATTTGATAGGAGTATGGAGAGTAGAAGAACAAACAAAAATACAGCCAGAGGCTGGGAATTATTTATGAAGGGATCCAATTAGGATCATAAGGTCATAGATTTAGAGCATGATTATCAGCTTGACATATTATTTAGACTCAAGTTCAAATCTAGCCTTAGATACTACCTATCTGACCCCAGGCCGGTCACTTAACCTCTCTGTATCTCAGTTTCCTCATTTGCAAAATGGAGATAACAATACCATTTACCTCACAGAGTTGTTGTAAGGATCAAATGAGTTACCGTGTAAAGTACTGTGAAAACCTTAAAATCCTACATAAATTCTAGCTATAATCATCATCATTATTTTGTCGGCACAGATTGTGTACATCTGGTGAACCAATCATTCCACTCTTATTTAAAATCTAAGTCTTAATCACCAAGTCCTTTTTAGGATTTTTTGGGGGTATAATCTTAGAAGTTATTGTTTCTCTTTATTTCCTGTGGTTCTGAGGTCCTGTTCTCATTTTGGATGACCTTGTGAACACCTGTGTGGATATTTCAAAATGCTGTGTCTACTCAGAACAATTGCACTTCATCCACAGGTAAAATGTTGCCTGAACACCACTTGGCCATCAATCTACATGTATTTATTAGGAACGCTGGCCCCATGGTCTCACATCAGGTTTGAGTGAGTTATACAAGATTAATTTATTACTTACATTTGTATTAGAACACAGATGAGTTTCCCCCAAAAGCTTTTTATAGTGATCTATTTGACAGTTCTCAAAGTGTGGTCCCTGTATGACCAGGGGTCCCTAAAACCCTTTCTAAGACAGCCTGGGAAGTCAAGATATCATATGCTTATTAAAATTGTCTTTCCTTTTCCAACTACATATCTGAGTGAGGCAAGATTTTCTTCATTACTTCTATCAAAACATCATATTGCAACAGATTGAATGAATGCAGAAGCAGGTATGAGAATCCTACTGTCTGATTTGCAATAATTTATAAATTTCAATGATATGTAAAACTGCTACTCTTCTCATGAAAATTTTTTTAAAACATAGTTATTTTTCAGAAAAATATTTATATTAACAGGTAGTAGGTTCATTATTGTTATTTTAAAATTAATTAATAAATATTTAAAACATTTATCAGTTTTGTTTTGTAATATGATAAAAACTGATAGATATGACCCACATGAACAAAAGTTCTTTTGGGTCCTCAGAAATTTTTAGGAGTATAAAGGGGTCATAAGACCAAAACATTTGAAAAACTGTTGATCTGCGTCCTAGTGAGGGTCAAGGGAGAAACTTGGCCTTGTTTTTGGTCGAGTATTTTTGAAGGCGAGGCCTATGGACCTCTGTACTAACTGTACTAGCTCTCTGCTCTCATCATGGTTTATGTTCATGGTTTTCCATTCCGTAGCAGAGAACTGGCTACTTGGAACTGCCTTGTGTCAATGAAACACTATACCAGTCCATCCCGGATAGTGAAAATTGAGGACTTTGGACTTGCCAGAGACATCTATAAAAATAATCACTACAGGAAGAGGGGGAAGGGCTACTTCTGGTTCATTGGTTGGCTCCAGAAACTTTGATTGATGGAATATTTACTACTCAATCAGATATACAGTAAGCATGGTGGCAAATTCCAGTGTGATGAACTACAACAAATACCAGCAAAGACCAAAAATAGTTGTAGGATGTTAGCAATGGAAGGAACTTTTGAAATCACTTCTAAAGCCTGATACTCTCATTTTGCCTACAGAAAAACAGGCTCTGAGATTGCCTATAACTAGGAATCTTCATACTTGTGGAAACCAGAACATAATATATGCCCTCCTTGTGTGGCATGAGACATGTGAGAAGCTCAGAATACACTCCACTGAATGATAGGCTGGCGAGAGAAACAGGGTGCAGGTGAAAAGGAGCTCCCTCCATTCTACTATCTTGTAGCTTTCTATTTTAAATAATTATTCTTGCTAATTAGATGTAAACTGTCTCCATACTCCTAAAAGATTACAAATATAGTTAGTTCCCCACTAATTTGGGTGCCCTCTAAATTTGGCACCTTAGGCATTGCATACAGTAGAAATACCATTGGTTCTGGAGCCTTAGGACCTGGCTGCAAATCCTACCTCTGAAAACTGCTACCTGTATGACATTGGATAAATTACTCACCCTTTCTGGGCTCTCCTTTCCTCATCTGTAAAATGAAGAACTTGACCTAGATGACCTCTAAGGTTCCTTCTAGGTCTGAATCTATGATTGTATCATCTCATGAAATTACCCTAGTTATGGTTCTGCCCTGAGCAATTAGGTAACTTGCCTGGATCACACAGCTATTCACTGAAAAAGGTGGGACTCAAATTCAAGTCTCCTGATGTTTATCAAGTACTCTTTGTATTATACCACACTGTCTCCTGTTATAGTGGCAACATCAATCCTTCGTTGCTAAAGTAAATAAAATATGCATCTTTAATTTAAACTTGTTTATAATCTAGAGTTGGGAGCACATGACCAGCATAAATTAGTGTGATATTTTAGGAGTATGTGGTCACTAATTTAGGGGTATGTGGACTTTATGGCTATATGGACCATATGGACGATATGGACTATATGACTAAAGTCATATACCTAAAAAAATGACAGGCTAAGTAAAAGGCCTGGAGTCAGGAAGACTCATCTTCCTGAGTCCAAATTCAGTTTCATTCACTTACTAGTGTGACCCTGGGCAAGCTACTTTAACCCTGCTTGCCTCAGTTTCCTTATCTATAAAATGAGCTGAACAAGGAAATGGTGAACAACCACTCCAGTATCTCTTCCAAGAAAACCCCAAATGGGGTCACAAAGAGTTGGACATAACTGAACAACAACTAAAGGGTATAGTCTTCTGTTAAGTGTGATGAACTCACCACTGTCCATGGTGATGAGGGGAAAACAAATATGTGTTAACTCCAAAAGACCACAAGCCCATTCATGTTAGATTTCTGACCATTGAACCACTTACAAGATCAGTTAAAATATGACATATTGGAGGAAAATGGAGATGTTTAGCCCAAAGAATTAAAGATCAAGGAAGAGACACAATAGGTGTTTTCAGGAATTTGAAGGGTTGTAATGTGGAAGACGGAGGAGTCTAATTTTTATGTCTCAGAGGACAAATCCAGAAGCAGTAAGTCAGAGTTGCAGACTAAGGTATCTTGTTAAGATGTAAGAAAAAAATTCCTAACAATTACAGTTCCTTCAAGTGGAATAAACTGCTTTCCCCATCACCAGAGGTCTTATCAGCAATATTGTAGAAAGGATTCCTATTTAGGTACGTTTTGGATTAGATGATGTCTATGTCCACTCTGGATTAGAGCTTCCTTCGAATTTTTAGATTCTGTTGACTTGCTTGAATTTCCGTAAGGTTTAAGTGGAACTGGGCAAATGCAAAATTGAAAAGTTTGGGGCACGCTTCACTGGAAAGGCAATGTAGAGTAATGGAAATAATACTGACTGGACTTGGAATCAAAAGACTTGAATTTGAGACTTTGCTCCACTACTATCATGTAATTATAAACAAATCACTTCATCTCACTGAGCCTCTACTTCCTCATCTATGAAATGGGAATAATACTTCAGCTTTTCTAATTTATCTTACAAGCTAATTAATCAGTTAATTGCTCATAAGTAATAGATATGATACAATACAAATGTTAATTATAATTATCTTCTTCATCTTTATTATTACTATTTTTATTGGTTCCAGGTTGTACCTTTTTTTTTTAAGTTCCCAGATGATCACAGCTTAAAATCTTCACTTTATCCCTCACCTCCTGGAAGATCTGCACTTTACAGGTATCAAATTCTTATATTAATGATGTTAATTTCTGACCAGCAAAATTTTAGACATAAGTCAGGTGGGGCCAATAGTTTCTTGATGAATCGTGTCAGGCAGTTGCCTGTTCTGCCTAGACATAAGCTCAACCCTGATTTTGAATTTCTTGCTAATCTTTTAAGGGAAAATTAGTTCAACTGCTACCAGGCAGATGTCCACCAGATGTTGTAAACACTCCAGATTATTACCTGTAGGAATAGGTAAGTGTATATTACGTATCTGTAGAGTGGTTGAGAATGTGATAATTGTCCTTTTCATTTTTAGGGCTTTTGGAATTTTGATTTCTGAGATTTTAACTCTTGGTCAGCAGCCTTCTCCAGATCATTCCAATTTTGATGTTTAATATTATATGCAATCAGAAGGAAGAGTGGAGGAACTGAGAAATTACCCTAATGATTTGTAAGTTAAAATCTATTAGCACTAACACCAATCAAAAAAGTAAGTGTTCACTCATGATATATTCCCTATAGTTCGATTTTTAAGTAGAAATTGCAACTAGTGCACTAATATAGGTCACATATACATAAATTGGTGGTGACTTTTTGTTTACTTAATTGATTACATTGATGCTTAATGCAATGGAGTATTTTTTATAACAATGGTTTCAGGAAATAACATAATAACAGGGAAAGACATAACATCATGTTTCAATACAATTGTATTATATTAGGCATTTGTTATATTGTTGTTATATTTGAGGGAACATGATTAACCTAAAGAAAGTTTTGTTGATACCTTTTGCTTTTACATTATATTTAATTCTGAATAATCCCTTCCTCTAACCAAGTGAGCCATACCTTGTAACAAATAAAACCAATTTTAAAAAATCAATTCAGCAAAACCAAGCAACATATCAACTATGAAAGACTGTATAGGCGACATTGAATATTCATCGTCCCCCTCCACCTCACCAATGAAAGAAGAAAGGCACATTTTCTCATTTCTTCTCTCTGGGCTTGGCCATTATAGTTACAAAACATTCTATTCCATTTTATTGGGTTTTTCCCATTTATGTTGTTGTACTTACTGAGCTTATTACATACTTCATAATATATCAGTTCATATCAGTCTTCCCATGTCTTTCAGAATTCATCATACTCATCATTTTCTAAGTCACAATGGTGTTCCATTTATGTACCACAATTTGTTTATCCATTGTCCACGTACATTATTGATGGGACTTTTCTGTCTATCTTCTTGAGGGGTATATTCCCAATGGTCGGAACTCTGGGTCAAAAGACATAGATGTTTTAATTCCTCCCCCACCCCCATCCCTAACATAATTCTATCCAGCTTCCCATAATGGTTGGACCCATTCACAGATCCATCAATAATGTATCTGTCTTTCAACAGGAGAGTGTTGCCCCTCAAATAGTGACATTTTGACATCTTTTTCAAATTTCTGGCTCTGAGGAGAAAGCTAGGTTGTTGTAATTTACATTGCTTTTCTCATTAATGATTTGGAGTAGCTCTTTATGTGGTTGTTAATACTTTCTGTTTCTTCTTTTGAGAATTGCGTGTTTTTATTCTTTGGCCTTTTATTGAATTCTTGCTCTTAAACTAATTTTGTGTTGGCATCAGCGTGAAAACAAACCACATTAAAATGGGATCCTATTGTATGAATAAGAATTGACTTTGTTTAATGATCTGATTTTGAATAGTAGTCCATAACTTGGGTGATGGACAACAATTAAGAAACATTTATTAAGCACTTATGTGAAAAGCACTATGCAAAGCACTGGGCTTTTCCCAAAAGTTTCAAATAGAGGCAGTGTGGACAGCACTTACAATCTTTTAGCACCAGAGAAAAATAGACCTTAGACCTATTTAGTAAGAATAATTAATTCAATTTAAAAATTAATTCAATTCAATTAATCAATTAATTAAAATATTTAAATAATTAAAATTTAATTTAAATAATTAAAATATGAAGCTAGTGGGTGGACTGATGTCAAATTTTTTTGTTTTGTTTTAGGCAATTGGGGTTAAGTGACTTGCCCAGGGTCACATAGCTACTAAGTGTCAAGTGTTCGGTCTGAGGCCGGATTTGGACTCAGGTACTCCTGACTTTAGGGCCGGTGCTCTATTCACTGTGCCGCCTAGCTGCCTCTGATGTCACCTTCTTGTTCACCATAATTGAAGGTATGTTTCCTGCTGCTTGATAAGTATCAATCAATTAGTCAATCAACCAAGCTACAAACATCTATTAAGTGCCTACTATGTATTAGGTATCTAGGCACAGTGGATAGAATGCCAGACCTGGAGTCAGGAAGATCTGAGTTTAAATCTGGCCTCAGACACTTACTAGCTGTATGACCCTGGCCAAGTCACTTAACCCTGTTTGCTTTGGTTTTCTCATCTGTAAAATGAGCTGGAGAAGGAAATGGCAAACTACTCTAGTATCTTTACCAAAAAGTCCCAAATGGGGTCAGGAAGAGTCAGACGTGATTGAAACATCTCAACAACAACAACACGTTGTTGTATCAGGCACTGTGCTAGATGCTAGATATCAAAAGGCAAAAATAAAATAGTCCTTGCTCTTAAGAAGCTTGCATTCTCTGGGGGGAGATGGGATATACCTAAATAAGGAATGCCCTTTTTGAATACCTGTTCCAAGTGTCAAAGTACTTGGTAGTGGCTCAGGCTATAACAAAACCAAGATACTAAACAAGTCAGGAATTTCATATGAACTGAATATCAGTGACAAATGATTAGTGACTGTTACCACGAGAATTCTCTACTATACAATAATCAGTTTCCTCATTCAGGAGTAGAGTAATGAATTGTGGCCTATTAAGAAAAGGAAAGAGACACAGAACAAAGTTTCTTTTGTTTGTTTGTTTGTTTGTTTGTTTGTTTGTTTAGGCAACAAGGTTAAGTGAAGCCCAGGATCACACAGCTAGTGAGTGTTATGCATCTGAGGCTGGATTTGAACTCCAGTGCTCTATCCATTGCCACCTAGCTGCCCCAATAACAAAGTTTCAATCCTGCCTCTGGCACTAACTAGCATGATGACTCTTGGCAAATTACTTAAGTCTTTGTGCCCCAGGCACAGATTTGCAGATTGTGGGCTGATCTGCGTTGATAGAAGGAGTTCCTTTCCTAGGAGTCTGATGCATTAATAAAACCACAGATCCAGGTATGGCGTGGGATAGGGGTGCAGGGATTTATATAAATCATTCTAGTGTGCAAGCACTAATTGGCCATTTTACGAATAAACTAAAGGGAAGGTAATCAAGGAAAAAGCCATAGGCTGGGGTTAGGGACACCCAGCATCTAATCCCAGTGTCACCACTGTGTGACTCTGGATTAATCATCCCACCCCTCTGGGATTAGTTTCCTTGACTATAAAATGAAGATGTTGGATTAGATGATTTTAATATCTCTCCCAGTTTTAACATCCTATAAATAGAACACGTTCTTGAATTTAACCAAGAAGGTTTAGCCCAGAATAGTAATTAACAAGTATGAACACCTGTCATGTCACTAGTCCTTCATTAATTTATGGGGCCTACAAAAACGACAATGACAACATAAAACTTGATTCTTTGCCAAAAGGTACAGTCTTTGAGTGAGACAAAACAAGTACACTTGAAACAGTGAACCTGAGCCAATATATCAATATCACAAACTCCGTAAGGATGAGGACAATGTCTTCTGTAGATTTTGTATCTCCTCTAGTTTGTTTGTGGTTTTGTTTGTTTTTTTTTTTTTTGGCAAGGCATTCACACAGCTAGTGAGTGTTATATGTCTGAGGCTGGATTTGAACTCAGGTCCTCCTGACTTCAGGGCTGGTGCTCTATCCACTGTGCCACCTAGCTGCCCCACCTCTAACATCTTTTAGTCCAGTGTTCTGGAAATAGAAGGCCTTCAGTATGTATTTGGCATATTTTGAATGAATGTTGCTGAACAAATCTCATACTTCATTGTGCATTATAGGTACATGTTGTTTAGTTGTTTTCATTCATACCAATCCTTGGTGACCAGTTAGGGTTTCCTCGGCAAAGATACTGGAGCGGTTTGTAGTTTCTTTCTCTAGCTCGTTTTACAGAGGAGGAAACTGAAGCAAATAGGATTAAGTGACTTGCTCACACAGCTAGTAAGTGCCTGAGGTTGGATTTGAACCCAGGTCTTCTTGACTTCAGGCCTAGTACTCTATCTACTGAGCTGCCTAGCTGGAATAAGCAATAGAGAGATGTATAATGTGTTTATTCTGACTTTGACTAGGCTGTATATTTGGCAGATGAAGGATTTAAGCTAAAAGAAGCAGCATAGGTCAGTGGAAAGAAAGTTGGACTTGGAAGCAAAGAACGTAGGTTCAAATCTTGCCTCTACACCTTGTTACCTGTATGATCTTGGTTAAGTCACTTAACCTCTCTCAATCTCCATTTTCTTATGTGTAAAATGAAGATTGCACTAACCGGCCTCTAAAGAGCCTTTCAAGCTATGATCTTTTAAAAGGTGATAGAACTGAGTGTCTCTATTGGCCATTCTTTCAGAGAGCAATGTTTTTCTTATTGTACATGTATCTAGAATATTTGAACAATGTTTCAGAGCTTGCTTTTTTCTCTCCCTGACTTTTAAAGCCTCTCTCTTATTGAGGGTTGTGTGTTTCTCAGACTATGGAAATGGTCCTATCCGTCTTTAAACAGTTCCTGGAAGCCTTCAAGGAAGACTGCCTATACAGACATCAAAACACCTGTTTTGTAGCAGTACTGAAGGGATCAACTATAGCCTTTTTGGAGAGGGAGGGAAGAGTGAGGAGTGGAGGGTTAAAGTATAGAGGACTCACAGGATAAAAAAATGTTTGAAGGTCTCTGATGTGGGGATAGATAAAAGGATTAAATATAGAATAATTGAGAATGACATGAGTTTTCTGTAGGTATCAACTTCATCACAATTTCACCTCTCTCACACACCTGGCAAATACCCAGAAATCAACAGTGGAATTTAATCACCCTACATCTTCACTCTGCCAATAGAGTTCTGTCAGCCACATTTCCCCCAGTGTTGAATATAGTTTAACATCTTGTGTCATGGGTGTGAAAATACCATGGGAGTTATTTTTAAAATGTCAGCATATTCAGCTAATAAGGATCCCCTTCATAGGGAAAAGAGGTACATTGGAGAGGTCATTGGCTCCAAAGTCTGAGGACTTGGGTTCATATACAATCTTTGATACTTTTACTGTGACCTTGGACAGACCTCTTAAGTCCCCTAGGCCTCAGTTTCCTTAACTCTAAAATGAAGGGGTTGTGCTGGATGGCCTCTGAAGTCTTTTCCAGTTTTACATCTATAATTCTGTGTATAACTTAGTTCTGGAGCAGAAAAGCCTACCCCCTCCTAAGCTAGAGAGGATGCTTCTTAGAAAGTCAATAGTAAGTGATAGTAGTGTTCTT